TGACCACCTGATGTCACGCAAGTCAACGAGCCTGACCACCTGATGTCACGCAAGTCAACGAGCCTGCCCACCTGATGTCACGCAAGTAACCGAGCCTGACCACCTGATGTCACGCAAGTCAACGAGCCTGACCACCTGATGTCACGCAAGTAACCGAGCCTGACCACCTGATGTCACGCAAGTCAAAGAGCCTGACCACCTGATGTCACGTAAGTCAACGAGCCTGACCACCTGATGTCACGCAAGTAACCGAGCCTGACCACCCGATGTCACGCAAGTAACCGAGCCTGACCACCTGATGTCACGCAAGTCAACGAGCCTGACCACCTGATGTCACGCAAGTCAACGAGCCTGACCACCTGATGTCACGCAAGTAACCGAGCCTGACCACCTGATGTCACGCAAGTCAACGAGCCTGACCACCTGATGTCACGCAAGTCAACGAGCCTGACCACCTGATGTCACGCAAGTAACCGAGCCTGACCACCTGATGTCACGCAAGTAACCGAGCCTGACCACCTGATGTCACGCAAGTCAACGAGCCTGACCACCTGATGTCACGCAAGTCAACGAGCCTGACCACCTGATGTCACGCAAGTAACCGAGCCTGACCACCTGATGTCACGCAAGTCAACGAGCCTGACCACCTGATGTCACGCAAGTCAACGAGCCTGACCACCTGATGTCACGCAAGTAACCGAGCCTGACCACCTGATGTCACGCAAGTAACCGAGCCTGACCACCTGATGTCACGCAAGTCAACGAGCCTGACCACCTGATGTCACGCAAGTCAACGAGCCTGACCACCTGATGTCACGCAAGTCAACGAGCCTGACCACCTGATGTCACGCAAGTCAACGAGCCTGACCACCTGATGTCACCAGATTATCGTTCGGCAAGCGTAGTAGATTGTTAGGGACCTGTTCGCAACTGAGGTACTGTGTTTATTTTCAAGCTATAGGTGTCATAATTGTCATTTAAAGCCAAACGCGTTAGCGTGAGTTGTCGAACATGAGAAATGTACATGTATTAAATGGAATTTGAAAAGAGTTGGTTTCTCCATCCAATGACAGCATGACAAAATGAATGCGAAATCTTTCGTAATAGCGGACGTGATGAGCGACGCGCCATCGTTTGAGTCAAATGATTTTGGGAACATTCAGGGATCAATAACGATCAGTTTTATCCGCGTAGGATTGTTATCATAGACACAAACCATTATTGTCACAATGATACATTTATCACTTCAACATCTGACAATTCGTTCATCTAGCGCAGATATCCTGTAGGTATTCTTTAGACGGTCACCCCTAACAAAGAAAAGATAGGTAAATGTGTATATATAGTCCATATATAAAGTCCAATCATTGTTAGCTGTGAGACGCGGTTGACGGGACTAATGCATGTTTGTTTGTTTGTTGTTTAACGCCGCACTCAGCAATTCCAGCATTCCAGCTATATGACCGCGGTCTGTAAATAATGGAGTCTGGACTAGACAATCCAGTGACTGACATCCTGAGCATCGAACCACGCAATTGGGATACGATGATATGCATCAACCAAGTCAGCGAGCCTGACCACCCGATCCCGTTAGTCGCCTCTTACGACAAGCATGGGTTGTTGAAGACCTTTTCTACCCCTGATCTTCACGGGTCGACAAATGCATGTAGTTCGTCGGGTTTTCTAGCTACAATATGTTGCCGTTGACACAAGCTTTCAAACCGTACAAACCGTAAAAAATCAATGCATGTATTTGAAATTGCCTATTGGTCGGGTTTCAGAAATAAATATATTATTATGCAACATGGATTCGGTATCTTTAAAAACAGGTCAGCTTCACGTGAATGGAACAGCACTGGGACCCAATTTAGTCTAACTAGTTCTGCTTTTTCTCTGCGATACCGCAGGCATTTTGTGCAAAATTACAGGTTTCAGAAACAAGCCATACATTTGTTAATTATGATCCGATTTTGATGTGTATTTAACAGTATTCGGACACCATACAACGTTTCATTACAATATACCTGTGTCACCAGTTAAGTATTTTCTAATGACGACGATTAAGTTCAGATTTCAGAAAAAGGGCTGTTATTTCCGTGTTACTATCAGATCAATCCAATTTCTAAACGACTTAATGTATACTTAACAACACTTAGAGTATGGTTAGACACCTTTTTACCCCGCTGATAGCAAGGTATAACGTGAAAGTACTGGTTTCACAGTAGTAAAGTCATAACGTTTGTTTTAATTATGATTTGATCATTCTAATAATTGAACTCTTCTTACACGGGTTTCCCTTTCATCTTGACATGAGCTCGCGCGAGGCGGACAACGCCAAGCCATGTACCCCTACATGGAAAAGATAATCACTTGTCCTGAATTGTTGGATAGGCATTACTTAGAAGTTGGATGACATAATTTAAGGATAACAACTTCTTTATTTACTGCAAAGGCGACCTTTCAGTGTACATCCTTATACCGATAATCACTGGTCTTTTTGACACTGGTGAGGATTAATGATGCGGAGTGATGAACATATATCATTTTGGTAACATTCAGTTTAATGAAAATGCTTGATAGTGATTTTCGAGATTCTTACAGCATGTTATATTTAGAATTAACATGTGATGTCAATTATAACAAAGTAAAAAGCAGTGTATATAGGTTTTTAAAATCCAAAACAGTGTATCTGTTATGATATGGCTAAATCTGTCCCTGACATAACTGCATGAGGACATGGCTCTTGCACGATGTGTAGACATCCCATGATGGCAATATGTATAGATTATATCCACCTTGATTACTTTAACTTGAAGGTAACGGAGGATTGGTTGGTTTGTTTTTTTGTTTAACGCCGCACTCAGCAATATTACAGCTATATGACGGCGGTCTGTAAATAATCGAGTCTGGATCAGACAATCCAGTGATAAATATCATAAGCATCGATCCACGCAATTGGGACCGATGACATGCATCAACCAAGTCAGCGAGCCTGACCACCCGATCCCGCTAGTCGCCTTTTACGACAAGCATAGTCGTCTGTTACGGCAAGCATAGGTTGCTGAAGACCTACGCACTCTACCCCGGAATCTTCACGGGTAACGGAGGGCCCTTCTAAAGATAGCATCATAATATGTGAAGTTATGAAAATAACAAGATGTTTTAACCTAAGTGTCAGTGGCATCCATATTATTGACTAAGTATGGGGAGGTCTTGATATTTCTCAGCTAACCTAAACATGAACCTAATTTTCCAGTCAAGCCTTATTGGGCGGTGAATATATACAAAGGGACATAACTCCATTATGCTACTTTCAAACTTTGTATTTAGATGAACTCGTTAGATCTGTACTTAGTATTTACAGTTTGTAGATGTTAAAACCAATTCACAAGACCTGGGAAGATTCCGGGGTAGAATAGGTCTTCAGCAACCCATGCTTGCCGTAGAAGTAGTCTAAAGGTGACTATGCCTGTCGTAAAAGGCTACTAACGGGATCGGGTGGTCAGGCTCGCTGACTTGGTTGATGCATGTCATCGATCAAAATTGCGTGGATCGATGCTCATTATATTAATCACTGGATTGTCTGGTCCAGACTCGATTACTTACAGACCGCCGTCATATAGCTTTAATATTCCAACAAACCAACCAACTAAAACTAATTTACAAAAGAAACAGATATGTCTAAGTAATCCAAGGATTTTGATTTACATTTAAAAATCTCTGAAGATACATCACAGCAAATAGGAGAGTGAAAGAAGGTGGTTATTTTATGTGGGTAAACCTATTATAATTATAAACAAAGTCCCAAGTCTGTAAGCACAATACCACACCCATTGGTTTCACAAAACCTGTGTAACTTTAAAGCTGTCAAATATAAATAAAACTTAAAATGCCTGATGTCATGGTTTCAAGACCTTTACAAACTGCATTATGTATTTAATTTTTAAAGTTAAACACACCAACCGTCATTCTTGGTCACGTGTCAACAATCGTGATGTATATTTGGGTGTACAAGCTCTTAGGAACAGACCATTTGATATTCAGGATGTGTGTGTGCGTGTGTGAGTGCATTGGGGGTGGGGTGGTTTTAATTTTAAAATATCTGGTTTTGCATCTGTAGCTGAAATTTATTCAGATTTTACCACCATGCCAAGGTTGTGTCATCATTTTGTTTTTGTTTGCCAAAATGTAGTCAATTAATTTAATTATTATTTATGTTGAAAACATAACACCAAAATATTCAGTTACATGGTTCTTAAATGTCACCATTAAAAGCGGGGCGGTCGGGTAGCCCAGTGGTTAAAGCGTTTGCTCGTCACGCCAAAGACCCGAGTTCGATTCCCGACATGGGTACAATGTGTGAAGCCCATTTCTGCTGTTCCCAGCCGTGATATTGCTAAAAGCGGCGTAAAATCAAACTCACTCACTCACCAGCATTAAAAGCCTTAAAAAAGAGAGGTGCCGACCCTGACCCGCCTCTGGACCCGCCTATGGGCTGTCATGATGCAACTGGAATATATACTCACTGCCAAAAGAAACCTGAATACCATACATGTGGGTTTAAAATATTAAGAATTACTCATATTCAATAGATATTAGATTGGTTTGATGCACAAACGAACATACTGTTATGGTGTGTGAACCGACGATCATGACCGCATCAAATATGTGACGTCATAGATCCATGACTTGATATGCACCATTTGACTTGTGCAGGATTAGCATGTAAAGTTTGGACATCATGTGCAGCATATGGTGATAAGAATAAAAGCACTCTGATTGTTAGTTTTGTTACACATTGGAAACAGCTTTTCTCAACGTACATACTTCTCTATATGTTTCTATGTTACGTGTTTCTTTTGGTGGTGAGTATATCTTACTACAGGGTAAAAACTTCATGCACTCATTCCAGAGAGGCTGGGCTGCTTTTCATTTCTGGCATTCACCCAACTTGAACCTGTGTACCAATAGCAACGGAAATAAGCAAACTTCAGATAACAAAAGGTGTTATACAAATTTATTACAGTTCAGTTGAGTTTTCATATCCACACTATTATTCAACCATTTACAGGCACACACAATTTCAGGTCACTGCTAGCTTTCTTCTTCCTTTGGTTTACAAGATTCTTTCAGTAATTCCACCAACTGTCCAACTTGTTCCTCTCGAAAATTTTCTAGCAATTCCGGGGATAGTTCAAAACCAATCATCTGTTTCTGTTTCCGTTGACCAAGCTGCTTTGCCAATGACATGTAGTATTTCTAAAACATATAAAATGGAATATTGTTATAGAGAATAAAAATACTATGATTAAAAAAAACAACATTTAATTTACAAGTAGCTCTAATTTTCAAGGTGCATTCAAATAACCTTACTTCCTATCACAAAAGGGGGCACGGGTGGCCCTGTCATCTAAGTTGCAGAGTTGCGTCCCTTAGGCATGCCAGTAACCTATGATTGTGGGTTTGAATCCCGGTTCGCCCCGACTGTGTTTCTAGCACCATTCCCGTGCTCGTGGGTTTCACCGAAGTGGTAAACATCTGAGACCTGCATCACTTCGGACTTTCCTCCCACATATAACTGGAATACTGTTAAAAGCAGCATTAAACCACTCACTCACTCCTCTCACAAAAAGAAAATGCCAACTTTGATTGCGTAATGCCATCAGAAACACAAACTGGTTGACAGCAACATGGAGAAATTCAAGATAATCTTGTGTCGTATTGTGACACAAGTATTGCTGTCGCTATATGGCGGAATAATGCCAATGTAATGTTAAATTTGAAGTCACTAACTCAAGTATTGCGATATGTATTGATACATAATGTCAGGTATATCGTGACAACCCAACAAGCTTTTCCTAGATAATAGTTTGATTGATCAAAAATCATGAAAAGATGTCAATCAATCTAAAGCTCTGACTAGAGTCTAATTACACATGAATAACACAGTAATGCCCGATCTGAGTCTCTATCACACTTTAGTGGTGGGTTAGCCCAGTGGTTGAGTGTTCACTCGTCACGCCAAGGGCCTAGGTTCGATTCCCCACATGGGTAGAATATGTGAAACCAATTTCTGGCGTTCCCCGCCTGAATATTGCTGGAATACTGCAACATGTGGTGTAAAACCCAAATCAGTCACCCTCTCCATTACACATTGATGGTAAGTTAAAAATAACACTTGATGGCATTGGCATTGAGCAACTACTGACAGTGATATTGTTTTTCTTAAATTTATACCTAAAAAGTACTTATACATTTTTTCTTATAACAAGTATTAAATGTTTGAAGTTAGTTAACTCTTAAAAACCTACTGAACTTACGAAATGGTAGAAAAGCAGCATATGTCGGGCTTTTTCAATGTACTGAGAAATGTAAGGAAATCTGGGTAATTAATTATTCCACACTAGACAAAACTATTGCAGTAGTACTATTAGTACAATAGTAGATTGGCCATATTTTAAAAAAAAAATATCTAGCAATATTGAAAATTCCAATGAATGATCATTTTACGATTTTCATTTTTGATTCTTACTCTAATCATTAGGACTGGGAGTAAAAGACATCTCTATAATGGAATAATTTGATGTATATGTTATTAAAAGCATGAATCTGTGTTGTAATATATGTCTTATCAATTTAGACTTTTGGTTGTTGACTGTGTGTAACTGAGCAAATGAAACAGTGTGTAACTGAGCAAATGAAACAGTCTAAAAATAAACAAATACAAAGGAAAATCTTACTGTCCACTCTGACATGAAGACCTTTGCCTCTTGATCCAGGCTATTCTTGTGTAGTCTGAATTCAGATTTCACATACTGGTCCCCAATCGCTTTCATTTCTAAAGGAAGACCTCTGTGAAGCTTTAAGATGCCTTTATACAAAGCACGTACCCTAGATAAATTACTGATGTTAGTCGCCATTTTCGTTAACACTTCCACCATCCAAAATAAGAACAATTCTGACCAGTCTAAAAGTTACACAACATTCTCATGGAAGTTGGCAGGTGCGCGCTGTATTACGCGACGTTCTCTTGAAGTGCGAGGCACTTTCTCTGTACGATACACGAGAGAAATATACACATGAAACCGTTTTGAAAACTAAAATGTATAACTGTTTAAAGAAAGACAATCATATACGTGTTAATGACTTCCACCTTCTCCCTATTGTATCGATACATGCTGTCTGCTAGAGGTTAACTTCGCGCGATGCTCTACGGATATATTGGTGACCTTGGAACTACTGATTGTGCTACAACTACTTATAGCGGGAGCTGGACACTCCGTACCATGGAGATCTTGGCGAACACGTACACAAATGTTGGATAACCCGTACCCACTCGTACCCAATCAGCTGGCTGACTCGTACACAAAAACGCCAGTCCGTACACAATGATATTTTTTTTTAACATAATTGCAAACATTATTTGCTTCTGTTCTTACTTGTAGCAATGACCCGGAATTGATATTTGACACTGTAGATGTTGTGGTGACCTGGATAGTGCTCAATGGAGAAAAATCTGAATAGTGTCTTAGAAAAGCATTAGAGCTGTGTAGCATCAGTGCCTTTTCTACAAATATTTTACCTGTTCAGATGCCATAAAGGTCACAGCCACTGGATGCATGGTGTGTGTCACATTTCCATATACCACCCCAAAAGAAACACATCTAATGTACCAACTAATGGTGGCCCTGGCTGGTCTGTCTCCAGAGAGATCGAAAAAATTAAGAAATGATTCCAAATTAAGTCAGGAATGATTTGGCAAGTGTAGCTCCTGAAATTAATAATTCTTCCGGGGTCCATTTGGATTTTGTTTTTTTATTTTGTGGATATAAACTTTTAAATAAGGTAAATTTTATTTCTGGGTCTAAATGTTAGTTTAAGCCCTAGCATGCAGCAGGATATAGTTCCAACCTGAAGCCTAGCACTCCTTAAATTCAATCGGCAGTTTTTTTGTCGTTGAATATACAAGCCGGTTCCAGTGTGTGTACTAAATATTACTAAACCTCTTTTTTTTTCTTTAACAGAAGTGTGATTACAAGACTCATTTTATTGGTGTAATTAAACACAAATTACACGAAGAAACAATTACTCCCTGTTTCAGTTTGTTTAGATACAACAATAACATAGACTTTGATAGCTGCGGTTACCGAATTCCAGTAATTGACATCATGAGCATCAATCCACGCAAATGGGTTTCGATAACATGCATCAAACAAGTCAGCAGGCCTGACCACCCGATCCCGTTCGTCGCCTCTTACGACACGCATAGTCGCCTCTTACGACTAGCATAGTCGCCTCTTACGACTAGCATAGTCGCCTTTTACGGTATGCATGGGTTGCTGATCCACCCCGGATTTTCACGGGTCTCATGAACTATGTGGATTCTTAATAATATCATCGAGTGTTACATTTTGTATGCCATAAGGAGACGCGAAACACATAAAGACCCAAATCATGCTCTTGAAGAGATCCTTTTCCTTGTGGGTAATACATTTTGTTTCAGGTGATATTGAACTGTCAATAAACGTAATTACGGAACACACATAGGTGTGAGTAAGTCATCTGGGAATGGGAGTCGATCAAAAGAAATCGCACGCTGTGATTGTTGAGATAGAGCTTATAACTGACCAACGACATTGTAGCAATCAACAAATTATCTCGCAATAGACATTATATCAATAGACGTCCAATGTTAAAAATACTTAAGTATAATAAGTTGTGTGGAATGTACGATTCTATTTGTATCTTTATTTGGAACATCGCGTGAATTACGTCAACAGTAGTTCCGCAGAAAATAATTTGATGGAGGACGAAAGTTGAGCAGGATATCGTGTAAAGAGGTTGATTTTGCAGAAACACTGCCATCATGGCTGACAGAAAGGCAGAATTAGAGAGAAAGAAGGCTCGCCTCGAGCAGATGAGGAAGGAGAGAATTGAGAAGGAACGCATTAAGAAAAGTCAACCGGTAGGAAAATCTCTGAGTGAAGTGTCATTCTCGGGCATCCATCTTTTATCATAATGAGTCATGCATACTATTAAACAAAGACCAATTTAAGAGATTTAAGGAATATTTGGACATTTTTTTAGATTTTTCCGCTTTCATATTGTAAACTACTTTATTTGTCTTTTTTTCTTGCCGTTTGCAAAGGGTACTACCTAATGCACATCCAGACAACATGTGCAAACGAGAAATCATAAATTATGCACATAAATCGATCACGAGAATACACTGGACTTAAGTCGTAGATGTGACTGTCAGTGGTTGTTATGCTACAGTTTGATGCTCATATTTTATTTTTTCATGTTGTGTGTTGTGCTTATTTTCAGAAAAGCACGTCTCTATCTAAAGATGATTCTATACAGCGGCAACAGGTTACTAATGCTTGTGGTTTGCTTGCTACCAGTGCTTTTAAGTTTTAGTCAGTAGCCGAGTGGTTCCTTATTGCTAGTAATGCTACAAATCAGGTGTATATGCAACATTCCAGATTCAACATGTTCAAGTAGACCATGAAGATGTATTGATGAAGATACCCTCTGGGGATTCAGGGTTTTAGATTTACTCATTTTATAGGACTTGGACATTGTCAGTCCTGATTGTTTTATCAAAATTTGTTAATGATATAAAAGAGTGACCTATCAAAACTTGATAAAATCATGAAAATGTTGCCCACTTTTTGTCTCTAAAAATACCACTGGGATCAACATGACAAAGGTCGAAATAGGTCCCTGTTCAGTTTTTCTGATCAGTTCTTTTTCATGGAGACTGATTGACTGACTCGCTTCCAAATCTGGTAATGATATCACGAGAGAAGAATGTCCTGTCAAGAGTTGATAAAATCATGAACATGATAAAAATGTTCTAATATATATATACATAAGTAAAACTATTGTAGGGAGATCTTTTTGCTCTTCATTTCTGCATTTCTGCATTTGTGATTTCTTTTATAAAAGTACATCCTCACCATTGGTGGCTACGCCAGACATGATATTGTTTCTTTATACAATGTAGAATACCCATTGGAAGAAGGAGAAAATGGCTATATGGAATATTGTTCGTTATTTTCCTGCTTTCCCCATCCAAGCTTCTTAAATCTTCCAGTTTGTTCATGCAGATATGGTGGTGGTCAGATAAATGAATTTGAACCTTTTATTAGCTCAGTTTTTCTTCATTTAGTTCTACTGTTCTCTAGTGATATTATGATAAAAACTTTGATAAGCCCACAAAGATTTAAAAGTAGCATATTCCATGAATGTCTCAAGAGCTTTACCATAGATTATAATGACTAAAGATGTAAACATGAAAAGTGCAGTTTTGTTACTTTACAATATACCCTTTAGTAAAATCATTGATATAGAGACTTGCACATTCAGACAATGCTACATGTATAATCTCCTCACTTCTGGAATTTGATCCCTGACATGTATTAACAGTGATTCAGATTAATTTGACATTTCATTTCTGAATCAGTTTAGTTTCTTGTTTTCCATGTGTCATGGAATAAATCATGACTTCAATTTCTTCCACATGTCAAGAATTAAATTTCTGAAGAAATGAGATTCACCAAAGGTCCTTGAGATCCTTTTTGAAAACCAGGTGGCTGTAGTGTGAGAACTCTTAAACACAGATTAAGGACATTAATTAACTGTTATTCTGAAATAGGTCAACACTTTAAGAAATTAGCATAAGAGATTGAGCCACATGAGCAGGATAATGCTAGACGTAAGGGGAATGTTTTAGCCCTACATTTGTGATTCTGTTGAGTGGAATCGCGTACATCTAGTTCCCTGTGTTGGATTGTGACAAGTACTCACTAGGAATAGTGTGGCATGAACATGAGAAATCACATGATCCATATTACATAACTGTGAACAATTAGCCTGGAAAATATTAATTGAACAAAAATTTAATTTTCCATGAAATTGATCCGGCTGTCCAGCTTTTGTTAATTAAATTTAGTAGCCAGGTATTGTCCCTCTAAGATGTTACTAGCCATGGCCCAAGAGGCTTTGGTTTATTTCTGATTCTGATCAAATAGTTAAAGGCGTTTATCATGCATAAGAGTGATTTTTAGATAAGTTAGTTTTAAATTATTACTTATTTTTGGAATATGTGTCTTGGTAGATTGTGGAATTTGAAATGTGTTTGTTCCCTATTTCATGCAACCATACCTTGAAGATACATGATTTCTTTAGATTAATCATAAATTTTACCATGTTTACTGCAGAAAATATATATTCCTATTTTAATGCTGAATTGAAATTGGCCATGTCAAACATATAAGTATGATCAGGGCTCGAAAAATCCTCTCGTCAGCTTGTTTTGACAAGTGGCAGCATGTGCAGGGTAAGAAAGAGGTGAACAAACAGAGTTGTCCTACCGGGAGAGTAAATATTTCAATCGTATTAATTCATCGCTATTCGTTTTCATGAAACTGTACAGGATCATTTTGAACTATGTTCTCACTCTCAGTAATGAAAATGAAATACATGTCTCTCATACCATAAATAAACAGCATACTTGGCAATTCCTCTGTTGACAAAATAAAAAAAGTGTTCGCTCTGCAAACCTTGACACAAGTTTTTAAAGGGAGGTCATTATTTTTGTTGTAAACGACTCGTTACTTGCGACTCAAATGTCAATACGAAAGTGAATGATTTTGTGAGGCAAATGGCTTGTTTTACTTATATATAAGTTTTTGAATGTTTGGATGCTGGGGTTGGCGAGAAAAAACATGATTTGACATGACATCAAACGGACTGAAAATAAGGTATGTTTTTCAAAAACAGTATGACTGAAAAAAAGAAAACAAAAGGTGCAAGAAGCCTTGGTTCAGCCAATTGGCATTAATGGGCAGAGATGAACGTAGATGACAGTGACTGAATTATTTTGTACTGGCTATCATAAGTAATTTCAACTCAAAGGTTACTTACAGAATATGGTAATTTTTACTGAGAACATAAAATTTTATAAAATGTAAAAGGCCAAGTGAAATTATTGCAAGAAGAGTACAAAATGATATCTACTTGCCCTGCAGGACAAGTTGGGTTTTGAGAAATCTTTCGAGCCCTGATGATTGATATAGATGAACAATGATGGCAATAAGCAAATTTTGTCCAATAAATACAGTATATAAGAATAATCTTTGAAAGTAGAACATATTAAACAAGTTAAGTATAATGGAGAGTACACTTTAAGCTGTCATTTAATGTTGTGAAGGCAACCAGTTTTCAGTTTAGAGCTGTGACCAGAAGTGACACCCGTGTCTGTATTTTCAGAGTGAAGATACTAAGGCCAAGCCCCCAACAGATCTCAGGACAGAAACTGACAAGATGCTCCGAGATCTGGGCATCCCGCCTGCAGGTACACTTATCTCCCTTTGAACAGAAATGTTGATGACTTGTCAAAACAAAATAATTTGGAAATGACTTTGCAATATTCATTGGTAGTTGCTTTGCAGCTCCAAACACGTTATTATTGAATAATATACTTGAATTAAGTATGAATATTATGTGAAGAATTAAAAGACATCTGAAGCATACATCTAAATTAAACAATCCTTGTTTAAACACTTTGGGTACCTCTTCCACAAGTTAATGTAAGGATCTGGAATTCGTTTCAGGTAAATTATTTTGTTATGACTGTTGTTAGGGTAAAGTAGTTGTGATAGTAGTCAAGATTTCTTGTGATACATTGTGATTGAAATGTGAAACTTCAGATAACAGTATTTCCAAGAGTCAGTCATGGTAGAATATTCATGATATTAAATTACTTTGTTTGACAAATGTGTTTGTATCATCAATGCATGCTAATATGTTTTCAGACATAGTACCACACAGGGGTAGAAACTAACATTTTTAGACCACTAGTCCTTACAATGATAACATATAGCAAAACCTTTGAAAATGGCACATTTCTACTAGTGCTTATGATACCATAGCTGTTGGCCAGTTTAGCAAGGACTACAGGACTAGTGCCAATTTCTTAAGCTGCCACATTTTCCTTCCCAAGAGCAGACAAGGTCTTATTTATTTCCTATTCTACTTTATTGCAGTAGCAATATTTTCTGGGGTATATTCATATATATATATACCATATTTCCCTTATTAAGTGCCCTGATCCAGTAAGCACCCTCTAAACCAACATTTAGGCCAATCTGTAAGTAATCTGTAAGTTCCTGTTTTCTTGTCTATTGGGGATACTTAATGGACAACAGCAGCATGGAAGGGGTATGTTTATATATTATATACCTGGTAACTAATTTTATTAAAAGTTTTAGTTTCATCGATGTTAGAAGTAACTTTGTTCATAACTGCTAAATCGCTCAAACCGAATTTAACTCGTGTATGTTTTTGGTAAGGACCCCCACTTAGTCGATTATTTTCTAAGTACCCAGGGCACTTATTACGGTGAATACTGTATAGGCCTATGCTGTGGTGATGTAGTTTTGTTTTGATACCTTGTTCAGTTTGTTTGTTTGCTATTGTAAGTGATCAGTGTTTGGGTAAGTCCAGATGGTGAAGGGTGCTTTGATTTTCTTTCATTACAGCTGAAATTATCTCTCCAGATACTACTGCTGGTAAAGGGGTGCCCCCTGGTGCCCAACCTAGCAAACAGGGGGAGATAACGCAAACAGTTGCTCCATCAAGGTAAGACTGGGAGATGTTGCTTGAGACTTAGAAGCAGTTATTGTTAGGGCTGGCTATCAATATATATAATACAAATCAATAATTGCTTACTAAATATCGATCAATTATCGATAAATATTGGAAACGTAACTTTAGGCAAATATGCTAGAAAATACCAGAAGAAATCAGCACATTTCATACCACTCGTGAGCAGTGACACCTTCTTTGACAGTTGACATGATTGACAATAACAAGTCTGTTTTTGTAAATGTGAACTTTCTTTCATTACAATCGTTTGTGTAAGTTATTATCGATGACAACAATTTCATAATGATAATCTTTAATATTTCTTCCTATCAACAATAATTCCATTTGATAAATAAGGGCAAAAGTAAACTTAATTCAGGTTTTCTGTTCGCACAGCATAAGCATTGTTCAGGATCTAAAGTCATGGTTTTCTAAGCCACCAAATGGTAACTCCTTTAGCATGTTTAGAGAGAAGGCCTAACTGGATATACGCTTGAGACGAGAACCTGCAGATTGTCCCATTATACCCTAATATCACTGAATTAGTACTTCATCCCGGTTTGTCTGGTCTAAATTTGTTTATACATGTATACCTTATATTCAGGCCACTGTAATTATTTACTGATGTGAAGAATTCAAGAATTAAGTTCATTGCACCACTTCTTTTTGGTAAACTATTTATTCTAGTTTTTAGTTTCTAGAAATGAAGAGTATTAGGATCTTGTTTATTAGACATAACCTAATTTTCAGTTCCAAGAGAAAGGTGAATTTATCAATGTGTAAAGTGTCGGAGACGAACATCCCGCCGAAGGAAAATGTGACGTACAGCAAGGAGGTGCAGACCGTGGCGTCGGAACCACTGGATAAGGATGGTCAGTATGCCAATGGCCGATGTCCTGTTAATACCTGTACCTAGTTCTCGTGTCAGACGTTTATTGCAGGGTACAGTGGAGTAACCGGTACCTTTAGCTGCTGCATTAAGATTTGAGAGAAGTGTGTGTAATGTGACTGTTTAACATGAAGTAAGAGCTACTTTCCTAAGTCCAGTACTTCTGTCAGCATAGCTATCACAAAGTAGTTGTGTGGTACTATATACATGGATATTTTCACATCACAGATCCTCTAGAAACGGTTCTTGTTAGGATTTGCTGTCAGTAGTCACAAAGGAAGTTTGCTATTGTTTATTCACTGATGTTTATGCTGTGATAAGATGTATTTATGCACTATATTTCACTGTTTGGGTTATTTATTAAGTTAATATTAAGTGTTGAAGTGTTGGTATTTCAGTTGATACTTACATTCATAACACTCACTCCAAGTGCACAGCTATTGGTGATTAATCAGACATGAATGTCTCAAAGTGCTACAGTGTACACAGCAGTGATAAAACCTACCCTGAAACAGTCTGAAACAGAGATGTATCTAGGCTTTCACAGGGTTCACACGAGGAATTTTCTGACATGGGCCCTTTTTGTGAAAATGTTAAATATTCCAGAGGTATGCCCATACTGTACAATGTTAAAATGCCCCTTTGTATTTGAAAATGTGGGCCTTTTTTCAAATTCAGGGGCTAAAAGCACAAGGCCCCTACCTAGAATTATCCCTGCTTTCAAAGATGCCAATACTAAGGATGATATCTTGATATAAAGTAACTGAACAATTTCAATTTGTAAGATACTATTTGTCAGTATTGACTTGTTTGTTAGATGATTATTGTTTTCACCACTGCACATTTAATTTTGCGCAATAATCCCACCGATGCAGGGGTAAGAAGACCATGGGGATTCCAAAAGCTGAATTGGTGTCCTCTGGATATTCATGCATGGAACCTTCTGCTTGATTTCAGCTGATGTTTTTCAGATTGTATCAGACAACGGGGATGGGATATTGAAATGGCTGAAATAACCTGAATAAGAGAAAAAGTTAACTAATGCAAGGTCCTTTGTGGTATCCTTAGTGTGCATATGTGCATTTTCAGAAATTCTGACATGTCTTTGATTGTGCCATTGTAATGGTACAAGGAATTATTCTAATTTTCAGTTCCGTAGTCTGTGGTTGTTTGGACTGCTATTGGTGCAAAGGGCTGTCTTGACATTATCTGTCTTTCAGAAAAGAATCAAGATTTTGTTCAGTACACACCCCTTATGTGCTATTTAAACACAGAATGTGGATTCTGTTTGAATTGTATACATCGTCATGTTTATTGAATAACCAATGTAACTTACCACATTATTTACTTTGATTTTATATTACTAAGGGTGTGATATTACCCCGAGTAATATAACCTATGCAGCATTAGCATCAGTTTTGACATGTATTTCCTTCAGGACAACATCATATGGAATATGACCATTATATCATGGGGATTTCTGGGTTAGAATGTAGGTCCTCAGCAAGTTATGCTTGTCATAAGAGGCGACTAAATCGAGCGGGTGGTCAGGATCAATGACTTGGTTAATTCATGTCATGGTATCCCAATTGTGTAGACTGATGCTCATGATGTCAGTCACTGGTTTGTCTGATCCAGAATCAATTATTGACATACCACTGCGATATGGCTGGAATATTGCTGAGTGTGGCGTTAAACAATAAACAAATATATTATATCATAACTATAATTATGATGAATGGAAATTGATACCCGCCTGTTTATTTGACGTCAGGATTGAAGGGCGGTCGAGGTCCTGCCAGTGAGTAGTTCGCTAGTGTCCCCACAGAGGGCGCTAGTTGTCATTGTAGACTATCATCACTGCATAGCGGCTGTATCTGTCATGTGCCAGTATCTTTCTTTCTGTTTACATGGATTTTGTAACCGACAATTTGCCATTTCAACAGTTTACTCAATCTTTGATTTATGGTTGTCATTTCTGGACTTCTGGAGTTTTGAATTAAAATTTTAAAATTTAAAATTTCCTTTATCAGTCAGAAAGCATTCAAGTATTTGAATAATCATCAGAAATTATATAGTTTATTATAGAGTGGGTTTTTCTGTCAAATATATCGACTAGACCTCAATGAATATTGGTATCGATTTTGAGTACTTTGGGGTTTGACTTTAATCATTTGGGTTATTGAGGCTGTTGTATTTTGTACTAAAGTATGTGTTGCATATGATATATATATTAAGTAGAGCAAGGGAGTATAGCCATGTTGATACTGGAATAAGTGGGTTAGTCGTTTATAGGTTAATCAGATGTAGTTTCCATGTTTTTGTCTAGAACTGGTTTCATTCATGACATATAATTACTAAATTTCACAAGATGGTTGTTGGTAAATGTTTCTTATGTACCTATGTATATCCAAACTAACAACCATGTGTTTTCATGAGTGTGTAACTCATGATAATCACTCATAACAATTATGCCTTTACCCGATATATTATAGATGAGAGCCTACATTAAGAAACTGATTGATCAAGAGGTGGTTTGAAATTCTTAACTGTTTTTGTTTATTTCACTATATTTGAGATGGCAAGTTGATCAACTCTTATTGTATGCATTCTGACGTTTCTTAAAATGACAAGCTAAAAACCCTGTAGGGTTTCCAGAAAATAAGGTTGTTGTTCTGTGTGCTTTCATATATTTTGTATTGGCTTTCATTGAAATTGCTTTGTCATGATGCAAGATTATTTTCTGAGTGGATGCACATTCCTCTGTTGGATGATTTTGTGGTCAGACTGCATGCTGATTCAACATTGAATAGATCCTCTTCATTTTATGCATAAACACTCATCTTGGTTTCAGAATAACACGTACTAACTACATTAATACACTGACACTAATCCATAACAAGATATTTTGGGAGATATCATGATGTACATTCCCTGGTTTTTGTATGTCAGTATGTGGTCATGGTGTTTGTTACCTTGGCAACAACATTATCACTGGTGGAAGATAGATACATGCATGTCCTATAGATACCATGAGATACACTGGTCTTTCATTTGAGAATGTCTGAATACAGTAACCAATGGTTACGGTAACTAGTGTTTTGTGTTTTGTAGATGATCAGAATTATTAAGGTCTTCACAACAAATCAGATTTGAAATTATGGTTTGAAGAAGATGTGCATAAGTTATAATATGATTGTGGGAATGGGGGCACGTGTGGCCCAGTCGTCCAAGGTTCCCCAATTCGTTGTGCAGAGTTGCATTGTTTCTAGGTTTGTCAGCACCATGCCCATGGGTTTCATGAAACGTAAAAGTCTGAGACCTGCATCACTTCAGACTTTGCCCCCACTTTAAGCTGACACGCCGTGATATAACTGGAATACTGTTAAAGCAGTGTTAACCCTGAACTCACTGACTGACTCGTGGGAATTCATGCAGAAGTGCTGAAACTCAGTGTGATGGGTCCTCAAGAGAATACATGCTTGAACAATATTTGAAAGCATCATTACGATGTGTTACGATCATTACGAGTACACATATGGATGTTGTGGGCAGCAGAACCCAGTAGGCAGCAATTAATCTATGCAGACAACATGGTAGCGTCCAAGCAACATTTCATTGATCTCAGATCTTGTTCTTCTCCCAACCATCAGTTTGTGTAGTTTGTTTTTTCCTGGATTAGGACATCCAATCTGGTTGTGTCTACCCTATAGTTGTCACGCCCATAACTGCACACCTGGGAACTTGCACCATCCTCCGTATCTCCAGGGCCCACGGTAAACCTAAACCAACCCCTGGATCCATTTCCGTGGATCTCACAATCTCAAATTACATGCTCTTGATTTTCATTAACATTTACCCAAACCAATCAAACATCGAGATAAGGAAAACGGAAATGGGTAAGGGAGGTAACTTGTATTGCCTAGAAACCGAAGTCACAGACAATTTTGATGCACATGAAGGCATCTTTTCCTTCCAAAAGAATTCTGGGGCTTTCTTTTGCATGTCAGTCTGTTTTTCAATGTTGAATGTTTCTCAAACTCTGTCGTAGTCAATGGTACTGGCCACCATGTTGTTGATATCGCCAACATTGAGGATGGTTTCTAACTTGCAGCCTGATTGGTATGTGAGAGAAGCGTAACAAATCAAATTGGCTAATGAAAATCAAGTGCGGGTAATTTGAAATCTCAAGCGCCATCGGGATGGATCTAGGGGTTAGTTAAGATTTACCGAAACAAGAGCCCTGGAGATGCAGGGGATGAACTTACTCGAGCATGATGAGTAACCATTGGACTTTACCCTTGCTGAATTGTTTCATAGGCATTACTTAGAAGTTGACGGATGACAAAGTAGACACAATTTATGGATAACGACTTCTTTAAGTCTTGCTTGACAAAGGTATAAGAATCCATACCGAAACGTTGCTTTTTACAGTATTAAAGAAGTTGTTGTCCATAAATTATGTGTACTTTACTCTTACTGGTTGGTGTACTCATATACTGTTCTCTGTCTACGTTATGTTATGCAGTGTCACAGTGAATTGGATTTGTTAGGAGTTTATTGGACAGAAAACTGACAATTGTGGTCCTGTTCCTGGAAGATGAGTGAAGCATGTTTTGGGGAAGGGATGTTATTTCCTAGGAATTGGGCTGAAGTTAGATGGCATAAGGATCAAAGTCCAAGTCTGAGACCTGACATTGATACGTATTGGTACATCAGGCACAAACATGAGTGTTTGCTGTGTCTATGTTCACTGGATACCAACTGGTTTGACCACAGATTGGATCACGGTGTAATGGAACGCGGGGACTTGTTACTGACCCGGGGAAAAGTGTTGTATGAAGACGACCGTGGCTTTAGTACTTTTGTCTGAGGTAGTGGTTCTTAATTTGGTAGATGTACAATTTTAATCATAGAACTAAATTCATGAACTGTTAGAGGATGTAGATTAACTGGACTGATCACACCATGATACAGAGACAGAGGAATCTGAAAGTAGGTATTTATGGAGGACATTATGAAACTGTGGGTTATTATTCTTTATGGCATTCTTCCCCATAAGGACTCCATTGTATTGCTGCCTAGTGTGTGCTGCTGTCTCCCCAACCCCCCCGCCCCTGATGTCGGCCATGTTGTAGGGCAAACAGGTCACATGGTGTGACATACTTCCTGTGTCTGTTGTGTTGCTCACTTGTCTATCTGATCAAAACTGTGCTCAAACCTACTGGAATAACTATGATGGTTTAAAATGGTTTGTAATAACAAGTATTATATCCAGAGAGGTATAAATTTTGAATTCCCGTTTATTTTCAAAATGGATTATGTTGATAGCAAAGGACTTTGTAAACACGTTGGGTGTATTAGTTCACAGATGTCTATTTTTTCTGATTATGTCAAAATAATAATTAAATACCAACTTACTCTTAACATTGTTAAGAAAATGTTGATTTAGAAATAAATGGGAAAAGTAATATGAATTATTTTATTAATGACCTGATGAATATATGAGTTTTTGAATACATCCCCCTTTGCACAGGTTCATGGATTTGAAGTCGCAAATATTCGCAAGTTTTGGTCAGATATATTTTCACATTTTGCCGCGATTTCTGATTCACATTACTTGTGCTGGTTTACTTTCATAATTTTGCTGCTGTGAGTAGCAGTTGATATTTTCATATTTTTGCCATGTTCATTTGCCAGTGAACATCTTTTTAAGTTTAAATCTTGAGTTGCTCAACGCAAACTTCATCTTATGAAATCAAGAAGATTTTACAGGACTGACCTTAAATAGTGACTTTTTTTATGGGGAGGCTAAAAAATGCCGGAAAAAAATATAACACCAGATTTTAAACCATTTGGTTGATCTGAGATCAGCATCTGCTAATATTTGACAATGTTCATTTGCAAATGCTAGCACGTGGGCCGTGGGACTATTACGGTAAGTGATTTTCATTTTGGGGGAGATGCTTCTTATGATTCTTGGTGAAAGTTTTTATGTAGTTTTTTGGGTCTAATAAATCTAAATTTGCATGTATGTTTTAAATTAGCAGTTCTGAGGGGTTGGTATGTTACTGTAACATTTCTGCCAAAATAAATGCACCTTCCACACAGAGGTACCATGTCCTACATTGTCATGCACATCTCTTGAAATGGGAGATAACCCCAGCCAACATTGATGACATCACCCACAAGGTTCCGACAATTCCGTGGAAACATTACCGATATATGTTTCCCCCCTTCTTCTGAATTTACTTAGTTCTTAGATTGGGTACTTCTTTTCCTTGCTTTAATTTTATGTTTGAATATTATGTGACAATATGAGCTGTTGTTGACTTTTCAGTTCTTTCTGATGTATGTCACACTCTGTGTACAGTTTATAGCCCTGAACGTCCTCATGTGCACTGACCCAGATCATGATGGGGAGGGTTAATATGTAGTGATGTACAGTCTTTCCTCATCAGATGAAAATGATCACAAGCGTCCGACATGCTAATACTGTTCTCCCGGAATATCTTTACCCAGTTTCCATTTGCAGTACAAGCTCTAGGTGTGACAGCATTACGTATGATGCCTCACATTCTGATAGATTTACATATGGTAAATGGAACCTAGCCCACTTTCTTACTAATGCTTTCTGACACCAAGTCACTGTTAATGTTTTGAAATAAATTTTTACTGATCATTCTTCATTTTGTTCCAGATTTGTTTTATTAATGTGATATTGTGTAGATTTTTTCTTTCCTTTTTTTCAGTTTATTCTTTTAAGTATTTGGTGCCTTTATGTTGTAATGAGAAATTTCTCACTTTTTTTAATTTTATTATAAACAAGGAAAACACATGATAAATTTGGTTAAATCTCTTTTTAATCATTCTTGGCAACAAATTTTGTTCCTAATTTATTCCAGAAGGTAATGTTTTGGTCCTTACTTTTCCCTGATGCAGCTTTCCCCCTTAACCTTCCTAACAGTACATGCAGAACACGCCAGTAGACAGTTGACTATGGTAGTCACAGCACCAAAATAACCTAGAACTTCACAAGACCCAGCCACATTGATTTCAAACTCTTTTGCTACTTTCCTTTTCTAGATTCAGATTCAAGCACATGCAGCCCTAAACTGGGTATGTTTGAGTTGAGTAACCAGATGCTAATGTGGACCTGTACACTTCAGTTGTTTCTGTGAAAGTGTATTTCTTATTTAAAGTTTTTGTGTGTCAGTATTATTATTGTAAATGTATGCATAGTTTGACGGAACTTTGCATGTTTTTTTTTTCAATATTTATAAGCAGACTGCCATATGTAAGAACTTAAAAGATGATAGTATTTTTTTTCAATATCAGTATTCCGAAAGAAATTACTTCAGAGTACAAAATGGCAGAAAATACTTTATTTGTAAATGTTACTCTATGGTAATATCTTGTCAATAGTACAGTATTCTTTGTAAAACTAGAAGAAATATATAAGCTTCAAACTCAGTAGTAAAATATGAAGAAAGTAAATATGGTTAAAGAATAGACATGGTAGTGACGTCTTCAGATTTGTTGTTCTCATGCAATCACGTGAAGGACAGACATAGCTCTGGGTTTTGTGATGGTAGCCATTTCCTCCATACGTGTTCAGGGTCCTCCCCTCGGTATGGGTCCCCAAAGTTCGTGTATCCAAATATGGAGTGGGATGACGAGTTCACGGATGATGAGGATGAAAGTGAGGAGGACGAAGGTAAACGTTGTGCACGACAACATGCCTGTGACTACATCAGCAGGCTCCATTTTGTCTCTTGTTCTCTGTCAGTCCAACTTCCCTCCCTCTCTGTTGAGTCCATCGCTAGGCCTTCCAGAGCCTCTTTGAGAGTCATTTGGATAGAGACAGTCGTAGCTCAAAGAGGCTCTTTGTCAAAGAAACAGACACATGAGAGTGATTGAGATTGTTTAGTGGTTTATCATTGATGACTGGAGTATTATCTCAAACATTATAGGGAATGCAAGAAGATCATTGTTACAGATAAATGATTCCTTTTGGGTATTGACAAACTTGCAAGTTTGCATCTAAAGATCACATGTAGTTGTTGCACAAGTATACATATGGTACAACCAGTTTTCACGAGGAAATATACAATGTGTGAAGCCCATGTCTGGTGTCCCTTGCCTTGATCTTTCTGGAATATTGCTAAAAGTGCAGTCAAACCAATGTTGCTCACTCATTAGGAAATAAATGCTGCTAGGTTGGTTTGTTGTTTAACGCCGCACTCAGCAATATTCCAGCTTTATGACGGCAGTCTGTAAATAATCAAGTCTGGGCCAGACAATCCAGTGATTAATATCATGGGCATCGATCCACACAATTGGAATCAATGACATGCATCAACCAAGTCAGCGAGTTTGACCCCCCGATCCTGGGAGTTGCCTCTTACGACAAGCATAGTCGCGTTTGGAGCTGAATGCAGTCAACAACTTTTGCAATTTTAAGCACAGAAAGAATTGTCCACATAATAATACTAAATCCACTGAAAATGATAAGAGCCAAGTTCTAGCTAGTGTCCTCAAAGAATTTGGCACAGACTGTGAATGTAGGAACAAAACTATTTGTGGTGGTGACTTTGGGAACAAAATTAATTGGAAAATCTATTGAAACTATATGTAATATGAACAAAATATTGTGAGGAATTGATCGTAGGAACTATATTGTTTATTGAGTTGACTACGGTATAAGGATCTGTACTACTGTGTTTCAATAAAATTACATTAAAAAACATGTTATCCATAAATTGTGTCTACTTTGTCGTCCATCAATTTGTAAGAAATCCCTATCAAACAATTTATCTTTATCATGTTTACCAAGTATTAACACTCATTCCTGGGAGAATAAAACATGTACAAACATCTGTACTTTCGATAACTGTATTGGAGTTGGTACTCAAAAAGTATTTTATGTCATTGTAAGTAATCAAGTTTTTGTTGAAATGAAAGTGTTGAAAATAGGCTCTGTCCTGTCCATGCATGCTGTCTGTCCTGAGAGAGGGAAGTTGGACCTTGTGTCACATACAAGCTGTGCTAGCCCTACACTCTATTTGCTGTGACTGTCCTATGTCTCTGGCTTCTAATACCCACATAGGTTCTAGAGCAAGACATGATAGATGTGCTTATCCTTAGTGTCTTATACCATATGTAAGCTGCAATCAACAATCTATGCATGAGCAGTCCCCCTGTGTTTGTTATAATGGACCAATCCGAGACATGGTGTAATAGTGTTGCGATTGGTTCCATTATGAGCATGAGGGGCTACAGGAAAGGTACTATGTGTTTTTGGTTTTGATATTTCTGTATATAGTTTATTTTGTGGCTTCTTGCACAAGTATCATCCCCTGCCCAATTGTAGTGTGGAAGTATATTTAGACTGGAAGGTGCATTTATGTGCAGAATGTTACAATGTATGCCGGCAGTATCTTTCAGGGCATACTGTTGGACGTTTCATGAATGTTTCAACTTGTTTTGGTGATCATAAGAAGTAGTCTTTTTGATATGTTTCACTTTCACAGGTGTTCTCACTCGTACTGTAGTTAGAATTTCACATTGTCATTAACTTCATGAATATTTTAATTTATTTTGCAAGCTTTGCAAACATGATATATTCTCCTAAAACTGTAAACTATGAATTACTATTTTTTTGTAATATAAGAAAAGTCGTCAACTTCTATGCCATTTAGGTCAGCATTGAGAAATTGGGAATGGTATTTTTAAGTCCAGACATGAAAGTGTTCATGGATTTACATATGAGTTTTCTTCAATTGTGTTTAAACAAGAACAACCTTATTAAAGTGTGAAGATTATTCATGTTATATGCAGATGTCATTTTATTTCACACTTGCTTTGGTTCAAGAATGCTGGAAGGCTTGTAGTTGATGCTCCTCAAGATGGGCAATGGTTCATGGTCATTTACAGACAGAAAATACTCTCATACTCACACCAGTTAAGTTTTGGAAACATTGTTTCGTACAGACAAATCCAAACATACAAACCTTCATACCAACTGAAGATGCTGGAAACAATGACTGGGAATTGTTGATTTACTTAATCCATTAGATATTTTGTATGGAATCAAATGACATAATACTACTTGATGGACTTAATAACACAGACTAATATATATCAACCTGCCTTAACCCTCAGATCATCAAACAAACTCCAATTTTGTCCCACCACTTTTACAAACAGAAATGTTTCGGCTCTAGAACCTTTTCTTACTGTACACAATGTTTAGGAACTTCTTACCACAAGAAATTAAGCTGTGCTCTTCTTTCCAAGCCTCCAAATCAAACCTCAAAACACATCCATTCGAAAAATGGACTGTGAATAAACTCTTGTGTAGCGCTGTGAGCAACTACCTTGTAGCTGGAATAGCGCATGACTGGTGGACTATTATTATTTTTATTATTATACAGAATATGTTACCAATGCATGCCCTGTTAAACAAGCATTGTATAATTCAATAGAGTTTGTGACATTTATTGATGTCCTGTATCTGTCCAGTATTCACATTCAAAGTGTTGTGTATTTCTGAAATCTTCACAATCTGTGTAATACACATCTACCTTACCCTGAAACACGAACCTGTCAATCATGTCATGCATGGACCTTCCTCCTCATGGGCCACTAGCTGCGGGACATCTTGCGCATCGGGACGTAGATTTCATCCAGCTACGCTCCTTGCAGGGCAGTAGTCACCAAATCAGCCATGCACTGCTTTGCCATGGTGCATGGTTCACATGTAGTTTGAAGAGCCGATACAGACGGCCTGCCACATTTGCATGTTAGTCAGGGCTTTGGTTTGTATTATGAAATGTTCATTGAACCGTTGGATTATTTAAGTGAAAGTGTTTATAAGAAAAATAAAGTATTCTTGTAGCTTTTTGACATTTGCAGTGTCTGTGAAGAAAATATTTTAATAAGTCACTGGCATAGCGTATTAATGTATTTGCCTTGGGGATGGTTCGTAACTACGGTTATAACGAACACGCTTATAACGAACTGACGGATATAACGAACTACTTTTTGGTCCCGATAATTAGCTGTATTATGCTGTATATATGCTTATAACGAACTATGGTTATAACAAACTAAAATTAGTAGTCCCTTTGAGTTCGTTATAACCGTACTTTACTGTAAATCAATGTAACATCTTGTCAGTGGTCGAAGTAATGGGTGTCTTGGGTCCTTATAGTATTTGAATCTATGGACCCCATGAATCTTAAATATTGGAACTTTAGGGTTATGACAAGGACCTGCTGACTTCCAAGCTTAATTTCAAATATTGCTCGATATTTCGTTCATCAACTGAAGAAGAAACTTGTTCCTGCTGTGTTGTAGCATGTTGTTATTCAGATTTAGATGTGTTTTTATTAATTGTGTCTGTATGACCACATAAAGGTAAAATATAGAACAAGACATTCTTATGCCATAATTCTTAGGGTTTAGATACTTTCTGGGTCAGCAAAGAAGTAACATTCGCTTCAATGGACATTTGATAGTATATTAAACAGCTTGTTGACAATCACAATCATTGCAGCTGTATGCACAGTGTGGAGGAATTGTAAGATTGAAATATTTTGTTGCTTTTCAGAGCGAAAGGTGTTTACAATGGTACAAGTAGTGGATGTTTATTGAAATTTTAAATATAAAATGAATATGAGAATATATTATAATTCATTATTTTAGTGTGAAGTACAGTGTATAGTAAATTCTGTTTACGAATGTTGGTTAGTCTGCTGAAACTGATGATGATGCTTGTTTTGTGATATCTTGCATGAATCAGGTGTTTGCAGGGATTTACTCATTGTGGATGTTTCTTTGAGAGATCTTCCTTGTGTATTTCATTGATTCTGTCATTGCATGTCACCATGTCTAAAACGTCATGTATATCCTTTCCTATGTATGCCTTATATGCCCCTGTATATATTACAAACATGTAATACCAAGAAAAAGACTCCGAAAAATTTCATAATGGGAATTGTTGAAACACTTTAAAAATGTTTTAATTTATGATTATTTTTATTGATTATTGAAGTTGTGTTGTAATGTTCAATATGTGTGGCATGTTCATACCATGTGTTGATTGTTCATAACAAAGTCAAGGTGATGCTAAATGTGACATTTTTGTGTAACCACCTTAAGGCTAACTACACTAACTGTTGCTAATGCTTGTGTTTTGCCTATGTTGTACCTGCCATTTCTAAGAGCAGCCTCATGGAATTATTAACACTTAGTTCTTGTTTATGACAACCCTGAAAAATCAGATGATGAGGCGGACACTGACTCCATGGACGTGGGTGCGGACTCGACCCCAGCTCACCGGATGCCTCATGTGGAGATGGTGGCACCAACCCAGCAAGATGGAGAGAAGAAGGAAGAGAAGATTCCAGGTTAGTTTGATAGAGAGAAAAGGTTCATGGTGTGGAAGTTACCATGCTCAACACACCTGACCTGGTATGTTAGATTGTTGGACAGGTTTGTTGTTCAGGTGTGTGTAGACAGGTATGATTATCCCCCGCCATGAAGTGGAAGGGCTACATAGGAATGGGTGCTGTCCGTCCTCCTGTCTTTCTGTCTTCCGTATGGCGTCTGTCCGGCACATTTTGTTCCAGAGCAAAACTAAAAAACCATGAGAGATATCCTAACCAAATTTGGCACATAGATAGGTCTAGTGGTGATAGGTCTAATTTTCTACAAAAATTTAGTTTTCAAGTTTCCATGGCAACGACTTAGACTGAAAATGGCTGTAGTGCTCCTTTCCGGAGCAGATCTTGAAAACCATGCAATATTTCTTCACCAAACTTGGTACCGGGTACATTGATAGGTCAAGTGGTAAACTGGTGCCTTTAGACAGTTTTTTTCTTTTTAAACTAAATTATTTTTTGAGTTTCCGTAGCAACAACTTTGACTTAGACTGAAAATGGCTGTAGTGCTCATTTTCGGAGCAGATTTTGAAAATCATACAATATTTCTTCAGCAAACTTGGCACATAGATAGGTCTAGTAGTAAACTGGTGCCTTTTGATAGTTTGGGATTTTGTAAGAAAATATTTTTGAAGTTTCTATAACCATGACATTTGACTTTGACTACCCGGTATTTAGTATATGCTCTGGGGTCTGTAAGAGAGACTATTCATGACCCTATGGAGAGGGTTGGCTGAGAAAATGTTTGAAAGGTACACATTCCTTTACTCACACAAGAGCAAGGGGTGTAGACTGATTCATTGTGTTGTACATGAAGTAATAGCCATTTATATGTCGCACAGTGCGTGAGATGAGTGAAGAGGAAAAGAAAACCATCATGCTGAGTGACGACTTCCAGACATTCTTCTACAAGTCAGCTAGGGTCATCGAGCGAGCCATGGCTGAAGATTCTGACATCTTCATGGACTATTCTGGTGGAGACAGGGAAGGCAATGACGAGTAGGTTCAGTCATAGCTAGCTCAATGGGACCGTTATGTCAGGGGTAGAAACTAACAGATTCAGTCCACTAGTCCTTATAATGATAACATATAGCAAAACCCCTAAAAATGGCAAATTTCTACTAGCCCTTATGATACCTTTACTATTGAGCAGTTTGGCAAGGACTACAGGACTAGTGCCAATTTCTAACACTGTTATCATGGTTATGTACTACTCAAAAAACATTAAGGATCACCTGATTGTTTCATATTACTACAGTTTATCTGTCATGGCATGGATTATGGATTATGAAGATTAACTGTAGTAATATGAAATAATCAGGTGATCCTTAACTTGTTTTGAGTAGTGTATGTCATGGGCCACTCTATGTTTGGTGCAAAGTCTTTAACAATTTTGTGGACATTTGATGAGAACAGCTTGTGTTGCCTTGACTGAAGGAAGGCATGGTTGTAAGTGAACACTTCATGTGATGTGAGTTGATGAGGGTCAGAATCTTGTACTTGTCCTGATGATGATCCAAGACTAGTTAGTTCATGCTGGCCTGGTCTTTGTGAAAGAAGGCATGTTTGTAAGTGAACACTTCATGTGATGTGAGTTGATGAGGGTCAGAATCTTGTACTTGTCCTGATGATGATCCAAGACTAGTTAGTTCATGCTGGCCTGGTCTTTGTGAAAGAAGGCATGTTTGTAAGTGAACACTTCATGTGATGTGAGTTGATGAGGGTCAGAATCTTATACTTGTCCTGATGATGATCCAAGACTAGTTAGTTCATGCTGGCCTGGTCTTTGTGAAAGAAGGCATGTTTGTAAGTGAACACTTCATGTGATGTGAGTTGATGAGGGTCAGAATCTTGTACTTGTCCTGATGATGATCCAAGACTAGTTAGTTCATGCTGGCCTGGTCTTTGTGAAAGAAGGCATGTTTGTAAGTGAACACTTCATGTGATGTGAGTTGATGAGGGTCAGAATCTTATACTTGTCCTGATGATGATCCAAGACTAGTTAGTTCATGCTGGCCTGGTCTTTGTGAAAGAATGATCCAGTAAGCCTGTCTTGTTCCCTTCCTGTAGTGATGCTTTGGCAGGAGAGAGGTTAAAGCTGAACCGGGCCTTCTATGATGAGCGCTGGTCTAAGCATCGAACCATCACCAGCCTGGACTGGTCCACTCAGCACCCAGAACTCATGGTGGCGTCCTACAACACAAATGAGGATTCACCTCACGACCCCGATGGCGTGGCTCTCATCTGGAACATCAAGTTTAAGAAGGACACTCCGGAATATGTCTTCCATTGCCAGGTAGATAACAGGATCCTGTCTCTCTTTCTGTTTATCACTGATACTTATTAATTTTTATTTTATTTATGTGTCTTGTATATAATGTCTATGCCATTATCTAGCAATCTGATCCCCTATAAGATCATTTTTTAATCAGATGGTAACACTACATATTTGCTGTTTCAGTCTCCAGTCATGTCCAGCTGTTTTGCCAAATTCCACCCGAATCTAGTTGTAGGGGGTACATATTCTGGTCAGATTGTCCTGTGGGACAACCGAGTCAACAAGAGAACTCCAGTACAGAGGACGCCCCTGTCTGCTGCAGCTCACACGGTAGGTGAATCTAGTTGTAGTGTAGGGGCTATCTATTCTGGTCAGAGTCAGCAGGAAGATTCCAGTACAGAGGCTGTCCTCTCTGAAGGATCACTGCATAAGAAGAACTATCCCACCATTTGTGTCAACTATAGAGGATAGGGTGGTCAGGCTCAGTGACTTGACTGATCAGTAATTAAATGTCATCATGCCGTGAATGGCTGGGGTCTCTGCTCATGCTTTGTCACTGGCCTCTCTGGTCCAGACTTGTTTATTTACCTTATTATACCCCCGATATAGTTATACCAAGGTTCTGTACGTCAGTCCGAAAACTTTGTCCGCATGATTTCTCTTAAACTATTCAGTGGATTCATCTCAAACTTAGTACATATAATCTGTGTCATATGGAGGGGTGCAGGGGTGTTTTTATTAATTTTCCATTTTTTTATGAATTTTTCAAACCCTAACCCTATCCATTATTTAATTTGAAACTACATGTACTGACACACTAGGCGGGTCGGGGGTATAAGTGAGCCATGCTCGCTTTTGCCCTTGTTTTACACCATCATATCACAGGTGTATTGCTCTCTGTGGCATTACCCTGTGATATGTCACACATGGTGTGGCCTTTTGTCTGTAAACTGCTAGAGTTGTGTACAGATTAAAGAAGACAGTTCTGGGTCAATTGTGTGTTTGGTGGCATTCCACTGAAAAAATTGTTAAAACAAATTCAAATCTAACTGATAGACGTGATGATAATTAATTTAAACATTTATCCTCTATTGTTTTTTACTATTAGTGTTAAATATTTTAAAATTTAATCGTATAGTTTGTAATGGATTTTATTTACATCATTTTAAGCATGTTTGGTCATGTTTGTGTTTATGCAATTTACTGTTGAAGACTATGATTCAGTGCACTAAAACAAGTTTATTGTATTGCAGCACCCAGTGTACTGCGTAAATGTGGTGGGCACACAGAATGCCCACAATCTCATCAGTGTCTCCACTGATGGCAAGATGTGCTCCTGGAGTCTCGACATGCTCTCACAACCACAGGTAAAGTCGTCGTAAGCCCTTAGAGTGGCTTCTGTAGGGATAGAAACTGAGTCCTTATAATGGTATCATAGCAAAACCCTTAAAAAGGGCAAATTTGTACTCATCCTTAGAATACCTTAACTATTGGGCACTTTGGCAAGGCCTATAGGACAAGTGCCAAGTGCTGTTCTGAGAATTGGAGATTGATATACAAGGTTGGGGAAGGCTTCTTTTCTGCATACAAAATTGGTTTCCATCAACCCTAGTTGACCAGAAACCACCTTATCCAAATTGGAGTGTGAATTAAATGGGATCAGATGAGTTCATCCTTAAGTGTCTGTGTAGAAGAGGGACTATTTGTCCTGTGGATTAATTGCCAAAGTTCACAATGATTCCATCCTACAACAGCACCAAGCTATAAAGAGACTTAGATCCTAGATCCTTGATGCTTGATCCTTGATCCTTGATGCCTTGATCCTTGATGCCTTGATGCCTTGATCCCTGATGCCTTGATGCCTTGATCCTTGATGCCTTGATCCCTGATGCCTTGATCCTTGATCCTTGATGCCTTGATCCTTGATGCCTTGATCCTTGATGCCTTGATCCCTGATGCCTTGATCCCTGATGCCTTGATCCCTGATGCCTTGATCCCTGATGCCTTGATGCCTTGATCCCTGATGCCTTGATCCTTGATGCCTTGATCCTTGATGCCTTGATCCCTGATGCCTTGATCCCTGATGCCTTGATCCCTGATGCCTTGATCCTTGATGCCTTGATCCTTGATGCCTTGATCCCTGATGCCTTGATCCCTGATGCCTTGATCCTTGATGCCTTGATCCTTGATGCCTTGATCCCTGATGCCTTGATCCTTGATGCCTTGATCCTTGATGCCTTGATCCCTGATCCCTGATGCCTTGATCCTTGATCCCTGATCCCCCAGGACTCACTTGAGTTCTATCACTGTGACTTATCCCAGGTACACTCTCCGTGGCCTAGTGGACAGAGCTTCTGCCGGTCAGTGGTTTGATACAGTGTCTGAGTGGGATATCCATGTTAAACTGTGGCATGGTATCTCAGTGGGCTATCACTAATAAACCATTAGTCTGGATTAGTACAAGCAGCCACACACAAACAAGTGCTTGCATGTCGATATAAAATAATCTTAAACCACATTTCATCTCACCTCATTTTTTCTCAAGGTTTTCATTTTTTATTTCTGTAAAGCAATACCTAACACTGATAAATGCGTGTTTTTCAATCATACTGTAGCAGATTAACTTTTTTGTTAATCTACCCAAGGTCAAGTGTCTATGTGATCTTTGTTTGACGGAGAGTCATCTGCTTACAGGACAGCATGGAGTTACAGCACAAACAGAGCAAGTCTGTTGCCGTTACTTCCTTCTGCTTCCTGTCATGTGACGTTAACAACTTTGTTGTTGGAGCCGAAGATTGCACAGTTTACACAGCATGTAGACATGGAACGTAAGTAGGAGGTGTAGATCCTAATATTCTGATTTTGTGCACAAGCAACTAAAAACATTTGATGCAACTGTGTACACTTGTGAACAAGTGAGTAATGTTCAATATTGTCAAGAAATTAGGAGTCACCCTGCCACAATGGAGTTACCTCCCTTGGTGACACTACTTAGTTGGCGTCACCTTGTGTCTTTGTTTGGTGTAGCCACAATTATGATATCCTGTTGCTCTTGCATAAGGCAGTGCTCACATATTTGAAGGATGTTGCATCAGGAATTAAGAGTAAGGCATTTTATGTATTGTGTTATGTGTGCTGGGAGTGATAGAGGTTTGTAAACATTTTTACCCCCTGACATAAAATGCGGGGGGATATAGTCATCATCTGGTCGGTCTGTCCATTTGTTTCGTTTCCGGAACATAAATTAAAAACTGTGAAAGATTTTTTTATCCTACTTAAGTACATGTATTAACCATGGGCTGAAGTGGTGCCTTTGCTAATGTGGGGGGTGGGGGATTTGTTATGTTCTGATGACTCTTGTATACGTGGGGCGGTCGGATAGCCTAGTGGTTAAAGCGTTTGCTCGTCACGCCGAAGACCCGGGTTCGAATCCCGACATGGGTACAATGTGTGAAGCCCATTTCTGGTGTCCCCCGCCGTGATATTGCTGGAATATTGCTAAAAGCGGCGTAAAACCAAACTCACTCTAACTCTCACTCTTGTATACGTTGGAAGGTAGAAAATCATAGAGTACATGGAAATAAATCTCAATTTTCACTTCATTTCTTGTGTTGAAGTTTAACACTTTTTACTTATTTGGTTTTCTACAGAAAAGCTGGGATCAATGAGGCATTTGAAGGCCACCAGGGCCCTGTCACTAGCATTGACTGTCACTCAGTACCAGGACAGATTGACTTCTCTCCATACTTCATCACATCATCTTTCGATTGGACCATCAAGTTATGGAGTATAAAGGTCAGTAGTTTAGTTACAGATTCATCAATGTAGCTAATGATTTTTTATCTGAAATCCTTTTCAAGATATCAGAGAAGGAAATTATGTGTACAATGATACTGCTACAGATAGACGCAAGATTGCTGATGCGGCATTAAGCAGTATTTACTCACTTACTATTAAATAATCCTTTCCAGTAACATTTGCTTGTAAACGTCGTCTAATTTGGATTGGTTGTTCAAGCTAGGTGACTTGGCTTATCTTGTGTCACCTAGCCCCCCTGAGATGGGATTGTTACTCATGGTTTCCGTCTCTGGTTTGCCTGGTGCACAGCTGATTAACTAAAGGCCAGCATGATACTAGGGCTGGGACGGTTAACCCAGGTACTGAGGTCTGGTGGGTCTGGACACGTGGTTAGACTCGTTATATACTGTTTATAAATGTCAATAGTTACACTATAAGTCCATAAGTCACTAATGTTTATAGTTCTTCCTGAATGTGCATGCATTCCTTCTGACTTTTATGTTTGAGTAAAGATAGAGCTTCAGTCAACAACAGTGTATGCATGATCAGATCGTTTTATATTTATGGGTATATTATGTAAATAGTTTTTGCCAGGGCTCAGTGGTACCTGGGTAGGTTCAGATAAAAGGGGGTTGGGTACTGGTTTGTAAATTTGGACTCGTCCCATGCCTACATGATATAGGTTGACTGCTGCATTAAACAATATACACTTTTCCCTTGCCTTGGTGTACAGGACCAGAAGTTCATCCACTCCTTTGAGGACAACAGTGACTACGTGTACGGCGTACAGTGGTCTCCCATCCACCCTGCTCTTTTCGCCAGTGTAGATGGAATGGGTAGACTTGATCTCTGGCATCTCAATAATGAAACTGAAGTAAGTCCCTCCCTTGTGTTAAAGGAAAACAATTTCCTGTAGATTTGAAATCATTGTCATTGCTTTAGTTGGCCTGCTTCATGAATAATATAGTCATTGTCATCGCTAATATGGGTATTGACATCTGGATTAAGTGATAGGAAAGTGCTCTCACAGCACTGTTATACTTTAATGTAATGGTTCATCAATAATTCATTGCATCATAGTTCCTTCTACCATGACATAAGTATTGAATCAATACATCAATACATCCATGTAAAAAGGGACCCCCTCCGTGGTCTAGTGGTAGAACAGAAGGTCGGGGGTTTGACCCCCATCCTCGTCATTCCCAAAAATGGTACTTGTTGTTATCCGGCCTGGCACTCGGCATTAAGGGGCTTAAACAAGGACTGGTCGGCTTGGAGTCAGTCATATTTGTTGTAGTTTGACTATTCTATGTCAACATGTAGTTCTCGCAATCATGTGTGTGGGAGCCTTTGTGACTGGTCGAATTGTTGTGAAAAAAACACCCCGGCAATAGCTATCAGCTGCACCGAAGTGCTACGCTTAGGTTTATTATTATTTTAAATATATTTTGTAAAAGCTGCAGCTGCAATCAAGTTTCTTATCAACCATTCGTTTACTGAAATTTGCTGAAGGGGTACAGTGTATTTTTTTTCTGCGCATAATATTATAAAAAATATTTCCCCAAATACCGAATCCGCTAGAGGGGGGTGCGCACTATACTCAAGAAAATACGGTAGTTCGGACTAGTACATGCAGCCACACAAACACATGCATTCACGTCACTATAAAAGTGCATTCATCTTGGACGAAATGTTAAGCCCACTCAAGAGCGTTTCATTATTTAGAGCCATGCTGGACCTGTTCAATCCCAAGGAATTATGTGCAAATTTGTCATCAATGTATATTTGTCATTATGATGCATGCTAATTGTCTGCTGTGATGCAGGTGCCGACAGCATCCGTTGTGGTTGATAATGTGGCCCTGAACCAGCTGAAGTGGCATCAGAGCGGCCACCATATCGGGGTTGGGGATGACCTCGGCAAAATATCCATTTTCGATGTTGGAGAGGTATGTACCAGTATTACAAGACCTTATTCTGTCCAAGTAATTACGAATATTGGGATAACAGAAGATACTATACAATTTCTTAATATCTTGCTACAGTCTGCCAACAAGTCTTAAGTCTTGACAACTAGACAAATATTTAATGACCTTTAATATTTGTGGGATTTCTTTACTTTTGAAAACAGTTTGGCTCTCATCATGATATTAAGGGCAAAACAGACCATGTAATATTTGTAGGCTTTGGGATTTTGATTATCTGCTATAATATCATTATTATGTTAAGATTGCAATGAAACAAAACAAATATGCAGACAAGCCAAAAATAGTTCTTTGTCTCTATGCCTGCTGATGAGTTATGAATGTTTTCAGAATCTTATCCAGTGGTCTTAATATACAGAGCGGACCTGTACATGAGCTAATTTTCAAGAAACATTTATAGAAACACTGGTTAGTTATAAGGTTTTTATTAGGAACATAAGTATTGCAATGCCCACTCCTTTTACAGCATATCGCCAACCCCAAGTCTGATGAATGGTCGCGGTTTGTACGAACACTCCAGGAACTGAAACAACATGCTCAGGAGAGGGAAGAGGACTCCACGCTGGCAGGAATGTCCACCCCACTCCGATAAATCTCACCCGCTTAACTCAAACTTGTGCAATTTCTCTGTGAACCAACATTGGGTGCTTCATATTGTGTTTGAGGCTAACCTCACATGCTGTCAGTGACCTGCCTTTGAAACAATGTCCCACTTCTGTGACCATTGAACAAGTCGTCTGTTTGTAAGGACAAAGCAGGCACTGACACTCTTGTCATCTGTGATGCAAAGAAGCAGATTATGTTCTGTGCCTAGAAATGATTAAAGAATTTAACAAATTACCCAATACCTTGGAGTAAGTTTTTAGTAAACACCAAAATTATACATGAAATATCAATTATTTTGAAAGCATGTTTATGAGGATGCTAATATTTTTCTTACACATAATTCTATGTCAAGGAAGGTTAGGAGTCATGCATTTACAATGTTGAGAGATGGAGAGATATTTTAGTGCTTGATGAAACAATAAGTGCTGGAATCAAACAGTGTCTTACTACTACAGTGTTTGCGAAGACCTGTAAATTTGAATACAGTAGACATGGAATGTAGGTTTACCATTGTTTCAATCCATCCTGTCTTTCAAAATAATTCTGAATTACCAGTGCTAAATATAAGGCTTATTTAATTTCCAAGTTGTATTCTTAGTTTCTCAAATCCAATCACACCTGCTTGTTAAAATAATTCCTTTTTAGAAGTTCTTTCAGTTGGGGTATAACTCCCATCACAAGTTTATTGTAGAAAAGAATATATTTCTTACTTCTGCTATGCAGTGTAATTTTATACTAGCCTTATATTTAATTATTTATATTTATTAGTTACAGGTTAGCCTTGCTTTTGGAGTGGTGTATTAGTAAAACAAATATGGTTCAGATATGACATGCTGATCATGTTTGAAAATGACAAATAAAACTGTTGATATATGTGCATGACATACTTGTTACATATGTGAATAAAAAACAACTGAAGCTGATCGTCTTTTCTTTATTATTTCAACTCAGAAGGAAGAGGTCCAAGGGAGGCTAGGGTTGGAAGAGCTGTCCACTGTCTTCTCATTAACTTTCAACTTCCTAGAAATTTCTTTAACAGATGAAGCTGCAAACTATCTTAAAACATCAATAATCTTGTTCCTGATGAAGATTTTAGTTCTTTTGAATTTGAAAATATATATCAATTCTCAGACAGATGCCCTAAAAAACAGAGGGCCCAGGAAACCTGTAAGTTTCGGAGGACCAAAATATTGTACAATGGAAATTTTGTCAATGGTCTTTGATATCTGTAGATATAAACCTATAAATTGATTTGAAGTTGGGACCGAACGCACAGCGAGAGATGAGCTTTCAATTATTAAATTTGGCAGGGTTAAATCTATAGGTAACCTAGCTCTACATTAAAAACAGTATGTTTATCCCCTATTCTACCATGACAAGGTCAAACGCAAAATGTGTGGTGTTTCCGAGGATTTTGAGTGAGTTTTCTATCTGAATTAGGGAAACGCCAATACTAGCCGTAAAAACAAAGTATAGCGCTGTATATGCTCATTATACCCTTCTCGCATATATTAATCATTGAAAGTGTGGCATGGCAACTTTGTAAGCCAATGTAAAGTAGGCACTACTAAAGGTAATAGAGCAAGCCATGTAAGGTTTATTTCTACACCGCCTGTCACTATTATGTCGCGCCACTTATTGAGAAGCAAAATATATGATGTCACACTCCACTGCAGAAACACACTATATTTCAAGGTGTCTCTGATCACTCAATCTTGAAAAACACTCTTTGTCGATGTATATCATGTTTTTTGCATAAAATGCATTGCTTTTAATAATGTAATGGCAAATCAGCATTTGATGACCTATAATTGTACACCAAACTATTTTCAAATGCATTCCGACAATGACAGAAAGAAGTACTTACCAATAAACATTAGCCTCCGTGGTGATGCGGAGGTCAAACCATCTTGTTTTAATCTGAGGATGTTATTGTGATTTGATACCTTTAATTGACCAATCAGTATTGAGTAATTGGAATGGTAGTTAATATCTGTAACAACAGAACCATTAGTGCCCCACGAAGCTCAAGCATCACTTTCTATGCATCCCATGTGAAAACTTCCATTAATACCCATTACCAGCTGGGATTATGTAATAGCAGTATTTCATATTTTATTCATCTGATCATAGCTTTGTGAACTGCCTTGGCCATAACCAATCTACACTGTGATGTGCTCAGAGTGAGTGTGACTGCAGAGCAACATTTTCTCCCAGCAAGGATCAACCACGAATCGGATACCTTGATTCACAGCATTACAAGTGTATATTCAAAATCTCTGAATATTATAATTTTCTGATTACGCTCAAAAGAAGAACCCAGATACTTATTTTGTCATATTTGAAATTTGGACAAATAGAACTTGTATAATGGAGGTTACTACTTTGACCATGAACACAACTGTCTCATCTCCATGGTACAACACCCACCTTCAGAAGGCAACATTTTCGGCATACATCATTCTGTTGCTTATTGGAACAGTTGGCAACAGCCTTGTTGTGATCTGTGTCGCACTGAACAAGGTGTTGCACAATCCCACGTTTGCAGCCATTGCAAGTCTCGCTGTGGCCGACTTCCTGTTCCTCTGTTGGAGGATCCCGATGGAGATTCTTCATATCCTCAACAAGAACTGGATCTCCGGTACTACAGTGTGTAAAATGTCCTTCCTTGTCTACCAGCTGACCAGCTATTCCGCAGCGTACCACCTCGTTCTTCTGTCTGCAATCCGGTTCTATTCCCTAGTGTATCCGTTCCAGGCTCTCCAGCACCTGACTGTACGCAGATCCTGCATCATGTGTGGTGTCCTATGGGTCGGTGTATTCATTTGCATCTCCCCAGTGCTGTTTACAAGCGGTATTGTGAAGCAAGAGTTCAATGGGCGTGTTTATGTGTATTGCGCCGTGGAAACAACAGAACCACTGCGTGCATCTCTCATATACTCCTGTCTGTATGCTGTGTTTTCTTATTTCATACCTCTGCTTATGATAACCGTGCTTCATGTGACAAAAGTATACAGAGTCACAAGAATGTCTCGTGAGATGTCACGTTCCTACACACACCAGCTGTCGTCAATGGTTGTTGTGGTTCTGCTGCTCTTTGGGGGTCTACTGCTGCCCGTACACCTGAAGAACATCTTAATTCTTGGAGGTGTTTCTGTGCTCCAGAGGATGCCAGAACTGGATCTTGTGTGTCGTTGTATGGCCTATGCAAACAGCTGTATCAATCCCTATGTCTATGCCTTCTTCTCAAAGCAATTCAGGAGGAGCTTGACTAGAATGCTGCCGTGTTGCAAGGCCGAGGAAGTGTCACCAATGCATGGAGGGAGATCTGGTAACGTGCAAACTACGTCAACCAATGTGCAAACTACGTCTGCCTGATGATGTGCACAATTAACAACTCCAACAGAAGTTAAAACCTGTCATTGCATAAGAGTGAGTGAGTGAGTATGGTTTTACGCCGCTTTTAGCAATATTCCAGCAATATCACGGAGGGGGACACCAGAAATGGGCTTCACACATTGTACCCATGTCGGGAATCGAACCCGGGTCTTCGGCGTGACGAGCGAACGCTTTAACCACTAGGCTACCCGACCGCCCCCATTGCATAAGAAAGAATAAGGTAGTCCTTAACCTTTTTTTGAGTATATAGTTGAGATGTAGATGTGCAAGATCTGTTTGTAACTTTGTAACCGGACAGTCATATCTTGTAAACTATTATCTAAAATATAGGGGTGAAATGATACATCGGTGTACCGGTGCATCGTAAGTTTTCATGCAAAGATACAGTACATGTTATATTCTTTTCTATATCGATACATAGAGAATCTCACATGTGTCTTTTGATATCAAATATATCAACACAAGTTGATAAAAGTGGAAAAACTACGAGGCTTGCCGACACAAGGGTGAAATTTTATTTATTATCCAACATCATTCTTTCAACTTTTTCAGTTTGTAGACAGTAATAAGCAGTTCCTTAAGTGTAAAAAGTACTGCTAACAGCCTTAGTAGCAGAGCCATTAGTGATGTCATTTGATTATGACATCATGGTAACCAATGATGTCACAATGGTCTGCAAAGCATCGTTATGCAAATTCATTGAAGCGATTTCTCAAAAGTAGATATCGCTTGATCTCACCCAAACGATATCTCCTGTGGAAGCCAGTTTTGGATGATAAAAGACGATACACATGCTTTTGTTAGTCAAATATTGCAAAATGTGTTGTAATTAGCATTCCAAGATCACTACTACAAATAGCCACTACGAACATGTGTCTTCAGATAGTTTTTCCTTTTGAACTTGCTCTGGAATATTTATAATCAAGAACTTTCTATGCGATTCAACGTAAATATGTGTATCACGATACATATATTGTGATACGTATCATATCGTGACCTTACTGTATCGTTTCACCCCTACTAAAAATGTGTTTTACACTTTATCCAGATCCAAATTGTGCCTGTATCACAACAGGCTTCCCCTAAAAACTGGTTCAATTCAGTGAAATGAACACATTAGTTGTTACATCTTTATTCAATTTAATATTTATCTATAATTCAGGTTATTTATACCATATGTAATAATACACACAAAGTCATACGCGGTTGGTTTATGTCATAACTACTTGATCAGCTATGTAAACAAACGGTTGTCAAGTGAACTCAACATGCAGTGAACCAGACTATAAACTCCATGTCCAGACAAAACTGTGTCACTTTTTTAATACAAACATGAGACTCTTGCTTGAGTCATGACAATATTTATCCTCTGGCTGTCAATCTTGATAGTCACCTGATTTCAAACCTGGTAGCTGTCCTGGTTGCTATCTAGTTCAATATACAACTGATTTTAAACCCGCTTCCTTCTATTAGATGCCCTGTCAGCCATCTTTAATATTTAACAAGAAGATGACAAATCCCCACGTTCCCCACAAATTCGAAAGAACACATCACCTGACTGTTACTTTGAGTCCAACTTACCAGTAATGTGATAATTTTTATGTAATCTGTCTGTCCGTATACAAGAGTAGTTATTGAGCTATCAAAACAATACCATGGAATTGGGATTCCGAACTTTGTATTTCTATGTCAAAATCAAACTTGTTAAATTCTAGAAATCCCTGAATAGCAAAAGGCACCAGATGACAACTTGGTCTTTGTGTGTGCACAGTTTCAAGAAAGAGTACCTATTAGTTTTAGAGATATGGTCCAGTCAAACACACCACTATGAACAGAGTCAAAGTCAGCTTGTTGCCATGGAAACGCAAAAGAATTTAAAAATTTAAATTCCTAAATAGAAAAAGGCACCACTTCAGCCCTTGAGTAAGACATGGACCAAGTTTGGATGAAAAATGATTTTTAGTTCTAGTCTTGAAACAACACCTACCTCCACTTAAGCTAAGTCTGTCTTGCTTCCAATAAAAAATTCCTAAATAGGAAAAGGCATCACTTCAGCTGTTGGTTAATACATGTACCAGGTTTGGATGAAAAGTCTTTCACAGTTTTCAAGTTGTGCTCCGGAAACGACACCTTCCCCTCCCTTTTGAAACTAAGTCCAAATTGTTTCCAGGGAAATCGAGAAAACTAAAAATGACAATAATCTGAAAGTAGCAAAAGGCACCAATTCAGGATCTGTGTGATATATCTGCCAGGTTTTGTTGAAAAATATTGAACAAAATGATTACGGATGGATAGACAGACAAGGTGTCGACTATATTCGGGGGGGGATAAAAATGAAAATAAAACAGAAAGTAATGATATGGTTAACACAGTGGTATCCCACTAATCAACATTGAGGTAATGAGAAACTAATTCCTTGTAAAAAATAGAAAAAAAATATGTGTACTAGGTTCAGTCATTTTGACTGCATGGTTCCGAAACAGTAGTCCCTGCTTCCCCATGATCCTCCCTGAAGACAAGGTAGGGCTGCAGCAGCCTCCGGAAGTACTCCACCAAGTCGCTGTTCCTGTCAACAGCTTCACCTGACACCTAATACAGAGAAAACAAAAAGACATCTAACCAGCTGCACACTTTGACATGGTCAAATAGATTATCTCACAAGATATTTTTTTGTCATCTGTGATGGACACTTATCATCATTTTTACAGTTATTTAAATATCCGTGTATACAGTTAACTGTTAAAACAACTTTGATTTTGTGCAACTATTACCAAATGTGCTTAATTTTGTCTTTATCTGTTATAATGCATCGAGAGGGAATAAAAAAAGTGTAAATTGATCTTTCCTGTTGTCTAACCGTACCATCACATGTGATCACACACTTATTTTCAGTTATACAAATTACATTTTTTATTACATCTGGTTTTACATTAAAAAAATTTATTCATTAAATTTAATGTCATCTGCCAACAGACCTATACCAATGTTCCCCAAATTCAACACCTGTTTAGTCATGACACTATGAATTATTGACTTCACGATATAGGCTCTATTCAGGTTATGCATTCTTTTAAAAAGTTCTACGATTGTATTTTTGGGAAGAGTGAGTGAGTGAGTTGGGTTTCATGCCACTTTTTACAATATTCTAGTAATATCACAGTGTGTAAGCCTAATGTGGGAGGAAAGCCCACAGGTGAAGTGACACAGATTTCAGATGTTTACCAGTTTGGTGAAACCCAAGAGCACAGGTATGGTGCTGACAAACCTAGAAACATAATCAGGAGAACCAAGATTCGAACCCAACTCACAGGTTTCTGGATTTCAGTTCCATCATTACCTTGCTGGTTGTTTGTTAACTCGGGAATTAGTGACGTGACACCAATGTGTGTCTTTTCTAATGTCATATTTGAGCAAAGTTCTTACCTGTTTTGTTTTTTAATATTTCATGACAAGAATCAATTTTGCTCATCATATTCGGATAAATAATTATCCTTTCTAATGAAGTGAGTGAGTGAAGTTTGTTTTACATCCATGTCAGCAATATTCCAGCCCTTCCCATCTGCCTCTAATAAGTGGTGATAGAGTCTTGTTGAAGTAAACCAGTGGTTGACAGCAAGAGCAATCATCCACATCATTGGGGAACATTTAGATGATGACTGTGTGGTAAAGTGTGTGTAAAGTAAGTCAATTCTGATGACAATCATCACACATCTTCCACACAAATATTAAAAAATACCACAATGATATAAGTTTGTTTGTTTGTTGTTTAACACCACACTCAGCAATATCCCAGCTATATTATGGCGATCTGTAAATTATCGAGTCTGGACCAGACAATCCAGTGATTGATATCCTGAGCATCAATCCACGCAATTGGGAAACGATGACATGCATCAACTAAGTCAGCGAGTCTGACCACCCGATCCTGTTAGTCGCCTCCTACGACAAGCAAAGCCTGTTACAGCAAGCATGGGGTGCTGATTACCTATTCTAACCCTATTCTTCACGGGTCAATGATATCAGTAAAGATGGTGCTATCCATTGCTTCCTACCTCCAACACAGTGTAACCACTTCTTAACAGATGCCTCTTCATCATCACATACTTCCCCAGCAGACGAGGATGAGAGTTATGTCTGATCCGGTAGTGCTCCGGTCGCCTTATCAACAACCCAAGTCTACAACAAGGGATATGAAAAATACAACATTACAGCAGTAAACATCATCAAGACATATCTTCGAAGCCATCACCAGCACTACTCAGACTTCAGCGCTACTCAAATTTAATTTGTTTTAGAGGACTAGTGTAAACCTTATTTCCCTAGTTACTTAGGTAATCCTGCTTGAATAAGACACAACAATTACTGTTCACAATGTTTACATTTTCTGTCAGCTTACATATACATTTATATGAATGGCTCTTCATTTTCAATTTGGAGCAAAATTGAAGCATTGACAACTGGTTTAGAAATGATAGCCCTCAAATACTACCAGTCAATGAGCACTACCATAATTGGATTATTACTTGTCATCACTATTTGGGAGTCTCAGGGTAGCTGATTAGCATGATATTCAAAGACTGGGTAGTGGCGTCCTCTTGACAACTGGGCCACCTGGGTTGCTTGTTTGTTGGTTGGTTTGTTGTTTAACGCAGCACTAAGCAATATTCCAGCTATATGACAGCGGTCTGTAAATAATCGAGTCTGGACCAGACAATCCAGTGATTAATATCATGAGCATCGATCCACGCAATTGGGATCGATGACATGCATCAACCAAGTCAGTGAGCCTGACCACCCGATCCTGTTAGTCGCCTTTTACAACAAGCATAGTCGCCTTTTACGGCAAGCATGGGTTGCTAAAGACCTATTCTACCCCAGATCTTCACGGGTCGGCCACCTGGGCCTATACAGGAGATGTGGACCCAGCCAGCAGGAGACCTCTCACAGGATCTGCTGACCCAACAGGAGGACCTCTCACAGGATCTGCTGACCCTGCAGGAGGACCTCTCACAGGATCTGCTGACCCTGCAGGAGACCTCTCACAGGATCTGCTGACCCCACAGGAGGACCTGTCACAGGATCTGCTGACCCCGCAGGAGGACCTCTCACAGGATCTGCTGACCCAACAGGAGGACCTCTCACAGGATCTGCTGACCCCACAGGAGGACCTGTCACAGGATCTGCTGACCCAACAGGAGGACCACTCACAGGATCTGCTGACCCAACAGGAGGACCTCTCACAGGATCTGCTGACCCCACAGGAGGACCTCTTAAGGATCTGCTGCCCCACAGGAGGACCTCTCACAGGATCTGCTGACCCCACAGGAGGACCTCTCACAGGATCTGCTGACCCCACAGGAGGACCTGTCACAGGATCTGCTGACCCCACAGGAGGTGTTGCTGCTTGTAAGGTCAACAATTATTAGTTTGCTGAGACATTAGTCTGGACAGGAATACATCTAGCTCGTTAATGAGTTCTGTGAGTGAGTGAATGAGTAAGTATGGTTTTACGCCGCTTTTAGCAATATTCCAGCAATATCACGGAGGGGGACACCAGAAATGGGCTTCACACATTGTACCCATGTCGGGAATCGAACCCGGGTCTTCGGCGTGACGAGCGAACGCTTTAACCACTAGGCTACCCGACCGCCCCTGGTTTCTGTGAAGCAGTTATTACTAGAAATAAAGTTCCAGAGGAACCAAGTTTCAAGAGGTATGAACATTCTATTTTGCTAACACTTTCGAGACACTGCATCTGGTCTTGCCACTCACCTCTTGTCACAGTCCACTTCCTCCTGTATTTCTACTGGCCTCCCATCCTTCACATGGACCACTATGTCTGGAAGATTCCACTTTATTTCAACATCAACTAAGTCCAGCTTTTCTTAAAATCAAGGTACAATCCATCTTCCTGAGGCAATGGCGTAAACTGACTATAAAAGTTCAGTTTCCAACCTTGCGAACTAGGCTGGTGTTCCGGAGTTACATTTTGGCTGGAGTAACCAGTCTATGCATAGTCCAATCAAAACCTTGTAAGAAACAAGACATCCGGTTCATAAACAACACAGATTTCAACATGCAGATTTCGGTCAACTGCAGGATTTGCAAAGCATGTGTACTGCCAACTTGCCATCGATTTGAAGTACTTTGCGGGATAAGACCCGTTTTTATTACAATATAGATCTTGATTATCGATTAGATCATATTACGTCATTATGCTTGTAGCAAGTGCAAGTGACATGAGAGGTGGAATCTTATTGGTCAATAGGAGGGACATAGAAGGAACATAACTCATAAAAGCCACTGGTGCTACGATCGAGCCTCAAAATTCCAGCCTAGTTTGGCAAGGTTGGAAACTGGACTTTTATAGTCAGTTAACTCCCTTGCCTTGGGAAGATGGATACAATCAGGTGCCTAAATGACTGTTTAATGTCAGTGATGCCAAGTGTTTCACAAGTTTATTAATTTTTCAAACTTGATAACATGGGATTTGAATGTTTGGTAAACATCTACTCAAATATTACAACTTCCAATATCATAAATACGAACAGACAGTGGCTTTACATGAAACCTCCACCTACCTGACATGGGTCTCTCCTCTTTAAATTTGCGGTCATGTTTTGTTTGTGTTTGTTTGTTATTTAATGCCACACTCCAGTGATTAATATTGTTAACAATGATCCTGGTCTTTAGGGTATGATAACATGATACAGAGAATACAAAAAATGATTTAGGAAATAAGTAGATACACAAGTCAGAGATCTTGTCTCTCTGAGCGCATTGTCAATTCATCACAGTTATGTACCCCAATTGCTTGGATCGATGCTCATGTTGTCAATCACTGGATTGTCTGATCCAGACTAGATTATTTTACAGACCGCCTTCATATAGCTGGAATATTGCTGAGTGCCGTGTTAAACAACAAACAACAAACACAGTTATGTACAGTATGTTTCTCCATCCCCGTGAATACATAGGGCTGACATGAGGTGTAGGGGTGACAGGTTTCATGTAAAGTGAGCTTTCATTGGTGTGAGTACTGTGTGTGATGTAACCTGAGCTTTCATTGGTTGGAGTACTGTGTGTGATGTAACCTGAGCTGTCATTGGTGTGAGTACTGTGTGTGATGTAATCTGAGCTTTCATTGGTTGGAGTACTGTGTGTGATGTAACCTGAGCTTTCATTGGTGTGAGTACTGTGTGTGATGTAACCTGAGCTTTCATTGGTTGGAGTACTGTGTGTGATGTAACCTGAGCTTTCATTGGTTGGATTACTGTGTGTGATGTAACCTGAGCTTTCATTGGTGTGAGTACTGTGTGTGATGTAACCTGAGCTTTCATTGGTCCGAGTACTGTGTGTGATGTAACCTGAGCTTTCATTGGTGTGAGTACTGTGTGTGATGTAACCTGAGCTTTCATTGGTGTGAGTACTGTGTGTGATGTAACCTGAGCTTTCATTGGTCTGAGTACTGTGTGTGATGTAACCTGAGCTTTCATTGGTGTGAGTACTGTGTGTGATGTAACCTGAGCTTTCATTGGTTGGAGTACTGTGTGTGATGTAACCTGAGCTTTCATTGGTTGGAGTACTGTGTGTGATGTAACCTGAGCTGTCATTGGTGTGAGTACTGTGTGTGATGTAACCTGAGCTTTCATTGGTCTGAGTACTGTGTGTGATGTAACCTGAGCTTTCATTGGTGTGAGTACTGTGTGTGATGTAACCTGAGCTTTCATTGGTGTGAGTACAGTGTGTGATGTAACCTGAGCTTTCACTGGTCCGAGTACTGTGTGTGATGTAACCTGAGCTTTCATTGGTGCGAGTACTGTGTGTGATGTAACCTGAACTTTCATTGGTCGGAGTACTGTGTGTGATGTAACCTGAACTTTCATTGGTCGGAGTACTTGCTGGTTACACCCTCCTTTGAACCACACCATTGCTTGATTTACTGCACAGACTACACCTCAAAGCAGACATAGGTATTCACAGGTGATGAGGAACGTAGTGCATACAAACCTGTGAAGTATTAAAGGGGCACTGATCTAAAGCAATTCCCCGGGACTGGTTGTTTCCTTTGTTATTGTTTTTCCCCGTGAGTACCCGGATGATACAGTAGAAATCTAGACTAGTTCGCGACCTGTGCTGTGCAATTCGTAAGCGCATTTGTCACTTTTATTGATAGTATAACTATAACGGCATATGGTCACATTGATCAATAAAATGAAACACATTTTTGGAAATAATAAGGAAATGTAGGTATCTTTGTAGGTAGTATCGGTAATGGTGACGAAGTTTTGATAAGTCACTTGCTTGGTTATTGTGCAATTTCGTTTCCACTATTTTGACTTGCAACACAAAGTAAATTTTTCTCCTGAGTATTGCTTATTTTATCGTGTTTATATTTTTACAGTCAAAACGTGCAAAATTTTCACTTAGGAAATTTATTAAACGCCTAAATATTCAGTTATTTTACAAATTGACTGAAAAATATGTCCATCTGTATTATTATAAAACGAATTCCAAAGATTTTTATGTTTAATATCATCACCAAGAGACTGTAAATGTTACGGTTAAAAAGTACATTTCTATATTGTTTGGCTTCTAATCTTCTAAAGAAATGGACAGATTTTTCAGTCAAAATGACTGAAATATTTACACATTTTTATAAATTGCCTGAGAGAATCACATTTTACAAATTGACTGTAATATATACACGCTTACAAAAAAAAGGACTTGTATTGTGAAAACAATGTCTATCGCGCATCGAAGAATTTTCCAAACAAGACGTAGAGGAACAAGAATAAATCTGTTCAATGCTACAGCAAATGAAGGAAAACAAAAGGCAAATATCATAATTATAACCTACCAAATTTATGTGTATAATTTTAGGCAGCTTTCTTGTTCAAGGAATGTATCCATGAATATCCACACAAAGGAAAAATATTCTACACGTCTGCAGCTGTACAAAGAAACTTATTCGATGTCACATGTCTCTGTAACAATCAAATACTTTAAAATATATATATCGTTTCGGGATATTATAACCCGTGTTCGTTTCTCAACTGATCACTTAGATTGTTTCAGGTGTTTCACATAGGTGTCAAGTCTCAAAGGTCGGCTGAGAAAGCCCACGTGACAACTATTTTCATAACGTCCACGGTTCCTAAAAAAATCCATTGAGTTAGATAACAATGAGCAATCAATCAAGGTATTATCGGTTAACCCTTTGAACAAAGTATGTTGTTTTTACATCGGCACTTCACGCCATGATATGAGTGTATGCCCTTTGTTTTAGTAAACCTAGACATGTAAACACTCACTTTTGACATATCCACTGTGCAAGATAACAGTGATTAATCAATCAGCGTATTTTCTGTTAATTCTTTGATGACAAGGAACGATCCGTTGATTCACAAAAAAGTAAATCAACTGATCATTCATCTCTTGCTGGGCTGCCACGTGCATATTACATAACACACATTTCACCTCACTTCAAACCTGTATTTAGATTGAATAATTACCCAAGAGACACAATAAATGCCAAATGGGAACCTTTGTCAAGTAATCTGAGTGGTGCTACCACTAATTATACCTGTAATAAATTCATTAACTGAGCATCAAGTGAATGACGACAAATACACAAGTGTAGGGTTATACCAGAAAACGTGGATGACAAGGGAGTAGTAATCGTATTTTCCACACAATCCGAAATCTGAAAATGCTTTCACTGACTGCATGGATGCTTTTTTTATGATTAAACTATAACCATCTGGGGTATTTCCTAATGACGACATCCGATGAGCTCCGCTGTTCTTAATGTCTGTTTGTTTAGGCTGAAGAAATTAATTAACATGCGCCCTTTTTCGAAATCTTTTTAGATCACTGTTAACCAATCAGTGATCCAAAATGCGTAAAACAAATATTGCCTCCAAGTTTATTTACCGGTAGCTGTCCTTGCAGACGGTAGCCCAGTCTCTTGTCACGCTCAGTTGCGTTGCGTATCATCCGGGTACTCACGGGGAAATAACAAAGGCAACAACCAGTCCCGGGGAATTGCTTTAGATCAGTGCCCCTTTAATGATGCTCTAAGCCATGCCACCAGCTTTCCTCCACCAGTCTCCACCCAATACCTACCCATCATGAATGCTGAGGACCTGGGTGCCCAGTTCATCCTGAATCCATTCTGTCCAAGTAGAGACTCTAATGCTTGGCACATTTCAGAACTTTGTTCGTTTACATATGGTGTATCTGAAAAATAATTTGCAAACTTGAAATTGGAAATGATCTGTTCTAATTTTGTCAATGAAATGTTAACGCATCAGTTAGAAGTCTCCCACAACCTTTGTGAGAGAGAATTGGGGTATATATCCCCGTGTTATGGGTTTTCGGACACTAAGTAACATTTGTAATTTTCTCGTTAATCACAAGAAAAACTGTAGAGCATCTCACTTAAATAAGACGACTTTATTTTAAAATTGGTCCATCATCTGAGTATTTACAATGTCTGTATGACGCCACCCACTTGTTATAGCATGAGTAATCGCGATAAACACGACTGTCCAAAAACGTATCATGTCCGAAAACCTATGATCTGAGGATACATGCTATTGAATAGATGGTGTAGTTTTATGACTGCCTTGTGAGACAGGGCCCTTCATAGCAGAACTGGACAGTGTAGTGGCCATATTGCTGTGCTGTCATCCATGTGTAGCGGCCATGATGGGATTCGAACCTCGATCTGACCTTCTGATCCAAGGTCAGACGCCTTGTTCACAGCAAGCTGTGAAGGTAAGGATGTCACTTGTGGGACGACTCCACGCCCTGCTAGATACTCCCCCATCAACAGAAGGCATGTCTTAGGTTGCATAGTTGGGTACTGAGACTTATTATGCTCAAATTTGATATACTTGTCCACGATCATAGTCTTCCCGCAGCAACTTGCAGTGCCTTAGACGACTGGGATAATTGTGCCCACAAAATTAATACAAAGATAAATTTGAACAAAAGGAAACACTCACCCCAGGAGTGTTGTAGTTCTGAGACTGTACCTGTAACAGATACCACAGTTCACGTCATGTGTATAGTAAAAGTATTAGATAGGATCGCCAGGCAGTGTGTTTGTTTGTTGTTTAACGCTGCACTTAGCAATATTCCAGCTATATGATGGCAGTCTGTAAATAATGGAGTCTGGACCAGACAATCCAGTGATTGATATGAGCAACGACCTACACAATTGGGATACGATGACATGCATCAACCAAGTTAACGAGTCTGACAACCCGATCCTGTTAGCCGCCTCTTACGACAAGCATAGTCGCCTGTTACGGCAAGCATGGGTTGCTGAAGACCTGTTCTGATATGAGAGGTGGAATCTGATTGGTTAATAGGAGGGACATAACTTTTAATAGTCACTGATGGTGCTACGATCAAGCCCAGAAATTCAATCATAGTTTGGCAAGGGTGGAAACTGGACTTAGTCAGTATTAGTTTGGCTTACACCACTTTCAACAGTATTCCAGTTATCTCACGGCATTTCTGCTTGATGTTAGAGGGAAGACCAAAGTGATGCGACCACTTTGGTGAAACCCACCATCACCGGTATGGTGTTGACATACTCTGTACAGGAAAGTGTGGCACCTAAGACAACTGGGCTCCCCGTGGCTTCCATGGGCATTTGCTGTGCAGAGTTGCGTCCCTTGGACACGCCAGAAACCTATGATTGTGGGTTCGAATCCCGGTTCGACCCGATTATGTTTCTAGGTTTGTCAGCACCATACCTGTGCTCGTGGGTTTCACCGAAGTGATAAACGTCTGAGACCTGCATCACTTCGGGCTTTCCTCCCACATTAAGCTGACACGCCGCGATATAACTGTAATACTGTTAAAAGCGGCGTTAAACACAACTCTCTCACTCACTCACTTGACTTCTGTCAGATTGTCATGAAAACATTGGAGATGGAGGGTTCAGAAATGATCCCCGTGACCTTGACCTACCAGCCATCATGCTGCCATGAGGTTGAGACATCACCTCCTTCCAGATGTTCGTCTCCGCGATAACAGCTGTTTTAAACATCAGCAGATATTCACTCGCTTGTCTCCTCTGCTCAGAGTCCAATTCTAAAACAAACATTTATGTATTGAGGAAAGAACGAAAAACAGTGTGTTTGTGAAAAATAATACAGGGGCTGTCTTAATAACTTAATAAATAATGATACAACAAACAGAAATTAACAAGCTGAATTTTTTAAATCCCCTTTTCACGTCAGCCAATTATGTTATTTTAAGACATAACCAATTAATGATCAGACTGAAAAATGGATTTCACACGAACAAGCTAAAACACTGAACAGATATGAGTTGCATATTTAGACCACTTGATGTGAGAAAATACAAACTGACACATGTTGACACCAGAATAAAGCTTTTGTGGGTTTCATCTTTGAATGTAATATTGCAAAATGTTACCTAAACTATACAGTAATACTCACGTGCTAGCTTTCCGAAGAAATATGGAGTGAATACTTTCAATGCAAAGTTACGTGAGAAATTTGCCTGAAAGGCAAAAGTACACACAAGTTCGATCACATGGTGGGCTTCAAAATTGAAAAACTGTTTCAAGATAACAGTTTCAGCTTCACTGACAAACTTGTGCCGTGGTTGGGGGAAGTAATTCAGATGTCCGAAAGGTCGCAAGATCAAGTAAATCTGAAGTGGATTGTACGTATGTCCATTTTCTGAGAAATGTGTGGCAGCTTTATCAAATATCAAAGGTGATAAGGTTCTGCTGGCATAACAATGCTCCATTACAAGAGCAAGGAGACTTGTAGTCAGTCGGGAGCCGTGTGACACAACATAGTTCTCCAAAGCCTCCATAATAATACGATCACTATGATGGAAATGGTTGTAGGCATGTACAACCTGCATGATATCCGTGTCCTTGGTGTTGACGAATGTTTTGCTAATAAACCTGCTAAAACTCTCCAGGATTCTTCTATTAGAAACATTTAATCGAACCAATGAATTGAGGATGGACACCATTTCTTCACTGGTACTGCTGGTGTTTAATGTGATCCATAGTTTCATCAATTCCATGATGCAGACATTAGACTGAGAAGGTGTCCCAAGGATGGGAGAGACATCGATGTTGCTGCAACCTTTCCCAATATGGAACCAAATCAAGCTGACCAATTCCTGATACTTTTCATTCCTTTTCAGCACATCACCCAGAGTAAGCAAATCGGTCATGGTGAACTGTAGTTCTACTATACGTCTTTTCATATCATCTATTAGAGATTCAGAAAACTGGTGTTTGGTATTTTCAAACTGCAGAAAAGTTTTACCTAGAGAGAGTAATGTACTATTGGGCAAAGATGGCAGGTCTCTTCCGGCCATGTCATATAATTCATCCATTAAAGTGTTACAAAGAATTGGTTCTGACTCACTAAGACTGCTACTTGCTTCCTCATCTTCTTGTAAACTACATATTCTCAGTAGAGCTTGTGATGCCAAACCCCCTAATTTATCATCATGATCATCTGTGGGAATGTCCAGTTTGTGAAAAACATCAGTAACAGACCGGCACTGCTTTAAGGAAGTTCTGACTTTTTCCTTTTCTGTAGTTGATACACTGTGATGTCCATGATTCATGGAATAAATTTTACTGTCATGGAGGTGATTCCGAAAAGGTAATTTCTGATTATTAAATTCATCATACAAGAGACGCAGAGACACACTGACAGGATGATTTGATGCAGCCTGTTGCACTGATGAGTTGTCGGTGGAGAAACAGGATGAACACACTGCAGGGGAAAGCTTCTGCCTACGGAAGACCATGTGCTTTTTTATGTAGGCAAAACGACAACCCAGTCTCTGTGCCATTGAGCAAGCCATTTGCATCTGAAACAATACAATCATAAAATCAAAGACAGGGTCATATTACTGTACATACTAAATGAATACCTGTCTGAAAAGTTTCTTATATTTTGTTCAAACTTAAAGTACGTACATGAAAATGAATATATTCTGTGACTTTCAAGTTCAGATATTTTGTTCAATTAAACGGCACTTCCATACAAATACACTTAAACATAACAGTAAGCGAGTGGGCATGTTTTTTGTCCTCGTTTGCATCTTCAAGTAAGGCGAAACCATAAATGGGCTTCACGCATTGCACACATATCCTGCATGTTGAACCTGCATGATGTCCAGTGCAACAAAGATCTGGGGTAGAATAGGTCTTCAGCAACCCATACTTGCCGTAAAAAGTGACTTTGCTTGTCAGAAGAAGCGACTAACGGGATCGGGTGGTCAGGCTCGCTGACTTGGTTGATGCATGTCATCGATCCCAATTGCAGAGATTAATGCTCATGATATTAATCACTGGACTGTCTGGTCCAGACTTGATTATTTACAGACTGCCAATATTTGTTCCGGATGAAACTAATTCCTTGTGGAAATAATCATCGCTGACACTCGTACCAGATCATGAGTTGCTGAACATGCTTATTGTCAACAAATATTCTATCCATCATTACTAAACTGTAGTTTGCACGCATGGAGTGGTCCTGATATTTATACTAGAGTAGAATGATGTTTGTCGTATCTCTATGACGCTTACAGGCTCGGAGTAATAGATTCTATATACACCATGTACAACAGCAGCAAATACAAATTTAGGCCCCTATAAAAAGACAACAGACATCCATAAATAATTTAAGAAATAAACTGAAGGCTGTGGCTAAAACATTACAACAATCACTCTGGGGATTCTACTTATTGTACCTTGACGCCTTCTTAAATTGTTACCAGATTGGCTGTAAGACTTGGACCTACTAGTTTTGTGAACTTTTCTCAGATTCAGACTTCAGTGACATCCCGATGTGACGTGACAGGTCAAAATTCAGCAAACTTAAAATACTTGCTTTGTGCCTTTTATGGAAATGACATTTTTCAATATTGGCCTTATTAGCAATTTATCACTGTATCATGATGTAAAAATGATGAAAACTTGCACAACGTGCAGCGACTATTGTGAGTAAGCTCATTGCCACGACATGTTCATTCCGTATGCAGTATTCCAAAGGATAGCACGCACTGCTTTGGAGCATAACATTGTTTAGTTCCTCACAGCGTTTTGCCGACTCCTTTTCAACCCTCTAAAGTATAATACGCGCTGTACTGGAGCAGCATACGTAAATGTCAAGGTCGAGCCCGAAAGTGTCTTCTACCGTTTTAGTGTTTCAAGCAACTCGGGTCGACCCGAACCGACTTGAGAGTGAAAAGGAAGACGTGACACATTATGTAAACTTATATTCGGGGACGCTTTTCATCATTACGTAATCCCAGCACCAGGATGCCTCTCAGAGCTTTATTAAGGTTTCTTTTACTTTGTTTACATTCGCTTTGCTAGCTGTTGTTGTGATATGACTGGATTTGCCAGCTGTTTTATAGGCCTAATCATATGGTGTAATAATTAATTTGTTGATTAAGTTTTTTGACTAAGCTTTAGGGAGTACTGGATCTAGTTGGGTCAGTCCTAGATGTTGTGAAAGTTGTGACGAATTAAGAAAATATGAAGTCACAATAACGATGTTGTGCCTCATGTTATAAATTTGTGGTGGCCATTGTACCGCTGAACGGTTCGTTGTTGGCACAGGTACTACAGAGATGCACCCCAGTTACGTTTCTGTATACAGAAATGAACCCTAGCCAAAATCCGATTACAGAAAGGTAACCTATGAGTACATTCCGCCCCTGCCGTATTACGCAATGTGCTGAACCGGTTCCTTGAACGCTTACATATTATCCCCGTGTTTTGGGTTTTTGGATGCTTACGAAACATTTGTATTTTTCTCTCTTATCACATGAACAACTGTAAAACACTTCATTCACTTTTATGAGACAACTTTCACTTAAAAACAAGCTGTCATCTGAGTATTTACAATGTCTGTGATGCTATAATCACAGTAATCACGATAAACATGGCCCTCCGAAACCTATGATCTGACGATACAACGCATCCTGGATGCCAAACCGTGTTAAAATTCAACATATCATGCATATGGCAGTATGCGTTGTATATTTTTCTCGCTGTGTATTTCCTTACCATAAATGGATTGGAACTGTCATTCTGTTGTATGAGATGCTATATAAAAAACGAGCAAACACTGTGACGTACATACATATTTCAAATATTCCAAGATGCACAGCATTATCCATCATGCACTCGTCATCAGGCAAACCAGAACTACAACATGAACCGTTATCAGTTTCGGGTTGAGGAATTTGGCTGTTTAGGGCATCTTTTAGTATTCTGATTTAGGCAAAGGTACATTTCTGTATACCGGTTCTGTATACAGAGATGTATCGGGGATAAATATCTGTGGCACCCATGCCAACAATGACCCCTTTAGTCATAGTACCCACATCTTCCTGAGGCAAGTGAGTTAACTGACTATAAAAGTCCAGTTTCCACCCTTGCCGAACTAGGCTGGTATTATGGAGTTACATTTTGGCTGGACTAACGAGCCTATGCATAGTCCAATCAAAAATGTGCACCGAAATCGAAATCCGGTTCGTAGAGTGTCATGCAGTTTTCGGTCGACTGCAGGATTTGCAAAGCATGTGCACCGCTAACTCGTTGTCAACAGATATTTTCTAAATCTTTTCATGTTTTTAATCACGGTGCTCACGTGATTTGATGAACTTCGCGATGTTAGACTCGTTTTATCACAATATAGATCTTGATTATCGATCAGATCGTCTTGACTGGGCGCCACCATTTTGTTTGAAACAAATGCAAGTGATACGAGAGGTTGAATCTGATTGGTCAATAGGAGAGGCATAGAAAGGACATAACTCGTAATAGCCACTCGTGGCGCTACTATCGAGCCCAGTAATTCCAGCCTAGTTCGGCAAGGGTGGAAACTGGACTTTCAACGTCAGTTAACTCTCTTGCCTCGGGAAGATGTAGTACCCATTGATCATGAGTTATCACAAACTTCTAACATGAGGGCCAATTTGCCCAAAATGGCTCCCCCTATGTTTCGATATACTAATTATCAGTGGAGAGATGAGACAACCAATCTCTGGACTTAATTACAGGAAGGTGGCATTGTGTTCATGTTACAATCAATATGTACACGTACAGCTCTCTTACTACCTTTTCCCCCATGTTGATGCAGATCATGCTTGTTGTTTATTACTTACACATTGCAGCATCTGATTTTAATGATATTGAAACAATGTGAGACCTGGCAGATTATGTCACATTGTATCCCCGCTACAGAAGAAACAGTCACCCAAGCAGTCCCTCACTTAAGTTCATATCATTCACAGACAAGACTCCCAAGTTTTATTTGAGATCATGACTTCTTTTCTTGTTTCAGATATCTGATGCAAAATGAGCAAGTGGTGCAAAAGGTTTGTAAACTTACTAAGAGCAAAAACAAATCTGCCTTGCATCGTTATTATTTCTCCTCCAAGTCAGATATTCAAACATAGTATAGATGGATGACTATGAACACTTTCTATGGGACAGCTGAAAGTATATCAAGTGAACTTCAGCTGTCAGGTGCCAAGCAGTGTGTCCAGAATCCATGAATATCCATAGCTTGTTATGTTATTCTCTACTTAAAACAAGTATGTAATTACTTTCAGGATCTATCCAGCTCTGGTATAATGTGTAAGCTTCCTATGCTCCATATCCGTCACTGTCCAGTATGTTATGTCTCCATTCTATTTTGTTAAATACTCTGGAACCATTCACCACCTTATCTTCTTTTCTGAAGCAAGTTACAATCTCCAGGTCTCATATAAGTTATAACCAGCGTTATTACTACAGGATTTCCCCATGGCTGTAACTTGATTGAACAGCTATTTTCAGCTCAGCGAAAGTCGAATCAGGCTCAAAATGAGGCTGTAAGGCAAATGACTCCAGGATATTTGTCATATTAGAATATATCTTCCTGAGGCAAGGGAGTTAACTAACTATAAAAGTCCAGTTTTCACCCTTGCCGAATTTCTGAGTTAAATTTTGTCTGGACTAACAAGTCTATGCATAGTACTATCAAAATCGCAGAACAAAATCAACATCTGGATCATAAGGAACATGGCTACTGCCCTGCAGATTTTGGTCAATTGCAGGATTTGCAAAACATGTGTACCACCAATTTTGTGTCAACAGATATTTTGCAAATCTTTTCAGGTTTTTTAAACAAGGTGCTTAAGCTTGTGGGTAAGACCTGTTTTATTACAATATAGATCTTGATTATCGATCAGATCATCTTAACTGGGCACGCCATTTTGCTTGAAGCAAATGCAAGTGATATGAGATGTGGAATCTTATTGTTCAGTAAGAGGCACATAAGCGCTGGTGGTGCCTGGAAATTCCAGCCTGGTTTGGCAAGGGTGGAAACTGGACTCCAGCCTTGGGAAGATGCATATATATATATTCATATAGAAGAAAGATAGAATGGAGATATAATTATGATAATACTCGGATAATTGTGGATGTATACTTACTGATGTGACAACAGCATACAGTTCTTAACACTGACTGTCTCTCTTTGTGTTCAGCTTGCAGAGAGCTACCCTATACGAAGAGCTGCACAGTTAACAGCATATGTACTACACAGAGGGAAGGAAGCTGGTGAGTACAGAGAGAAAGTCTTCCAACCATGCAAAATATGGACATTTCATGTTAATTATCCAACTGAAAAACTCATGTAGTATTTTCCTGAACATTTAAGGCCTACCTGGAACTATTCTTATTCCTGCCAAACCTTCTGGTCATGTGCTGTCCATGACATTTACAGTGAGGAAAGGAAACATGTTCGGAAACAGTGAGGGAATTCAACTTTGTTTATAGGTCGTAGCAACTGTAACTTTTTGACTGACCCACTCATTCAGTACGTGACATAATTGTCATTAGTATTCGACCTGTGAAGATCCGGGGTAGAATAGGGGTTGAGCAACGGATGCTTGCCATAAAAGGTGACTATGCTTGTCGTAAGTGGCGACTAACGGGATCTGGTGGTCGGGCTCGCTGACTTGGTTGATGCATGTCCTTGTATCCCAATTGCAGGGATCAATGCTCATGATGTCAATTATTTACAGACCGCCGTCGTTTAGCTGGAATATTGCTGAGTGTGGCGTTAAACAACAAAACAAAAACAAAAATCATTAGTATTCTTTACCATTCTTGAGTTGTCCCAAGTACAGTTTGTGACTTCAGCAACTAGTCCATGCCTTAATCTAGTACATTTTGTATGGTTCAGCTGAGCATAGTTATTTTATGATGTTGTCAGGTCTGCAGAGTCTTGAGAAGATGCAAGAAGCAGACGTCGTGAATAAACTGCAGCAGGAAGCCAAAAACTCTGGGCAGAAGTTTGAAAACTTTCGAAACACGTTTACCAAAGAGTTGAAAGAAGGAATGAATGAAGTGAAAGAAGAAATGAAAAAGAAAAAATAACCAAGTTAGCTGTGATAATGTGATATACAGTAGTCGACGGGGATCTCCAGGCCACATCTGGACCGTCTGTGTTGAGTTAGAGTCAAGTCCAGAGACTGGGGAAGCTGTGCCATGTGAAATGTGACACTGGTATTTATGAAGTTAACTTGTTATTGCAGAATGCACCTGAGAATCAAATTAGGATAAACAATTGAGGATGGTATTGTTTAGATAGTCATTCCAGCTGTAGAATATCAGGAGAGTATTCTCTACATTGGCTCTGATCAAATTGTGTCTGTAAATATGGAATGACTGGTACCCATGTTGCCTGCATGATGGTTATTTCAATAAGGCTAAACAAAATAATAGTCTTGATTCTCAGGCAACACCTGCATCATCATAAAGTCTGCAGTACGTTTTGTTTTTATTTCCATATTAAAAAAATATATAAAAATCCTAATACTTAAACACAATGCACACAAAAAATTGAAAATGGAAACAAAGACGAAACATGCAATGAACTTTATGATGATGTGGGCAGTGCCTGAGAACCAAGACTATTATTTTGTTTAGCCTAATGGAGAACTGATGGCTTGACACGTGATCTATGGCGCTTGTTTCAGTGATAGAAATTGGCACTTGTTCTATTGTCCTTGCCAAACTGGCCAATAGTTAGTATCATATGGACTAGTAGAAAATTGCCATTTAAAGGGTATTGCTATCTTATCGTTATTCGGATGAGTTGACGAAAAATATTAGTTTCTATGGCTGGATTGTAGATTCCTCAGTCTTTGAGTTAAGTGGAAGTTTGTATGTGGAGAATGGGTGATATTGCTCCTATTTAGTTGTGTAATATTTCACCCCTGTTTGCTGTTCCCTGATTGCCACAAATAGCTGCAGGATTGCTGATGTGGTGTTAAGCAATAATCACTCCCTCACTGTTCCCTCATGTAACAAGGGATACTACTCAGGAATCATTTGAAAATATCACGGCGTGAGAGTGTCGCACGAAACAATGTCAGACAACTAACAAGTTCTGTCAATTATTTATTTCAGCAGCCCATTGCCCGTTTATTCCATGCTTACAATGTTAAATTGAAAGACATAACCTTACCACCCTTTAATAAAAGTGAAAATCTATTCTTGTGAGAAGCCCTTTATCACTATGAATTTTTAGACTCATAGAACATGGCAATAAAATGTCACCTGGGTCAAAAGACCAGATTGCTAGGAAATGAAATAAACACTGTTTCAAGACTGAGATCTAAATATTTTCCGATTTTGTTCATATGACCTTCACATGGCTGAGTGACAGCGGAATATGACTATGTCTTCAAGAACCCTATAATTACAGGTTCAATATTACTGGTTAATATAATTGGATAAGTGTGTCACTTCTGCTATGCCTGTTCTGGTATAAAGCCATCCCATCAATTTGTGTACAATAATTCATTTGTCCGCAACGATCCACAACTTAACAGATCCGGGTAGAATAGGTCTTCAGCAGCCCACACTTGCAGTGAAAGGCGACTATGCTTGTCGTAAGAAGCGAGTAACGGGATCGGGTGGTCAGGCTCGCTGACTTGGTTGATACATGTCATCGTATCCTAATTGCAGAGATCAATGCTCATGATGTCAATCACTGGATTGTATGGTCCAGACTGGACTTTTTATAGACCGCCGTCATATAGCTGGAATATTGCTGAGTGCGGCGTTAAACATCAAACCAACAAACAATAATTCATTTGAACGTAGAAAATGTTTCTGGGGCCAGTGGTATATTGTAGTACATTGCTGATTTGCTTGGTCCAGACTGGATTATTGTCAGCCATTGTGATATGAATGTAGCTGGAATAATGCTGTTTCACATACCATGCTACTTCTGTCACACAATGTGTTTGGCAGAGGGACACCCCCTCGTCACTCCTGAGGTGTTGGCAGTAGGGGTGTCATAATTCACAGACGTATTGATGCATCATGAATTTACACCAGACAATGTGATATATGGTGCGCCGACTCTTGTATCAGTTAATGTTTTAATTTCTGTGTTGACTTTCAAAAAGAAATATTTACAAAGTTTACTCTGGCTGACAGGGGCGGTCGGGTAGCCTAGTGGTTAAAGCGTTCACTCGTCACGCCGAAGACCCGGGTTCGATTCCAGACATGGGTACAATGTGTGAAGCCCATTTCTGGTGTCCCCCGCCGTGATATTGCTGGAATATTGCTAAAAGCGGCGTAAAATCATACTCACTCACTCACTCTGGCTCACAACCACTCTGGCTAGCATTACTTTACCATCTGTCATGAACCAAGTTGCTACATCTGATTGCATGTACTTTGTGAGTCATGTGAGTTAGACACAATCTGGCTGGAAGCAGCAACCTCTTGATATTCAGGTCTCATGGGTCATGTAAAATTTTACATACCGGTAAAAGTATTCTAGGGTGGATCCAGCATTTTTGAAAAGGAAGGGGTCCAATAACAAAATCCTCAAAATCCCCTGGATCTGCCTATGGTATTATGGTGATATGAATGGAATTGTGACTTATTATTACGATAGGTATCGATACCTGGGAGGCATATCATAACACCCCAAGCGGACACTGTGAGGTTAAACATTTAACTTTTGGGTATAAGGCTTCACATTTGTATATGCTCAGTGGTTTGTTCAGGGTGCACATGATCAGGGACATTTGTAATAATATGTTCAATTACTGTAGTGACATTTTGAGTACCTCCAAATCATGTTAACTGATCAAGCTGTATCAGTGAACAATGAACCCAGTGTTTGAAATAATTTTAGAACCCAACAAGACAGTCGGGCAGGTGACCCAAAGTGTTGCCTGCCTATCTTCAAACATAATAAATATTGAAAAATCACAAAATTATAAGAGACAAATCAAATTATCTAGATTCCGTTGAAATAATGCAAAAATGAAAATCTGAGAGAAGTTATGATATGACTGAATATGTAAGTACCATATTCGACGTAATAAGCGCCCAGGGCACTCCCAAAATTAGAAATAGGGGGCTCTTATTAGAATATAATTTTGGTGAGAAAAAAACAGTTGAAGATGGTATATTTCTAGATTTATCTACCTGAAATGATACAAAAGAAACGTCTGTGCGTATTATACACGACAGATATATTTTTCCAGAATTTAATTGCCCATAATTAAGGGTGCATATAACACGAGTGCGTATTATACATGATTAAATAAGTCTTGTGTACATTGATAAATCGGAAGAGGTGCTAATTGGGATTGTTCACTAGCCAATATATTAGCAAATATCACCGTGGGCGCTTATTAGAGTGGGGCGCTTATTACGTCGAATACGGTAGTCTTAAAATGATCTGCCAGACAGGTTGGGGAAGGTTTCAGACAGCCTGACAGAAAGGTTACCAGCTGCAGGCAGGCAGGTAGGCAGTGATTTCAGACACTGAGTGAACCTCATTGAAAGTGTTCTTGATTCTGTAACTAGAAAAAACATTGCATAAAGGTATGTCATGATGCTGGTACAATATTTGAAATTAGTGTGATGGCTGTGAGTTGTCCCACTGTCATTAAAGTCTGTAAGTGTGATCTTTGAAGTACCTGCTAACCTTGATAAAACAGGAATTTTTGTTTCATTATTTACCATCTGTATGATATTATATGATTATATGAATATCTCATATATTTTATGGACACGAAAGGTCATGTTTATACTTTGTAATAAAATGTGGAAAGTATTTAAGCATCAAGCTGTGTTGAGTGATATATCAGTGGATATACACCAGGTGGTACACTGATGTCTGCTTTCGCTCATCAGATACCAGATCTATTGACTTGTTTTATAAAATTGGTATTACACGGGAGGTTGTTTGGTATCTATATCTGGTATGAAAAGAGTGAGTGAGTGAGTTAGGTTTAACGCCGCTTTTAACAGTATTAAAGCCCGAGGAAAGCCCGAAGTGATCCAGGTCTTAGACATTTACCACTTCGTCGAAAACCAAGAACACAGGTATAATGCTGCCCAACCTAGAAACATAATCAGGGCGAACCCAATCTCATTAAAATCAGATCTTTGTTTAGCGGTAACGAGAACTAAGATCTGATTTTAATGAGATTACCGTTACCGCTAAACAAAGATCCGAGGACATCCCATTGCGGGTCACGTCAGACCAACCTTGCGCGAACTTTGACCGACCAATATAATGACCAATCAGAAGGCAGCTTTCTCGTGCTTTACGGCACTAATTTCAAATTGGCGACTACGCTTCGAAACATATTTAGACAAATTCTCGATTACAAATTTGAAACCTGAACATAAAAACATTCTGGAATGGCTAATAGATGGTCTAGATTGTAAGGATTCAGTCGTTAAACCCGTAACTATCGTTCGGAATACCCCCTGTTAAAGTTTTCGAAATTGCATGATTAGAAATCACATTCTGACTGTCACTTTGATAATCTGGTAAGCGACACACTGATTGGTCGGATGAAAGGTCGTTCTGACGTGACCCCAAATGGGATGTCTTCAGATCTTTGTTTAGCGGTAGCGAGAACTAAGGTCTAATTTTAATGAGACTGGGGTGAACCGGGATTCGAACCCATAATCAAAGGTTTCTGGCATGCCCAAGAGTCGGAACTCTGCACAGCAAATTGCGGTGCCTTAGACGACTGGGCCATCCGTGCCCCCACTATAAAAAGAACCCTGGACAGCTATCTAATCAGACTGAAAACAAAGCCATAGCACAAGTGGGTGCAGGTTATTTATCATAAAGAGAAAGGAGACAATACACTAGATAGATGATGTTGACATGCTGCCGCCTGAAGGAGTATTACTCATAGACCTGCTTATCACATTAACATTTGAAACTTTACTGGAACACAGAAAAAACAGAAGCTTATTATTATGTCAAACAAGATTTTATTTCATGTGCTAGAGATTTATTGAACAACTTCAAACATTTTTCATGTTGTCGCCTTATTTCACCGAATTTGATCTTGAAAACATACCATACAAGATGCAATCGCCATTGAAAACAAAAACAACTTAACAGTTGCCATAGCAACTGCTACCCATCTCTTGAATAATCCAGCACAACTTCTTTCCATGTTGGTCTTCTCGACAATTTGACTATGAAACAATTTCAACAATTCTGTAAATTCTCAACCAAAATAACATCTTGCTATTAAACACATAAGTTGTTTAATCTCTATGGACGGAAAACAGTTCAACATGTTATTCAATTCATACAGTGTGAAGCTATTTACATGCAAGCTTATGTACAATCATATCCATGGCTACGTCCATAGATTACAGACTTTCTTTCCCAAATTAACCCCCAACTTTTAATAACCATCCCTGTGTGACCAAATTGATTGTTTTTCTGTAACTAAGACAAGTATTTGTTTTATATTTCAACAATAAAATAGCTCACACTTTGTCCATTGCATCAATTTGTGTTTTTCTTACTCCAAAGTCCCTAAATACTACACTTGGTGTACAACATCTTCTAATTCTCATCTTAGAATAGATTTATTTTTAGTAGAAAGTAGATTCTTAATTAAATGCAATTTAGCGGGAAGTAGTGCATGTTTTTGGTACCGGAGTTGATTTTAAATAAATAATTGATGATTATTAACAAGTGCCACTTTGACCAAGAGGGAAATATGTGTAGGGTACAAAAGAGGTACTTGTGTAAATATACCTAAAAATACTAACACACATCATTTGGATATTTGTTCATGAAAAATTATTCATCTTTTTGATAATTAAACACATGTAAAACATATAATCTTATATGTACAGCAAATTATTACAAGTAATGAATCGACTATCCTGAGTGAATTAAGCTTTGAAGACGAATCAGCATTCTGAAACAAAGCAACAATCTGTCTCAACACGTTGTTGCTTGATGATTTGAATATAAAATCACAACTGCGGTGTGCGAGCATTTACCATGTATCTCTTCAAACAATTTATAAACAATTACATGTTTCTATATTATGTTTTATGTAAGAAAATAACTACTATTCACTCCTTAAAAGGAAATTGGTGTAAGCCTTAATAGAAACGGAGTTTTGACATATAGTATAACAATAGGTGTGTACCTGGACAATATATTGACTTCACGATTCTCATGACAAAGTTCAGCATTAGGCTGGAATATGGTATTTTGAATCCTTTGAAATATTCTGAAATAAAATGATGAGGATATTTTTGGTGTTATTAGCAAAACGGTTAAACAATAAGCATAAACAGTAAAGGGAACAATGCCAGTGCCAAGTATGTACTTAAGGCCCCCCATAAACAATAATGGTCAGTCACACCAGAGAAATAAAGAATCTAACAGAAAAATATGTCTAATAGATAATATATCTAACAAAATATCAACAACAATATTCACTCAAAATTAGTTTAACTGGTCAATAACATTATGTTTTCATCTTAAATCTAGTTTATAACATTCAGTCTAATGCAACACTTCTGCAAAACAATAACGTGTATTTCATGATATAATATTATATAATATATAAATAAAATCCATCAAAATGTGTAAACACACTGGTTAGTGTATAGCCTTTACCAGTGAAACCATACTCGAAAAAATACATTCTTCTGTTCTATTTTGTATGTTGGACAAAGTCTTAGGCATATTCAGTCTAAGTAGAGGAGTAGTATGATTTTTTAGATGAAGGTGAAAGGTGTAAAATATATACATCTGTATCACAGCCTTGCTTTGACAAGCAGTTGAGTCACCTCCCATCACGATCACATGACGTAGGTTGTGGCAGTGTTCATTGCATCATGTAACCACAATACTCCAAGAAATCTACGTTTAAGTGGAGAAAACCTTAACAAGGGATCAGTCAAAATTCTAGTTCTCTTAATCCTCAGTCTGGCTTAATTTGAAGGGGGTACAGTACAGCCCAAGAAGAGCTGTCATTAGATGATTGATAACATTTAGTTTCCGGAACCCTGAAATGATAGTTTTATCTTGTATAAATCTGTTTTTTTCTCGAATATGGACTTCTACCGATTTTATCTTTGAGTACAGTTCTAGATTTTACAACCATCATTTGAAATCTTTTCAGTAAATGTCTATTTAAGAGAGTAAATTTATGGATGTCATCTTCATTCACCTGATGAAGGAGTAAGTATATACTCTGAAACGTTGTGTTCCTCATGATAAAGAAGCCGACATCCACAAATTCTCTTCCTAAGGTGTATTACTTCTAAATGCCTTTCAAAGACTTGATCAGTCTTTTTGGTTATAAACATTTGGTTCAGAACTGCACGAAATTGTTTCATAATTTTATCCTCTTGTGTAAACCAAAAAGAAAACATGGAAATTAATCTTTCATAGAAACTTTGCTTTCAGCAGAGATTTCTAATGATTATGGAAATGTTTTTGTCAAGTTTTCTACTTTTTTTCACAAGATCAATCATCCTAGGTTATCTATATGTATTTGGGATCATTTCTCTTTAATTATTCTTGGAGTAAAGTGACAACTTCATATTGAAAATCCTAAAGGGGTAGACTGGTTGACACATTCCTTCAAATCTTGAAAACTGTTACCACACTTTCTTGGTAAGATTTATTCAAGTCAAATATTGACATGTGTCAGTTAACCCTTTTAGAATTTTCTTCTCAACACTCATAATATCACACATCTAGATATAACACTCTAAAGCACTTCCTGCCTAACATGTCAACCCAGCAAGGCAATTCTAATACATCTGTTCTCACATATACATGTTACAGGGCCGTGTGAGAGCCAAGAGGGGAGGGGTGCCAGCAACATCAGCTGTAGTATGTATAAGTACCAGCAGAGGGGTCGAGGAGGATGTTGCAGGGTGTCGCAGGGTGTCACAGGTTGTGCACCTTTTTCAGACACCTTTGGCTACATCAACTTCGTGATTGGGGTATAACGTGCACCCCTTCTTTTCCAAATTGCTGGACCCAACTCTGTAAGGTGGTTTAATCTAAGGTCTCGCTACAATGTACTTCTACAACATGCTGTACACAACACAAGGCAAGTGAGTTAACTGATTATGAAAGTCCAGTTTCCATTCTTGCCGAAATAGGCTGGAATTATTGACTTATGTTTTGGCTGGACTAACGAGTCTATGCATAGGCCAATCAAATTGTAAAACAAAATTGACATCCGGTCCATAGTCTGCTGTGCAGATTTCAGTCGATTGCAATTATTTGCAAAGCATGTGTACTGCCAACTCGGCAGTCGACAGATATTTCTCAAATTGTTTCATGCTGCTCACGTGATTTGATGCACTTCGCGAAGTGATAATTGTTTTATCACTATATAGATTTTCCTTATAGATCAGATCGTCTTGGTTGGTGCCGCCATTTTGAAGCAAATGCAAGTTGAATGAGCATGGATCAGACTAGTCAATAGGAGAGACAACGAAGGGACATAACTCATAATAGTCACTGGTGGTGATACGATGGAGCCTAGAGATTCCAGCCTAGTTAACTCCCTTGCCTTGGGAAGATATACACAACCCTGTCAATTTCAATAACTCTTCCAAATTTATCATAAAAAAAATAAAATGATAATAATTTGGTTCCAGGTCTTTACTCGTAAGGGTGACAACACTAATCTGTCGCTTCCAAAATGGTTTATAAGTTAACTGTTCGGTATAGCATGTTGTTGAACACACCCTCCATATATTGTATGATGGCCCCCCTCTTGGTACTGCACAACTGTGATATTCTAAACCCTCTTTGTAAACTGAACATGTTTCATACTGAAGTAATAACAATAAGCCTTTCTATGATAGATTACCAAACATAGCCAACGGTTGGTGATGTTGGTGAAGTGTGTAGGGACATTATCAGATGCATTTGCACTTTTGTTAGTACTAGTCACTATTAACGATTTCAGAGATATTTCATTCATTCGAAGCAAAGTAAACAAAATTAAAAATCATTGCACATTTTTAAGATGTGTCCTTTTCTTGTTAATTTTACCTGTTTCTGTTGTGATAGGGTTGAATCATATAGCCAAGATTTCATTGACTTACCATCACATGATTGAACATGTAAAACCACCTAAAAGTAATATTATCGATTTGTTTTAATGTTCAAATTTCATTTGTCATTATAGATGTTTCTTGAATGAAAGGTGAAAGACAAAACTACATCACAAACAGACATTTATAGATGCTGAGTTAGAAGAAACATCTCTGAAACCATACTAATAAAGAGAAGTTGATAATTAATATTTGACACATAACTAACTAATAATTCACACAAACCACTAGTGAGCCACAGCTTTTCTCAAACAAACTTGTAATAGTTACGTTTAGCCAGTTAGGATATATAACCGAAAGAAACAAATCTAGTGGCTACAGTTGATTGGTCATATTGCAGATCTGATCACAAAATATTGATTTTGTCTTGTTTTAGTAAACTTATCATTTTCTAACATAAAGAAATCTTCACTATACATGTGTAGATACTTCTTGAAAACTGGTAAACGGATTAGTACGAGTTTGACTGAAACAGCAAAATGATTTGAACGCACACAAAAGTGCTTGTCCTTAAATCATAGGGTATGTCTCTATAAAAGAAAAACGATTCCATATCATAAATGAATGGATATATTTCCATAGCTTCAAAAAAAATTTTCAGTCAATATTCTTTTCATAATTTCATTGCAAATGGAAATAACAAATTGTCAATGGAAAATGTGATTTTTTTTATATCAAAATTGATACACAAAAATAATCCATTGTTGGTTTTTAGATCAACTTATAGAGACATTGTGGAAGCGCTTTGATTACTGTATCGGCTCAGTTAAATAAAAATATAAACATAAATTGCTAAAAAATGTCAATAAACTATATCAAACAGTACATATTCTAATATAAACTATAAAAACAATACATATCCAAATATTAATGAACCAATGAATGTGACATCAGATATTAACACCAGTTTGTGTTATGATCATTTACTAACATTATATTCTGTTATATTAGTTTGTTTTAGGTTATGGAGTAGCACATTGTTTGATTTTGAATTTCAAAATTACCCATTCAAGCTCAGAATGATGATTGGTAAAAAAACAAACCCAAAAAGACTTTAATGAATGTTGTATTCAAATATTCCTCAGCAACAATTAATACCTAAATTATAAATTGATATAATTTCCATCTTTGACATTCTGTATAATATATATATTCTATTCTATTTTCTTTCATCTGACGATATAATTGTCCGTCAGAGCATACGAAACAGCAAAACAAAACTGGAAAATCAGGACTTTATTTCGGGAGAGTTCATAAGATAAAATGTGGTCATTTTGGTGAAGTTTTATATCCAATTATCATCATACCTGGTCTTTAGACATCTGAGCTGTGGGTATTGCTTACCTAAATTCTGTATATAATCTCTGCCATAAATAACATTGTTATACAAGCATAATGAAAAGATTTTCATGCTTAGACAATATTGCTTTTTTTGTCCATAAAACAGGTATTGACTTCATATAGTCCATAATTTCATAGCATCATAGTTATTTTTTTCTGATAAATATGATAGTTTTCAATCAATAACACTGGTGCTGAAATGAAAAAGTTAAAGTAAACTAAATAGCAGAATGGTTGCTACAACAAGACAAAGCTGTAAGGACTGGTGAGAATGAAACACTCAATAAGATCATGGTTACATTGCTGGAATGTTATTGCACGGGAGTGTCAAGTATTGAAACAGTAGGTGTGACTGACTCATTTAGGGTATGAGTTTAATATCTTTGGGTTGTTCGGAGTCGATATAAACTATTTCTCCTCATACAACATGTCAAAGAGGAAGAAAACAGATTATGCCATGAGTATGAGTTATCCCCCTTGTCATTTAGTAACCACTGGTAAATGAGATCTCATGTTCATGTAAAATGACATTGGCATCAACAGAAACTATAAACATGATAAATCTCCTTGTTTTAAATATCACAGATAATTCATCATTGTTTTTATTGGTAATACAGCCAGTTTATCTCAAAACATCATTAACAAGTAGAGAATATAATTTGGCCACAATAAATCAACAACAATATTTGTATCCTAGTTGGGAGATGCATGTTATGTCTAAACTATAACATCTTTCAAATTGACTGAATTATTCTTGGACTTTCTTGAAGAATGCTGCAAAAGGCCATTTTGCACACATAAGGAAACTGTTTCTTGATGACTTAAAGCAATGATGAGATCTCAATGGCTGTTGCAAAGATAATTCAAGAGGAAGCCTGTCATTGATATAAATGGGACGTCTAAAATCTTGAAACAGTTTTTGACACATGTACCATTCTCAGGAAAGCATCACGAACCATTGTTCCTGTACAGTGTAACAATTATCAACAATGTTGGAAAACAACTATCACCTGGAGCACATGTTTTATACTTCACAAATAAACATTACCCTGAAAACCGTAGAATTTGTTTTTGTTTTTGTCTTCAACTCAACTTTGATTGGAATGAAAATGTAAATCAACAATAGTTTGATCGGCCATTTTGTATGTAAAATAATCAACTTTGCACTAGCAAATATATATTATGTACACTGGTTAATCTAAAGACACTTAAAGGTTGCTGAAAACATATATGACTTTGTACACGTCTAACTTGGTTGATATGTACAGAATATTTCTGGTAAAAGTATTTTTTACAACAAAATACAGGTTGAAGATTTCTTTGCAACACTGGCAGGTCGATCTTTTCTTGGAGTCTCGGGAGTTTTCTTCACAGGTTCTTTTTTCTTTGGGGACTTTTTCTCTTTTTCATCATCACTGCTGTCGCTGTCGCTGTCACTGTCACTCTCATCATCGTCTATGGTGAGGAAAACAGATTCGTTAGTGATGTGAATTATGAAGGGATTAATTAAAGATAATAAAAACTCAGGAAAATGTTTGGTTGTAAGTTATTATTCAGTAATTATATCAACCGAAGCTAACAAAGGTGATCCCTGACATATAATTAATGACATGTTTAGTCAACAAAAAATACTAAAAGTTTAAGGCTGTTTTTTCCAGTATTTAAAAAAAAAAGTATTACATTTTTCTTTTCAAGTGATCTCAGCTATGCATGACTACAAATGTTTTTGTTAACAAAAACAAACTATTACATTTTAGGGCTTTAGATACTGAGGTTACACAAACTAAAACACAATATGTTACAAAAGAATTAGACAATACTTCAGAAAAACAGAAAAAACATTTCATATTGTAATCATGCTTGGAGTTCCACAACAATCAAACAGCTAATGCATGGGGCATTTCTGTCTGTAAGAATGTCTACGAACCCAAATGAAAATAACATTCTATGACATTTGCAGAACTTTGGCAGAAGCTGACACAATCGATATACATATAGAAGCTGTACATAGATCAAATGGTTATCAATATGTAATGTCAACAATATGGAATTGATAGTACATGTAACTGAATATGGGATATATGTGTAAGAACTACAATAATTCTAAACAGTATGGGAAAGAAGTTATGTTCATTATGATACACATCAAAGAAACTATACAGACTTTTGAACTATCAGGTAAATGATATGCAATTAAAATAGAATATCAAGTACGACTGGTCATATCCTAAATAGTGTAGGATGTAGGATTGTACTTAGGATGAAACGGGGCGGTCGGGTAGCCTAGTGGTTAAAGCGTTCGCTCGTCACGCCGAAGACCCCGGTTCGATTCCCGACATGGGCACAATGTGTGAAGCCCATTTCTGGTGTCCTCCGCCGTGATATTGCTGGAATATTGCTAAAAGAGGCGTAAAACCATACTCACTCACTCACTCACTCACTTAGGATGAAACCTTGCTCTAAGACTACTGATGTATAGAGGCTGCTGTGACAAGATTGAAAAATTGCCGACTGTACATATATTCACTCACACCTTATCCTGTCTTAATGCTCCTTCAACCCAGTCATACAGTTTCAAATCTATTGATAAGACTTAGTGAACTCCATTACCATGTAATAGGACAAGGGCTTATTTGATTCCCCAGTCTAGTATTTAACAACAAAAACTGAAGTGTGAGTCATTTACAAGTATAATATCCAGACACATTCTGCAACACACATGTATCCCTACACTTGTAGAAAAGATGGAGCTTCCAATGTTAAAGGAAGCTATTGAGCGATACCCAAAGGCTGGAAGACCTAAAGTAACATGTGATCTAAACACGTCACAGTGGGCTTTCATGTTTGCACACAACACAAGTGGTATATTACAACCAATGGAAAAACAGGAATATAGCTCGCGCAAAATAGAATTATGGGGGTCCATGCACTCAACAATGAATACCTAAAAAAAAAGGACAGAAATAATGTTGGTCTCTTTTTTGGAATAAGTAGAGCTTGGTATATGCGCTTGATGGCGACCACAAAGGAGGCTGGCAGGCCATTTCAGGGTCCTTTTGTTACGGTATTTTAACTGATATCTGTCCTTGGGCGACTAGTACGCAAGCTTTATCAGTGAGGGACAAGGTTATTGTTGAATTCTGGGATGGATGGGTACTGACCAATATTATTCTGGGGGAGGCAAGGGGCCTAGGTTTATATCTTTTTTTTGACAGGACATTTTTTTTGTCAGTGCTTCTATGGAAAGGGCAAGAAGACACTTATGAATTGAACTGATACTTGGAAAAAAAAGTAGTCCTGAAATGTTTTGTTGCATAATAAAGGAGTTGTTATCAATATGATGTGATGTGATGTGATGTGATGTGATGTGATGTGATGTGATGTGATATATGATATTCTGGGTCATAATTTGAATGTCTGTATTTTACCATAGAGAGTTATAGGATTCAGGAAATGTACAAGATCAAAGGTCGGAAATATTTAAAATTTATCACAAAATAATTCCAGGAAGAAACTAGACATGTATACCATGTCATCACACCTTGTCTCCCATGTGGTATACAGTGACTAACACTAACAGATGTGAATATACTGTGTTGCACATACACCAGGTGTTATTGGTGGAGTCCAAGATGACAGAAGCACTGCTATATGTACATGCAGTCAGTATGCATAAACGTCATGTGATTATAGCCAAATGAATTGGTTAGGAAAGTAAATGTTAGAATATGCTTCCTACACCAAAAATGTGCTGCAGCCACTGCACTCAGAGTGCACTTGGACCACAGGAAATTCGAATTTGACTTACGAGACCCAAAATACACCCGACTTCCAACAACAAAACCTTTGTGACCTTGGGCCGTCCATGACCTCTACAGTTTCAATGTCGAGGACATCATCGTCTTTGAATGTTAAAAATAAAAGTGTGAGTAAAATAGTTTGATTCCAGTATCTTCCGAGTATTATTTCTGAAGTTAATCTCATGAGTTCAAACTCTTGTACAGTTAAGCAGAATCTGAAATTGATTTGCTTTGATTTGTTAAATTCATACTTAGGTCTACCTATTTTGAAGTGTCATTATCACTTGTGTCGATTAATAGAGCTGTCATTACTCTAAATTACAGTAAACCATGGATATAACGAACTCAAAGGGACCACTAATTTTACTTTGTAATAACCATAGTTTGTTATAAGCATGTATACAGCATGTATACAACAAATGGCTGGGACTAAAAAATAAGTTAGTTATATCGGTCAGTTTGTTATAAGCGTGTTCGTTATAAACCTAGTATACTGTACTTCGTTTTGTCAATGAATTAACACCTTTCATCATTACTGTTCCATCACCATAAGATGTTCACAAAATACCAGTACTCCATCACCGAATAAATCCCTTGACACCTGTTTCATACAGAAATATAACACCTCTACTGTACATTCAATGGAGAAGACCTCGCTTCACGAGTCAATGTGACAATGAAGACTTGTTAACGTCCTATGAATGTCGGTACACGTACCCCTATTTACCTTTCTCCTGGGGCACCAGCTTGAGACATTTCTCCGCAGCGTCAGACGTCTGGGCATGGTAGATGTCCTTGATCAGCTTGGTAGACAGCTTCTTCTTCTTGTGCTCCTCCGCCAGCTCCAACATCCGCTTCATAGATTTCTGTAACACGAGTTGGTCATTCCATTTTCAATGTCCTTTTACAGCAGTCAACATTATTCCAAGACAACCGGTATATAACCGATCATACAAACCACTAGTTATCACATTTATAAACCTCCAGTGACGTCATTCTATTGCTCTTCAGTCGGGTTTATTCTCATAAACAGGGATGTTAAAATATCCCAGGCATTTTATCAATACAAATTTAGTTTATATTGTAGCAAATCTATGTTTCTCGCTATAAATTCTTTTTGCATTTGAACACAATGTAATGAAATGTAAAATCAAATGACAAATGTTTTCTTTATATTCCCGCAATTTGAAAAATGCAACCCTCGTATCTGTAGCCCAGTGAATGTACCACTAGGCTACAGATGCACTGATAAATCACAATTCTACTAAGAATGTCTTTTTCAAGTACATGTACCAGCAACATATATTTTACACCCTTTTCCTAAGGTTCATGGAAAGTATGTTTGAAACATGAAAATGTTGATAAATGTTGCTTTAAGGGGTTTTTTTGGTTTATCAGTTAGATAAAACGCTTACCCTCAGGTTTTTATGAAATTTAAACCATGGGGCTGACACTCCTTAGTTTTATCCCTTGAATTCAGGTTTTAAACCCTCTGACATGTTTTATCATACACGTAACCACCCAATCATTAGTCTGATCCTAAGGCAAGCATAGTAATCTATAATCAACTCGCTATATCAAGACAACCTGTATATAACCGACCAGGCAATCCAGTAGTGAACACATTGTAAACATCCAATACTCATTAGTCTGATTCTAAGGCAAGCATGGAGTACAGGGGACCTACTCTGTCTGGGAACCAATATTCCAACTGCTAGTATATCATGACAGTCTGTAAATAATAAGTCTGGGCCAGGCAAACCAGTGGTTGACAGCATGAAGAATGCTCCACGCTGCTGGGATACAAGGACACACCATCATCTCTAAGTTACACAATGTAACCACCTCTACCCTCTGTATCACAGTATCATTGCAGTATCAAATCCCACAGTATTACACAATGTAACCACCTCTACCCTCTGTATCACTGTATCATTGCAGTATCAAATCCCAAAGTACAATCCCCCAAAATCCAAGACTTGTCCTGATAAGGCCACACTTTATTAATTTATGTTTCACGGATTGATTTGAAAGTAATTCTGCCGTGGAGTTAAAACTGCAGCTGGCTTCTTGAATCACTGGTAGTAATCTTAGACATTTTTTATTGTTTAATAAGAGAGTCTATATTACTAAAAGAAGACACATCAAAATTCAATATTTATTTCTTTTCCTGCTGCCCTTCAGTAGGGCTTCAGTCCCGTGCAACAAAAAATAAAAGATGTGAGGCCTAATGATCATTAGTGTGTCTGCACCATACCTATGTTTGTTGGTTTTGACAAGTGGTACAAATCTAAGACCCGTATCACTTCAGACTTCATTCCCCCCCACCACCACAACAACAACTTACTCACTAAGACTGAACCATGAAACCCCTCATCCTCTAACCCAGAACAGCCTTTCTATCACAATGGCACAAGATCTATGACCAGCATACTCATCTCTCCTCCTATAAACTATTATGTGAAGCCAATACTCTTTAAAAAGCATTGCAATCCATAACACTCACTCACTATTCGCATCAAACAGTTTTGTCCATCCAATTCCCACTTTTGCATTTAGAAAGGAATAGGGTATTCAGATTAAGTTCTTCATGAAAGTCCTAATTGTGAGATTATGATGAATATATTGATGTCTTGAATTCCTAGGAAAGGGAAATCACACAAAACAGTGCCAGCATAAAGAATAAAGTCCCTGTGTTTAGCCAAAAAACAACTTACCATTTTGAGTTCCATCATTTCTTGCCTCTTCTTCAACATGGCAACCTCCATCATATATTTGACCTTCTCAGGATCGAACCTCTGGAAACAGACAACATACAAGTTTGTATTCTGCCAGAAACAAATCATAAGAATGTGGATCTATAGTTTATTACATCAATGCAGTGGGTAAGTCTAGTGGTTAAAGTGTTGACTCATCATCATGCCGAACACTCTGATTCGATTCCCCATTTGTAGAATCCCCCTGATGTGATATTGCTAGAATATTGCTAAAGCGACAAAAATACATACTCGATCACCCACCCACTCACTCACAATTAAAGCAGAAAGACACTTCACAACACACACTCATTTGATAATAATAATAGGCAATTTATATTGTGCATTTTTCCACACCACTGAGGGGCGTGCTCAAAGCACTATTACTACCCCGGTCACTGGATCAGTGTGCACTTAAGAATCATTCTCAGCTCCCTGGGGAGTATACAACTCATTTGATATGACTTATTGCTGACTATGGCTTTAACAAGTATTGTCTTACTCCAAACCATAGGTATCCAAGTTAGACAGACCAAGCAGACAGCCCTTACCTTGGCGTTGGTGTTGGCCGCCGCCACCTGCCCCTTACGCATACTCTGGGCCATCATAGCCTGGGCTGTATTCACAGACTTCTTGGTCTTGGGCGGCTTCTGTTTCCCCCAGATCTGCACCATGATGGCGCTGGTGTTCAGGTAGTTGATGAACTGGAAATATTTACATACATGACATGAGCAGACTACATCACAGTCCTACTACATACAGTAGAGCATCAGTTATGAACGTAAACAGTTTGCAGCCTCATTCTCTTTCATTAGTGTTATGTGTGTAAATATATCAGTATCTTTGTGTATAGATGTCATATGTATCATAAATGAAGACAAAGGTTCTGTAAAAAATATCTTTGAAGTTTTCTACAAAACAGACTGCCAGTAATTAATTTACACATTGATACGTAACAACAGGCTGTGTAGACAGCCATGGCAGCCACAACAACACATGAAGGTCCATGTACAGAGTGTTACCGTATTCCACGTAATAAGCGCCCCGCTCTAATAAGCGCCCACGGCGATATTTGCTAATATATTGGCTGGTGAACAATCCCAAATAGCACCCCTTCCGATTGAAGACTTATTTATGCGCCCTTAATTACGGGAAATTAAATTCTGGAAAAATACATCTGTCGTACATAAACATTTTAGGCTGTCAGCATAAACCACGAAATTTATTTTTCAACTCTATTTTTTTCACAAAAATAGTATTTTGATAAGAGACCCCTATTTCTTATTTTGAGAGAGCCCTGGGCGCTTATTACGTCGAATACGGTATATGTTATTTGGCACACCACATACCGTATTCGACGTAATAAGCACCCCGCTCTAATAAGCGCCCACAGCGATATTTGCTAATATATTGGTTAGTGAACAATCCCAATTAGCAACCCTTCAGATTGATCAATGTACACAAGACTTATTTATTCGCGTATAATACGCACTTGTGTGTTATATGCACCCTTAATTATGGGCAATTAAATTCTGGAAAAATATAACTGTCGTACATAAACATTTCAGGCTGTCAGCATAAACCATGAAATTTATCTTTCAACTCTGTTTTTTTCCACCAAAATAATATTCTAATAAGAGCCCCGTGTTTCTAATTTTGAGAGTTCCTGGGCACTTATTACATCGAATACGATACTTACTGCATGGCATGGTGTCTCACAGGTTAATGTATATAAAGAAATGGCTGATTAATGAATTATTTTTATAATTTTCAATATGGCTGCCATGGTTGACGAGTTGTAACTCAGATCTGTTTGTAGTATTGCTGGGATGATTTTCAACGGAGCTGAATTCAGTTCAAGTGAGCTAAACAGTGACGTATATGAGACAACTCACAGCTTCATCGACGGCTGAGAAGTTGAACTGTTTCTGGTGTTTCCAGTCAGGGTTGGAGGTGCTGGACACCTTCTTGGTGCTGGTGTACTCCTCCTCCAGGTACACTGTGTACTTAGCATACACCTCCTGCAACACAACATCACTCAGTAACATGGCGGATCCACAGGGGGTCCAGGGGGTTCAGATCGCCCCATCCCCCTTCACCCTACCTTTTGTTTGTTGTTTAACACTGCACTCAGCTAATATTCCAGCTATATGACGATGGTCTGTAAATAATCAAGTCTTGACCAGACAATCCAGTGATTGATATCATGAGCATCAACCCACGCAATTGGGATGACATGCATCAACCAAGTCAGCGAGCCTTACCACCTGATCTTGTTAGTCGCCTCTTACGACAAGCATAGTTGCCTCTTGTGGCAAGCATGGGTTGCTGAAGACCTATTCTAACCCGGCTCTTCATGAACCCCCTCCCCTTTTTGAAAACCAAATTAAGTAGTGTGTTGTAGGCAGTAGTTTGTTGTATGCAGAGGGGATTTTGATATTTTGGATCCCCCACCGCCCTTTTTAATCTACAGGATCCGCCTTTGCAATAACAACCAACATTTCCTCCAAGAAACTTGATACTCAGTAGGAATGACTAGCCAGGGGATTTTGCTACATTTAAAAACACAATTGCGATACTGTTGCAGTATTCTGATAGGTTGATCAGTAACTCAATCGTCCTGCAGTGTAGGTGACAAAGTATATAATGTCTGCCAAGTTGTAGATTCAGAAAATGGCAAAAATATCTCTGATGCAGTTCCTTATTTTGACCTGTACTATATGTTCCCAAGTTCTTTCAGGAATACAATTGACTTGCCTTTGCATGTGTTTGTGATGGGTGCCACCAGTGGGGCAGGACACGCTAATTTTTGTGCAAACATCCAGAATCAACGCTATTTGAAAGTGATTCATAAGCACATGCTGATAATAAGGTTGGAAACGTAAAATCGACTCTGCTTGTGACAGAGATTTCTTATGATTGTGGAAAGGGTTGTGCCGCATTTTCACAGTTAGCCCTACTGTCATTTTAAGTAAAAAATATGTAATATATATAAAGTATATAAATCTAATTTCCATCCATTAATAGCCATCTGTTTTTTCATGATGAATTCTACTGTTTTCCCCATTTTTTAAATAAGGCACAATTAGTGAACCAAATAATGGATCTTATCACAAATTATCCTTTAGCTGAAAATATCACTCTTTGCATCAATTGTACACAGAGAATCTCACCAGAGTGTCTTTTGAAATCAAATATATCAACACGAGTTGATAAAAGTGGAAAAATTCCAAGGCTTGCCGAGGATATTTGCCACTTTTATCAACGAATGTTGATATATTTGATATCAAAAGACACGAGGGTGAGATGTTATTTATCATCCAACATCTTTCTTCCAACTTTTTCTGTTCGTAGACAGTAATTAGCAGTGTCTAAGTGTAAAAAGTACTGCTAATAGCTTCAGTAGCAGAGCCATTAGTGATGTCATTTGATTGTGACGTCATGGTAACCAGTGACGTCACAATGGTCTGCAAAGCATTGTGATGCAATTTCATTGCAGCGATATCCACAGTGTAGCTATCGCTTGATCTCATCCAAGCAATATCTCCAGTGGGGGCAAGTTTTGGATGATAAAATATAATTGCAGCATGGTTTTGGTCATGTTAAAATACAACTGATTAGATCAGAGCAGATCAGTATCATGTTCTATCTAATGACTGCTGCGACTCACAGTGAACTTGTTCGGGAGACCTCGTGCACTGTTGATCTGGAGACTGAAGGAGACATCTTTGCCCTTTAGTTCCAGGGGATTGTCCACATAGGTGTCGTCTTTCAAGGCTTTGCCTTTCTTGTCACATGGAGATACAACCACCTGTTGATAGAGAGAGTGAGTGAGTGAGTGAGTGAATGAGTGAATGAGTGAGTGAGTTTTTTTGTTTTGTTTTTAAATTTTTTATTGTTCCTGGTAAAAGTACATCATGTTTTGATAAGAGTCAAAATACGTGACCAAGGTTTTTAAGAAAGTACATATCATTGAGTGAGTGAGTTAGTGAGAGTGTCAATAAGTGTCAAACACTGGTTCCTTGTGTCGAAGGAAGGTGTATCTCGTTAACAGTGCTTCTCACCAACCAGCATTAAATTGAAGAAAATTAAGATACAGATTGTCTTTCTTCAAGAGTTTTCTTGTAGCAATATTCCAGCAATATCACAGCGGGGGCACTAGAAACGGGAATCGAACCTGGGTCTTTGGCGTGACGAGTGACGCTTTAACCACTAGGCTACCACACTGCTGCTAGTTGTATTGCAGGGTGATGGGGATGGTTAAGAATATTCTTTCATGGTTGATGGTGTTGTTAATGTTGCACTCTACTACTCTAGCAGTACAGAGAAGCAGCATTACTTGATGCCAGATACTTGATACTTAGTTCTTTTAAGATAACCAGCAGTAGGGGTAGCCTAGTGGTTAAAGTGTCCGCTCGTCATGCCGAAGACCCAGGTTTGATTCCCCACATGGGTACAATGATTGAAACACAATTCTGATGTCCCCTGCTGTGATATTGCTGGAATATTGCTAAAAGTGGTGTAAAACCATACTCACTTTCTCACTGAATCATTACCTTCAACATTAAAACAAAAACATGGACAGCAAACATTAGACTAACATAAGTCTCTCAAATGATTTTCTTCTCAAGAAATGAAGATTGATTTGATTTTGGGAAATTAGCTTTTCAGGGTCTGTGTGACAGACTATGCAAAATAAATATCAGCTTACATTAAGTAGTCCGACTTCCTGACCCTTGAAGTCGGTGATCTCCAGCTGTTCTTCTATATCAATCTGAAACCAAGGATTCATTATTTTCATGGTATAGAACTGGTCACAAGCCACCAGGTGACACATTGTAATGGCAACACCCTAGTCTCTTCTTAGTGCAACCATAGAACGTGGAGTTCTTCCTCGTAATCCCCATATAATGTACTTTATAAACAATTTCTTTATTATTTGCATACTCTATACGCAGCATAGTTCAAGCCACATTTCAATAACAACACGTCTGAAAATCATAATAGTAAGACAAATCACAACTGCCAATTGAGATTTAAAGTTTGTAAAGAGTTATGTTTGTGCTCCGTGATGACTACTGTTTGATAAAGTAGAGGGTGTTTAACTCACCAAGTATCCTAGTGATTGCAGCCAAAGCTTGACACTGCCAATGTGGAACTCTGCCTCATAATCATCTTCAAATGGATCCCTTTCCTAGCAAATAATACAAAATGTCAAAATCAAACATATTCTAATCAAAATGTGAAAATAAAGTAAACAATGATATTATTTCTTCAGTGAACAATTTTATAAATAAATAAAATGAAACAGTGTTTATTTGAAATCTTGTAGGTGATTCATTTATTCAAAAAGTTTTGAAATGATTCCATTCAAATGATAAATATTAGTATCTATCTAAAACATTTCAAAAATAGGAATCCTTGTCATACTTTCCAGTTCAAGTCTGTGATGAACTAAAAAACTGTTAATCTATAGGGGTATGAAAGACTAAAAGCCTGGCTGTGCTTGTTAGGCATCAGAGAAATCCAAATTATTGACAAAAATATGTTAATAAATATACTATGCTATTCAAGAAGAAAAGATTTTTTATTGTGTGATTGTTAGACTTAACTGAATGTGCTTGTGTATTTTGTAATAAGCTGATCGAAATTTGAGAGTTGATTCTGGATTGGGGAGTTGATTTGACGTTGGGATCATGGTTGGGATTTGGGAGTTGATAGGGATTGGGGAGTTTTGGGGAGTTAATAGGGATTGGGGAGTTTTGGGGAGTTGATAGGGATTGGGGAATTGATAGGGATTGGGGAGTTGATTTGGATTGTGGAGTTGATTGGGATTGTGGAGTTGATTCGACGTTGGGATCATGGTTGTGATTGTGGAGTTGATAGAGATTGGGGGATTGATAGGGATTGGGGAGTTGATTGGGATTGGGGAGTTAATTGGGATTGTGGAGTTGATAGTGATTGGGGGGGTGATAGTTGATAGGGATTGGGGAGTTGATTGGGATTGGGGAGTTGGTGGGGATTGGGGATTGATAGGGCATTGTCATTCTGGTTAGGGATTCAGGGATGGGGATGGGGTCGTGATTAGAATTGGATGGGGTGAAGGTGACATTGGGGGACGTCATTGGTTGTTGTTTTCAGAGTCTGGGATAAATATCTTTCTAAGAGATTTGAATGACACATACTCGTTATTAATATGACCCTCCACAAATAAACAAACAAAACATAGCTAGAAACAGTAAACAGCATATGCAAGATGACACATGACTAGAAGCAAACATTTAACAATATCCAAGGTATCCGAAAATAGTAGATATTTTTCCTAAAATATGTGGAATACATTTCTTTACTTTTCTCAAATTTTTTTTTTGAGGAAGAGAATAAAAAACAATAGTGAGACATGTTATTAGGTTGCCACATAACATTAAGCAAGTTAGAGAGCAAAATATTTATCAATGTACACCATATACTGCATGCAAAAGACACATACATTGCCAGGTATGATGTGAACCATGTTTTTTTCCATAAAAAGCCCACTTTAGTAAACAAATATGAATAAAATAAAATAAACATATCATGATTACTCCTGTCAAAAAATATATGGTTGATATATTTCAAAATAATTGAACACTGAACTTGAATAAGTCCTTGTGTAAAAATAATACTCACAAAAACATAAAACACTAGAAGATATGAGGAGAAGAAACTTGTTAGATATATAGTTAGATTACTAATTCACTACCAAATAGTAAATGACGAAATGCAAATAAAGGATTTCCATTATACTCTCGGCTTCAAGAAATACCTTTTGATCCTGTAAGAGAAACAAAATAAACTAAATATTCATTACATAAAAAACACGCCCACGGTAGAATATCTCAATGATATTTTTTCTCATAAAATGAGTACTTGAATTGGACATGCCCTACCTAATGATCAGCCTGCCACATAAACATATGTCACACTAACATCCACCACCCTCAGTACCCACCGACAACACCACCCTCAGTACCCACCGACAACACCACCCTCAGTACCCACCCACAACACCACCCTCAGTACCCACCGACAACACCACCCTCAGTACCCACCCACAACACCACCCTCAGTACCCACCCACAACACCACCCTCAGTACCCACCCACAACACCACCCTCAGTACCTACCCACAACACCACCCTCAGTACCTACCCACAACACCACCCTCAGTACCCACCCATAACACCACCCTCAGTACCCACCCACAACACCACCCTCAGTACCTACCCACAACACCACCCTCAGTACCCACCCACAACACCACCCTCAGTACCCACCCACAGTACCCACCCTCAACACCACCCTCAGTACTTACACACAACACCACCCTCAGTACCTACCCACAACACCACCCTCAATACCCACCCACAACACCACCCTTTCATACTATCAATACAAAACCTCTAACCTCCTCTCAACACCCGCCAACAATAATTAGTAATTTAACCTTCCATCTTGGTAATTAAACCTTATATACAAGGACTTTCCACACTCTTTGGGGGAATTTAAGATTTCATCTAAGGCCTTCCATGGTCTCTTGGGGAATTTAACCTTCCATATGAAGGCCATAAGAAAATAGGAAAATAACATCCCATTTAACAAAGACCACAACTCACCTGAGGAACATCCCAGTTCTCTTCTCCATCCTGGAAGTTCTCGTACATCTCCTGCATGAGGAACTTCCTGTTGAGGAACTTCTCCCGCGGCCAGATCCACTCATGCTTGGTCTCCAGGTTCACCACTTTAATCATCACCTTCACATAGAGTCAAAGTACCGATTTAACAGATCTTCAACATCGTTATAATAATTCTGGGATTAATTAATTATCATCCTATTATCATTGATCTTGTCTCTGTTATATATGTGTATAAATGGCAAGTGGATACCTACCTCTGTACGACCTTTGAGTTGACCCCTCGCTTCAGGGGAGACAATCATGAGTTCAAACTTCATCTTCTTGTCAAGTTCTTCACTGATGGAGTTACATTCCTCCACACTCGGCATCAGCTCTATCATGTCTTCCTTCAACAAGGCTTCATCTGCAGGGGATGGAGACAAATGATCACATACTACATCTCATTTATAAAGTGTGGTGCAGAGTTGCATCCCTTGGCCACACCAGAAACCTATGATTGTGGGTTTGAATCCTGGTTCGCCCCGTTTATGTTTCTAGGTTTGTCAGCCCCATACCCATGCTCGTGGGTTTCACCGAAGTGGTAAACGGCCTGCATCACTTTAGGCTTTCCTCCCACATTAAGGGGCCACACCATGATATAACTTGAATACTGTACAAAGTGGTGTTAAACCCAACTCACTCACTATACAGTGTGGTGTAATTAGGAGAATACTGTCTTCTGAAGGTATTTCAGTCTAACCGTGTCAATCCCGGCCAAGTCAATCCAGAAAGCCTGCCTTTCCAACGATTACTGTCAGGAACATCTAATTATTTTCATTATTGATATTAAGATTCAAATTTACAACCTTTTTGAAGGCTATTTTCTTGGAGGACAAATATCAAGTATTATTTATCGTTTATCGTTACATCCCTGATTAACGTATTAATTCTACATCTACAGGAACTCACCTCTAGTTTTGTTGGAAGTGTCCATGTCGAAGCCCCATTTGGATGCTGCCTCCTCCTGGGCCGACTCGTAGGTCACCTCGGGGAACGTGTCCTTGGCTGCATCCCTTTCCTTGGGGTTGATGTACACAAAATACATGGTGCTGCCAAACCTCAGTCTGGGGACAGGCACAGGAAAAGCTAACATTACACTGACAGGGGAGCAACAACATCAGTGCGAAAATGTCTGTCCTAGCAAGTTTGATTCAATTTGTTCTAAACTCTGTTTCTCTGTACATTCAAATGTTTTAGCCTAAACATTAATAAATGATTACCAAAATTACACATGTGACAAAGTATAAAACATGAGAGACAATTACACCACCTAGGCCTAAACTTGAAATGTGCTTCAGATCATGGAGTGTAGGTACCCTTTTACTCTGTTTCACAGTCCCTAACCATATTATTTTCCCTTTCACCCAGCCCTTACTGTAATGCTATATCCTAAATGAAGCAAGTCTAGATTTTCCACAGGTTCTGAATCTCCCATCTCACTGTGGTGCTGTTTCAAAATAAATGTTGTTTCTTGTTTCTATCAAAACTATATATTTTCAGTGATTGCGCATCACTTTACTCCCCTATGAACGAGGGTCTCACTCCAGATTCAACCCTGTCTTGTGACTCACACTCCATGAAGCAAAGAATGATATTATGATAGAACGAGTGCACATGAATCTCTAATGCTACCTGTGCAAACACAACACTATTAATGAAATTAAGACGTTAGTGTCTGCCTATTCTTGAAATGTATTACAAAAAAACAAAATAATCAATAAGAATTGTTCAAATACAACTTCATGCAGTGTCTAAATAGACACATCATTATTAGTGTAAACATTAACATTGATACTATCATAAATATATTTGTAATTATCAGTCATCAGTGTTTTCATTTCATAAACATTTTGTGAAATTCAGTCATAACTCTACTGTATAGTATTTATCTGGTTCCATGTCTTTGTCAATGTATTTCGGACACTACACAGTTTCATTTCACAATGGTTATAAAGAAACAAGTGTTGTCGGAGCTAGAGAATAACACCAATAATATCATACCTGTCATTGTGTTTCAGCGCCAACTTGTTGCTGATGATGTTGCCATTCCTGACAGTCTTGAAGTCTATGCTGGCCGGCTCTATGTGGAACGCTCCCCCTTCTTCAGTGATGACTGCATGCTGGTCACCAATTCTGCATCACAGTAACACAAATGTTAGAATAGTAACAGTGTCGCTCTCTGTCAGGCTAGTAACAGTAATATTGTCACTGTCAGAACAACAACATTGTAGCTCCTTATGCTAGAATAGTAACAGTGTCTCTCTCTGTCAGGCTAGTAACATTGTCAGTCAAGGTTGTAACAGTTATATTGTCACTGTCAGAACAACAACATTGTAGCTCCTTATGTTAGAATAGTAACAGTGTCTCTCTCTGTCAGGCTAGTAACACTGTCAGTCAAGGTTGTAACAGTTATATTGTCACTGTCAGAACAACAACATTGTAGCTCCTTATGCTAGAATAGTAACAGTGTCTCTCTCTGTCAGGCTAGTAACACTGTCAGTCAAGGCTGTACCAGTTATATTGTCACTGTCAGAACAACAACATTGTAGCTCCTTATGTTAGAATAGTAACAGTGTTGCTCTCTGTCAGGCTAGTAACATTGTCACGCAAGGTTGTAAGAGTAATATTGTCACTGTCAGAACAAAAACATTGTAGTTCCTTATGTTTGAATAGTAACAGTGTCGCTCTCTGTCAGGCTAGTAACATTGTCAGTCAAGGTTGTAACGGTAATATTGTCACTGTCAGAACAACAACATTGTAGCTCCTTATGTTAGAATAGTAACAGTGTTGCTCTATGTCAGGAGACTATCACTGTCACACAAGGTTGTAACAGTAATATTGTCACTGTCAGAATAACAACATTGTACCTCCTTATGTTAGAATAGTAACAGTGTTGCTCTCTGTCAGGCTAGTAACATTGTCAGTCAAGGTTGTAACAGTAATATAGTCACTGTCAGAATAACAACATTGTACCTCCTTATGTTAGAATAGTAACAGTGTTGCTCTCTGTCAGGCTAGTAACATTGTCAGTCAAGGTTGTAACAGTAATATTGTCACTGTCAGAATAACAACATTGTACCTCCTTATGTTAGAATAGTAACAGTGTCGCTCTATGTCAGGAGACTATCATTGTCAGGTAAGGTTGTAACAGTAATATAGTCACTGTCAGAATAACAACATTGTAGCTCCTTATGTTAGAATAGTAACAGTGTCGCTCTATGTCAGGAGACTATCATTGTCACGTAAGGTTGTAACAGTAATATAGTCACTGTCAGAATAACAACATTGTACCTCCTTATGTTAGAATAGTAACAGTGTAACATTGTAACTCTTTGTCAAAATAGTGACACTGAAGCTCTTTGTTAGAATAGAGACATTCTTTTTCTGTGAGAACAGCAACATTGTAGTTATCAGAATAGTAACAGTGTCACACTCTCAGAATAGTTACAGTGTCACACTATGTCTGACCCGAGAAGATCAGGGCTAGAATAGGTTTTCAGCAACGGGGATCAGGTGATCAGACTCGCTGACTTGGTGATGCATGTCATCATATCACAACTGCGTGGATTGATGTTCATGTCAATCACTGGATAGTCTTGTCCAGGACTCGATTATTAACAGATCGCTGTCATGTAACTTGAATATTGCTGAGTGCGGCGTCAAACAACAAAACAAACAAACAAACACAAAATGTCAGAATAGTAACATAAAATTATGGCTTGTCAGATGTGCAAAACTTCCTTTATAGGTCAAGACAATTAGCCCACTAATATGAAGAACTTTGAACCTAATTGCTAAGTGATGTATGTCATATGAAAATCCTGTTTGAGGGATGGATTTGGGATAGGTTTCCTTATATGTCTAAGGGAAGCAACTCAGCACAGCGAACTGCTGTGCCTTAGATGACTGGGCCACCTCTGCCCCCAAGCAGTATTAAATGTCTGCTGAAACAACGTGTCTACAAAATGTGGGAGAACACGCAAAATTAGTTACAAAGCTGAGAGACCTATGATTATTGGTTGGGTGAACGTTGGATTCAAAACCAATGACTGTGTATCCTGGACAACAAAGAGACACAACTCCGTACAAGAATTTGTGAATCCCTAGGGTGCCATCCAAGCACCCACATTATGTGTTATCCCTGTGAGGATTCTGGGATTCAATAGGACCCATGTATCCTGTGCTCCTCAAGAGCTGTCAGCAACAATCATGACAGTGTGTGGATGACTGCTCATGTTTTTAACTACTTAGTCCTGTGTGATTAGCTGCTGATCCCCTCAGTTTAGCTGCAATATTGCCGACTGCAGTACTTAAAAATATTCACTGATCATTTTTAATCCAAAATATTTTGCTGTGTAAAGTCCTCACCTTGGACCCATGACGATCAAGTCGCAGTCCTTCTTCCCGATCGTTTTCCTGGCGCTGTCAAGGAATGCCACAATGTGTCCTGCCAGTTGGGGGTCAGGGTTCAAGTTGGACAGATGGGGAGTTGTCTTCTTCTTCTCCGTGATTTCAGCTATATTACCTTGGCCCGTCTGAAATAATGAATATATTTTATTACTCCCATACTGCTCTTGAACTCGTACTAGTTTCTGTACACCTACCCTAGACTGCTCTTGAACTAGTACTATTTTCTGTAAACCTACCCCAGACTGCTCTTGAACTCATACTAGTTTCTGTACACCTACCCAAGACTGCTCTTGAACTAGTACTAGTTTCTGTACACTACCCCATACTGCTCTTGAACAAGTACTAGCCTTTGTACATCTACCCTAGACTGCTCATGAACTAGTACTAGATTCTGTACACCTACCCATAGTGCTCTTGAGCTAGTACTACTTTCTGTACACTACCCCATACTGCTCTTGAACTAGTACTAGTTTCTGTACACCTACCCCAGACTGCTCTCCATCAAGTATAAGTTCTCATGTATCAAACTGATCTCTCTCATGCATTAACTTCTGTACACTGTACGCCAGATTCCTCTCTATCTTGTGCTAGTTTCTGTACACCTATCTATTCCCGTGTCCACTGCAGCAAAAGCTACCTTCTGTACACCTACTCCAGATGTCACTCTAGCAAGTTCTACTTTCTGCACACCTACCCCAGATTGCTCTCTAGCAGAGGCTAGTTTTTCCTCAAAGCTCTTCTTCATCTCTTCCATTTGACGGGCATTCTCTTCCATAATACTCTCATACTCCTTCTTCCTCTCTGGGCAAAAAGTAAGGAAACATTGCATAATTTGTCAAAATATCAAATAACATTCTTTTCTTCACTTCTATATCAATACATCCTGCTTATTTTTTTGCCTATTATTTGAAAGACAAATAACAGTATTATATAATTATTGCAAGTGTTTCCATAGCATTTGATTGGCTTACCAAGCAATATTGTTTCATATACCACACACACCAAAAACAGGCCATGCCCACTCATGGACTGTTGATTCCTGAATGGGCGGGGCTTGTGTTGCGTTTTTGTGCTTAATGGTGTCACTGATTCCGTATTGTCTACAGGTTTTGTGAGGATCAATGATCAAACAGGCAGGCAGTGTGGTTATTACTGCTGTGTACTTATTTAAAAGAAATGACTTCAATATGTTTTGTAAGTATATGAAGTAAGCTGAAATGGGGTTTAACGGCAATTTCAAGATTATTTCACTTTTTTTCCAATTGCTTGCCCACTGAGATACCATGCCTCCATTTTTAACATGGATATACCACTAAGACACAGAATATTGCTTTTGAACTGATCAGTACCTCTTTAATCCCCTTTAATGCCGACCGCCAGGCAGGGTAACAACAAGTACCATCCTTAAACATCTTTTGATATGACACGGCCAGGGGATCAAACCACCAGCCTTCTGCTCTTTGAGCAGAGCTAGTGTATGATAGCCAGTACTACATTCAACTGATGTCAGTGTTTCCACTTTGTCAAGTTTTTATAATCCGACAAGTTTCTTCATGATCGTAGAAAAGATGCCTACCTTCCTCTGTCAGACCATCATCATCATCGTCATCATCATCACCGCCGCTGCTAAGTTTGGCAAAGGCATTGGGATTGCCAGCCAGTGCAGCCTTTAGCTTCTCATTCTCCTCCTGCAGTTCCCGGATCAGCTTCTCTGTCGGGTCTTCATTGACTGATGCAGTTGTTTTGATCTGCTTGGCTCGGTCAGCTAATAATACATGGGGACAAAGCTGTTTATGTATTTTTGATGTAACAGATAAGTACATGTAATATTTTTTTCTGTATATGAGTATGGTTTTTGGACACTTTTAGCAATATTCCTGCAATATCACAGCTGGGGACACCAGAAAAGGGCTTCACACATTGTACCCATGTGGGGAATCATACCTGGACCTTCGGCGTATTTTAAAAGAGTGAGTTGGTGACTTATAAATGCATGTGATGAGGCAGGACAGCCTTTAGTGATGCTGATTGTAAACATTTACCTCTTTGGTGAAACCCATGAGCATACATATGGTGATAACCAAGTATCAAAGTAAGGGAAAATCTGGGATTCAAACCCATGACCAGTGGATCCTGGCACAGCCAAGGGATGCAACTCTGCACAGCATATTGCACGACCTTAGGTCACAGGTGGCACCTTGCCACATTGTAAGAAATATGTCCCAGTTGAATGAAGGATATATAGTTAAATAAAAAATGTCCCTCCCCCCCTTGAAAACCAAATGTAGATTGTAGGCAGTAAAACTATCTGTGAGAGGATTTCATTATTTTGGACCCCTCCCTTTAAAAATGCTGTAACTACCCTTGAATAGTCTACAGACATGGTCATATAGAAGAGTTAAAACATTTCTAGTGGGTTAAACTTTAACATCTTTCCATACTCAAATACATTCATCAACATTTACTGCAGCACATATGAGATATATTCCCAATTATGATACATGTATTAATGGATTGATGGAAACTGAATATGGTTTTCAAGGAACCATAATTTATATTGGCTGTTTAAATACAGATATAGCCATTTACATGATTTTCATACAAATTTACTTTGGCAATTACACACAGGTCATGTTAACATAGACAGGCTATTTGAGAGATGCTAAAACTAATGACATCTATCATGCATGTTTAGGGAGAGTCGTAATGCTTTAGTACATTCAAGGATGAACAAAACTAAGTACAACTCTGGTATGAATGACTGGTCTTTAACAATTAATTCCTCAGAACAATTATCATGTTAATAATTACATGGAAAGGACGAGACGGGGTAATTAAGGACCCTCTTTGGCCAACTGGAAATATCAATTGTTTAAATCACAGAAAACTTTGAAATATTGATTTTGAACTTCTTCAAAGGGTTGAGAGGCAAGACTAAAATAATTGCTGATTTGCATGCTATGAGGGATTGAATTGTTTGATAGGCACATGGGTGGATACAGCTTTTTTGAAAAGGGGGGGTGCACAATTAAGATCTATTTATTGTCTTTGGTGGTAATCTATACAGAAATAAAGATTTTTTTCGAAATAAAAAGGGAGGGTGCGCACCCCCCCTCTGTATCCGCCCATGAGGCATATCTTAGACAGATGACAAAGTAGAAAATTTAAGGATAACAACTTCTTTATAATAGTATATATCAAGTGTAATAAAGTTGTTATCCATAAATAGTCTACTTTGTCATCCGTCAACTTCAAAGATATGCCTATCAAACAATTCAATTCCTCATAGGATGCAAATCAGCTTTCGGTCTCATGTTTTAGTCTTCCCTCTACAAAGCTGACAAACATGTGAGTTCTGACATGAACAAAGTCAATTTTTCATTCATGTGAACTCATCTGATGACTTTCCCAACGACTTCTAAAAGCTTTACCCATTTCTTAAATGATGTACATCATTTGGACAAACTTATACTTCGTCGTTTCAAAAACAAGTCATTCAGTAAAGCATCTTACCATATCGGAGAGTAGAAAGGGACTCGTCAAAGTTGATGTCAGCTGGGCTCACGGCAGCAATCTAGACAGGGAGGAATATAGACAATCACAAGCTATGAACATAACATATGATCTGTCCTCATATCAGGTTTGAAACCTTAAACCTTTCTGTCACTATAGAAAGGAATTTAAGCCTACCTGGCTTATTACTCTGGATAACACATTCTTTTAATACCATTTTAATTTCAGTACAAGAATATTTGATAATTTGGTTTCTTATTACACAAGTCTTCTTACTGAAGTGTTCAATTAATGTTTAGACCACAAATGTTTTTTCTTGGATTACAGAACTCTTGTATAAAAATCTTTTTTTTTTATTTTTATTTTTTATTGTTTTTAGAAAGACACACCTGTTACATAAATGGGCTTCCGCCCAAGGTAGCAGAAAGCCCATGACATAAAGCACAACTTATCAGTACATCTTACTTTGTTGTTTTTTTTATACAGAAAATAACATACTTCTCACTCACACATTCACTCTTGTTTATATATCATATTGCAGTTTAGGAAAGTACATGGTCTCAAACATTAAAATCTTAAGTACAAAACTAAAATTAAATTGAAAGCTGCTCCACATTTTCGAAAAGTTGATGATACAGCATCCAAGCACCATAGAATTTCTGTTGATTACCTGTCTTGAAAGCAATATCTTTTTCAATGTTGTATCGTGAAAAATTGTATAAAAATCTTTGGCAGCAAGTGTGTAGGGGCAGAAAATAAAAAAAATATTTTCAGATGATTTTGAGTTATTTAAACATGTTGCCATGCCATAATGCAGAACATTCGTCTCATCAGTGTTGCAGTTTAGAGTACTATATGCACAGTTTGGTGCATATATGCACATATAGGTTTGCCTTTGGGGAAATGAAAATCATAATGCTTTTCAGATCTTTTTTTACCACTGTTCATTTTTTCAAGGTAGACAATTCAGTAAACTAATTTATTAAACATCCCTGCATGTTCTAAATTGATATTACATAATTACACATTACTGATATCTAAAAACATACTTATATATCAAGTATAAAAGGAGTTAAAACATCTGTTGAATGCTTTAATAGAGTATCTAACATCTAGTCTCTGAAATGAATATATTTTACACACAAAAACAGTTGTTAAATTATAGTAATAAAATATAATCAAAAGGAGCCAAGAGACCTTCTTCATTTTCAGACCTGACACTGCAGTAATCTAGACTTGCACAAATATTACAGACTTGCAAAGGCTTTATTGGCTATATATTTGTTTCAGGGTCTGTATGACAGACTAATCTCAAGGTAACAAGTTCTGGAGATACGTACCATGATGGTTTTGCTGTTTCCTCCCAAGGCATTCTTCAGCAGCTTCGTCAACACAGAGTCTCTGTAGGGAACTGCAGCAGCAACATGATGTATGGTTACAATCCAGAATTATCACACTAAGAACTGTTGTGATATCACTTATCTCTTAAAATCATATGTCAGTTCTCGCTACCGCTAAAACAAAGATCTGAGGACATTGCATTATGGGTCACATTAAAACAACCTTTCATTCGACCAATCAAAGCTTTGCATACCAGATCAGGAAAGTGACAGTTGGAATGTGTTTTCTAATCATGCAACCATAAAAATGTCAACACGAGAGTATTCAACAGTTACAGGCTTATATTAATGTATTTCAAAGCATAGTCTGGAATGGAAGTTGACAGTTTGAAACTAGCGCAATATTGCTCAAGAAAGCTACTTTCTGATTGCAGACTTCTTGTCAGTAATTTCATTGGTAGGTCTAAGTTCGCAAAAGGTCAATCTGATGTAACCTGTAATGTCCTCAGATCTTTGTTTTGCGGTAGCGAGAAGTGAGATCTGATTTTCATTAGAGTGTGATATTTCTATCCTGATCTAGCAATAGCTTCACATTGTGCTCAATTGTCAAAGAAACTATAATTCACTGTTGAAAGTCCCATCTCTCACCTACCAGATAGGGTAGCTGCAGACTGCAGACTGGTTTGTCATCTCCCTATCCTTGCTTGTGTGTTTCTCAAATTTGTTACAAACTCTCTACAATCTGAGTCACTTTGGGGTTCCTTTACATTTAAGTTGACACACCATGATATAAATATATATTATTGAAAGTGGGTAAAAGGGTTTAACAACTCACTCACTCCTTCATGTTCCTGTGAGTAAGGGTTATCTGCCCTTGAGGGTGCAGTGTGAGAGTGAGTGAGGTTTTTAATCCACTTGAACAATATTCAGTCTAAACATGGTGTGTCCTCTAAACATTAAAAGAAGGACCTAAGTGATGCACAGTGTAATCCTGGCCGGCCTGAGGGTAAAACGCACAACAGGCAGATCCTTGCAACTAGGGGACATAACTCTGAACAGCATCTCGATCACTGAATTAGTTGGTTGACAGAATTTCTGTTTTCTGTTGTTACACCGGCATGTTAATCAAGGGTGGTTCCAGTGTTTTTAAAAGGGCTGCTCCAAAATATCAAAATCCTCTCTAAATAATTGTACTGCCGACAACATACCAAATTTGGTTTTCAAAAGGGGGGAGTCCGGACACACTGACCACTCCTCTGGATCCACCTATGTTAATGCTAGAATAATGTCCCCAGTGTGTTGTTATGCATATTCTGAACCGTAACTTAAATGTAATATGAAATTGGTCAGTTGGGCATCTAGTGCTATGGTCACTCTGTACACTAAAGTTTTCATTCCAACTTTGGAGACAAATCATACCTCTTATATTTTTCCCAGAGCTCTTGTCTGCAAGAGCAGCAATACAGTTTCCCAGACATGACAGAGATTGGTTGATGGCGGCACCCTCTTTGAGTCGGTCACCAGTGGCGCCAGTGCTCTCTGCCCTCTCGCTGGAAGAGAAAACATAACATGAAGAACTGAAGAAATAAACAATCACTTTGGTTAAAAAAAACATTTGTGGCATCTTGAGTAGTACAAAAATACAGGTCTAATATGCTATGGTCTAAAAATAATCAATATTGTTGCTCTAAGTACTGGTATTGCCAAGTAAGGGTAAGCTAACCAACCTGGTTCTTAATAATAAAGTTAAAGTATAGCTGAAACATTAAATATTTTTTATTTTCTAATAATTTGTAAATAAGGATGTAACTGCACCTGCTAACATTAAAAGTAACCTCACTTTAAAGTTATCTTTTTGTTTGTTGTTAAAGTAATATAAGCTAAGTATGCATAAATGTATGTGGAACTTATAGCATTTGACCTAGGCTAATTAATAGCAAGTAAGGTTTTACATCACTTTTAGCCATATTCCTATCATATTACCAAAGTGGACTTCATTCACTGTACCCAACTGGTTGAAAATTGAAATTTCCAAAAGAGTTAGTTTCGTTGTTTTCAATAGCAGCAACAAGCTTGTAATTTATGTTTAAGAACAGGCATTTGAAAACATACATTAATGAGACAGTTTTACCCACTATGCACGTCCTGGACTACCCCTGACATCCTGGAGTATTCATAAAACACTCCATCAGTGCCTGCTGTATTCAACGATTCTGCAGTCGTGGAATATTTTGCAAAAATACCCATACAATGATGAATTGTACCTATCTCACAGAAAGTCACATTTTGTGCACATCATGTGAAGTATTTGCATTTATCTGCTGCAGAATTTTCGTCAAAAACATCAACATGTAATTCCAAAGCAGGTTTTAAATGTGTAAACATGTATTATCATCCAAAACTGGCTCCCACAGGAGATGGGTGAGATCAAGCGATATCTACACTGTAGATATCGCTGCAATGAAATTGCATCACAATGCTTTGCAGACCATTGTGACGTCACTGGTTACCATGACGTCACAATCAAATGACATCACTAATGGCTCTGCTACTGAAGCTGTAAGCAGTACTTTTTACACTTCAGACACTGCTTATTACTGTCTACAAACTGAAAAAGTTGGAAGAATGATGTTAGATGATAAATAAAATCTCACCCTCGTGTCTTTTGATATCAAATATATCAACACTCGGCAAGCCTCGGAATTTTTCCACTTTTATCAACTCGTGTTGATATATTTGATATCAAAAGACACTCAGGTGAGATTCTCTATTTATTGCATATTGAAAGTGCAGGTTTGCATATTCACCTGCTGATTCCCCTTCAATAAGCTAATTTTAAGTCCACATAAAAATGCCCGTCACTAGTCAAACAGGTGCAAAAATACAAAATTCACGAAAAATAAGCTTAAAAGTTTGCAGAATTATGTGCAGAATTATCAAAATTTGGTTGCAAAATTTGACTGCAGAATGTTTATTTTTGGGGCCACAGATCAGAGTGGGACCTGCTCAATGAGATGGAGGGTGTAGTTGTCAGTACAGGCGGTAACATTTTAGGACCTAAGTCGGGAGGCATACTAAGAACATACTAAAATCAGTGCACATGGTTTTAAAATGTTATTTGGACAGTAAATGGTTAAACGTGTTACGTTAAACATTTTCAAAAATAATTAGACCAAATTACACTATTCTAATGATGACGTTAATTTGGTTGGCAGATGGTCCTCATAAGAAACAATCTGGGCAGCAAGCAATTACTATTCCCTGTTTGTTGAATACATTGCTTAGCCTGACATAGGAAGGGTCAGCACCGTCTTTGATCTCCCTGCAAGAATGTAATAGCTAATACAGAGAACAGAGGCATCCTTCGCCATGTTTGCAGTTGCTTGATAAAATGGGGCCAATTTGAGACGAGGATGTTCCATAAAACTTCACCTGCCAATCAACATCCAGGAAAGTTTGACTATAAATATTCTTACTTGTTTGAAATCTAGCTATCTCATAGGTCGTGTTAAACTCCAAAAGTCCCAATATAATCCCCATCTTGACCCAATGCCCACTTCTCTAAATCTACACTAGGTACCATATATTACCCAGGGGCCAGTGTTTTCACAAGCCCTTGCATCATCGGTCACTGTCCGGTCACACACTGTTCCATCTTGTCCACTCATGCACATATACTTTTAATGGTCTCAAATCTTTGGCATTAGTTCCTGGAATATTGTGAGATATAAATATATTTTATTGTCTGAAATGGCTGAAATATGTTTCTGTGTCCCTGAAACACAACAAAGCTCAGGGAGTGTCACCTAACAATCTGTTTTTTTAAATAAATGGGATACATGGCCTCCAACTACAGTCAAGTCTCGTTAATCCGACACTCGTTAATCTGACACTCGGCTTTATCAAATGATGGGTACCGATTGATTCAGTGCTATTTAGTCCTGTTAATCCGACATTCTCGCACTCCGACTCCGACACACCTAATTTGCAACGAATTACCAAAATCACTCATTAATTAGTCTGGTTTATCCGACACAGTGGTCAGCGTACGCCGTGGTCATCTGCCCGCGAGTACACAACCCTGTGTTTTGACACGCACTGGCTGCATGCTTTGTCGAACACCACTTAGATGTGTTTTCTGTTACTGAATTTGACTTCATTACAAAACTGCAGGGGACTTTGCAGGGGTCTCGTTCATCCGACATACTCGTTAATCCGACACAATCATGTGCAACCAACGATGTCGGATTAACGAGACTTGACTGTATGTGGAACACAGACTGACCTGCCAGCGAGATCGACCAGGTTGATGACGGCAGACTTGGTGGTGTCCTCCCCAGCAGCGTTGGTGAACTTCTGCAGCAGGGTGATGCCAACGATGGTGTGGGCCCGACTGAAACACAGATGAAACATTCCGATATTCAACATTGAACTTGGAAATTACTTGATCCTGATTGGTCAGCCAGAGGCTATTAAATCACAATAAACACCCTCTGACTGAAACATCTGGTTTGACGACCGTATCAGCATGGAAGCTAATATTCATAGAATAGTAATTTTTTTCAGTCATTATCGGTAGGCATATTTCAATAATTATATCCGCAATTACAGGTGAGAAAATGCAAACTTGTGGTTACTACAATATTCAAAGGATGTGTGGCAATATATTTCGAACAGAAAACACGACAGAAATCTACAAAGGGAATGTATTTGAAGTTTTGGGGACAACAGAAAGCTTGGACATCATACCTTTTGCGTCACAATGCACAATATGACATCATAATAGTGTAGAACGAAAGCTTTGCAAAGATTGCTTAGTTTTCTTTAGGGGTGCCCACCTCATGTTGGCTTACCAAGTTACTGCTTATATGCTTTCAATGCCATAAATATGTTTGAAATACAAAACATGGCAGACTGTTGGTGATAAGGATCTCTATTGAAGACTGATGATGATAAGGATCTCTATGACCTATTGTATTGATGATAAGGATCTCCATGACCTACTGTATTGATGATAAGGATCTCTATGACAGTCTGTATTGATGATAAGGATCACTATGACCTACTGTATTGATGATAAGGATCTCTATGACCTACTGTATTGATGATAAGGATCTCCATGACCTACTGTATTGATGATAAGGATCTCTATGGAAGACTGATGATGATAAGGATCTCTATGACCTACTGTATTGATGATAAGGATCTCTATGACAGACTGTATTGATGATAAGGATCTCCATGACAGACTGTATTGATGATAAGGATCTCCATGACCTACTGTATTGATGATAAGGATCTCCATGACCTACTGTATTGATGATAAGGATCTCCATGACCTACTGTATTGATGATAAGGATCTCTATGACCTACTGTATTGATGATAAGGATCTCTATGACAGACTGTATTGATGATAAGGATCTCTATGACCTACTGTATTGATGATAAGGATCTCTATGACCCACTGTATTGATGATAAGGATCTCTATGACAGACTGTATTTATGAAAAGGATCTCTATGACAGACTGTATTGATGATAAGGATCTCTATGACAGTCTGTATTGATGATAGGGATGTCTATGACAGACTGTATTTATGAAAAGCATCTCTATGACAGACTGTATTGATGATAAGGATCTCTATGACAGACTGTATTGATGATAAGGATCTCTATTGAAGACTGATGATGATAAGGATCTCTATGACCTACTGTATTGATGATAAGGATCTCTATGGAAGACTGATGATGATAAGGATCTCTATGACCTACTGTATTGATGATAAGGATCTCCATGACCTACTGTATTGATGATAAGGATCTCCATGACCTACTGTATTGATGATAAGGATCTCCATGACCTACTGTATTGATGATAAGGATCTCCATGACCTACTGTATTGATGATAAGGATCTCTATGACAGACTGTATTGATGATAAGGATCTCTATGACAGACTGTATTGATGATAAGGATCTCTATGACCTACTGTATTGATGATAAGGATCTCTATGACCCACTGTATTGATGATAAGGATCTCTATGACAGACTGTATTTATGAAAAGGATCTCTATGACAGACTGTATTGATGATAAGGATCTCTATGACAGTCTGTATTGATGATAGGGATGTCTATGACAGACTGTATTTATGAAAAGCATCTCTATGACAGACTGTATTGATGATAAGGATCTCTATGACAGTCTGTATTGATGATAGGGATGTCTATCACACAGTGTATTGATGATAAGGATCTCTATGACAGACTGTATTGATGATAAGGATCTCTATGACAGACTGTATTGATAAGGATCTCTATGACCTACTGTATTGATGATAAGGATTTCTATGACAGACTGTATTGATGATAAGGATCTCCATGTCAGACTGTATTGATGATAAGGATCTCTATGACAGCCTGTACTGATGATAAGGATCTCCATGACAGACTGTATTGATGATAAGGATCTCTATGACAGACTGTTTTGATGATAAGGATCTCTATGACAGACTGTTTTGATGATAAGGATCTCTATGACAGACTGTATTGATGATAAGGATCTCTATGACAGACTGTTTTGATGATAAGGATCTCTATGACAGTGTATTGATGATAAGGATCTCCATGACTGACTGTATTGATGATAAGGATCTCTATGACAGACTGTATTGATGATAAGGATCTCTATGACAGTCTGTATTGATAGTAGGGATGTCTATCACACAGTGTATTGATGATAAGGATATCTATCACACAGTGTATTGATGATAGGGATATCTATCACACAGTGTATTGATGATAAGGATATCTATCACAGTGTTTTGATGATAAGGATCTCAATGACAGTCTGTATTGATAAGGATTTCTATGAAAATATGTTTGACAGTAAGGATCTCAATGAAAATCAGAGTTGAAGAAAAGGATCTCCAAGAAGGTTTCATGGAGATCTATAAACGTTTAGGAATGTCCAAAAATAAAAACACATTTATTGAACTGTTAGCAGTCTATCCTTGTAAATATTAGAGAATAATGACTCCACATAAATATGTTCAGAAGTGAAAACAAAACATTTACACAGATGATAAATGGGTATTCTGTTTGCTATGTCTTTGTATCTTGTATGGTGAAGGTTTTCCTCCACAACCACGTCCCTCCCCTAGATACTGGGGACAAACACTTAACAGACATGCACGTCATGTGTGTCCTTTAGCTGTTGTCTGCCGAGTTAACATTACCTAACTATCAACACCCATCAAGTGAAGGGCTGCATTCAGTAACTCCACCTGATGGCCAGGTCGACCTGGTGCAACGGTGACTCAGTAAAAGGTGAGACAGTATTGACATTCAGTGCAAGTGTCCTTGCTGTTCTGCCATGGTTAATTCATTAAGAAATGAACAATTCCTCAACAACACGATACATCACAATATGCCATGCCTTAATTGTTATTGAGATCGGTGCTCAGCTGTTAATGGAAGTACATATTGACTTAAAATCTTTCATTGTGAGATAGTTCCAGTGCCATTAACTGTGAAACCTGGACGACCATGATTGAAAGTGCAATTGCATGGAATGTGAAACTAGGGTTTACCAAGGATAAACAGGTTCTGAGGGGTTGTTCCCCCCCGCCCCCCACACACACATCCCACCCGACACCCATCACCACCAAAAAGTTTAGAACCCAACAAGATAGTTAGGCAGCATTCAAACATTAAAAATATTGTAAGATTGAAAAAAATAAGAGACAAATCGCGTCTTCATTTAGTTGAAATAATGCAAACAATTACTTGAGAATCTACGAAGAGTTATAAAAAAAATGAATATGTAAGTTGGCTTAAAATTATCTGCCAAACAGTCGGGCAGGTCGAGAAAACCATACGCAGCCCGACCTAAAAGTTACCAGCCATGGGCAGGTGGGCAGGCAGTTATTTCAGACACTGAATACCACAGCCACCCACACCCACACAGCCCCACACACAAAAATGTTTAGACAGCCGAGATTGCCTTATCAAATACTATACAACATGTATGCTTTGAATAGAATTGATTTTTCAAATCATATCTATCATGAATAATGCATTTAAAGTGTCTACAACCCAGTCTGGGAATGGAGCATCATATCTATATACATTAAAGTGAAATAGCACATAAAAAACATCACCAGCTGCCTTCATGCTGTTTTATCACCCCAAACAGAAGATACCAGAACAAGTGCTAGGGCTGTAAAACTGTGTACTCCACACTAAACCATTATGACGACATCACGCTATTGTTGTTGCAGTAGATTCTGAGACAGGATTTCACTGGCCATTCTGAACTTGCATTTTAAGAAGTAAAACTGACACAACTATAAGCCATCATGCAAAGTTACAGAGAAAATATATATCAGCATGATTTAATAGGGTTGGGACGAGTCCAAATTTACTACCCGGGTCCTCGACACACTATTACCCAGCCCTACCCGGATACCCGCTTTAGGTCTCTAGAGTTAGGTACAACATGTCTGAATTGGAATTGTTTTACGGCAGCCCTGGCAAAAACTATTTAGACACATGTATAAAACAATCTGATAATGCATACACTAACAGACAGTTTATCCTTACTCGAACATATAAAAGTCAGAACTAATGCCTGCATAGTGAGAAAGAAATGTGAACATTAGCTATACTTGTAGTGTAACCATTGAGTTTTATTGTTTATGTTATTCCAGTATATCACGTGACTAACCACGGGTCCGGGTAGTCCTTTGGGTACCCGGGTCCTACTCAGGACCCACCCGACCAGGGTACTCGAGTTACCCGTCCCAGCCCTATGATTTAAGTAAAAAAAATCACTAGAATCTGCTGATTCCCGATGTAGAATCAAAGAGCCCCTTAGGGTGTCTCTATTACATATATATTAAAAAGATTTTATCTTCATCTCAAAAAAGCCATTATAAAAAAATCTATCACCAAAAAATTACTCAAGAGCAAAGAAAACCCATACTTCTTAATACACATAAAATGACATCAAACTACACTTATGATAATGTACACTTCATTGTTAAACAGTGTATAAGATGCCCTACCACTTTAACTCAATGTTTATTGTGGCTAAGAATAAATCGGTTTATGTCACAGTTTCTCAAGAACTCCTAACAGTATAAAGGGACCAGTCAACATGTTCAAGCCATCCTGAAAGAAGTGTATTAACTCCAACAAAGCCCAGGCTTTCACACAGCAGTGTACCTTGTCCTTCAGTCAACATTCAGAACGAGGACCCTCTGTAATGCTATAGTGTGCAAGCCATCCACAATACCAACCTGGCCTTGATTGATCCAAATATTTATATGGTTGCATGGTATCAGCTATTGTACAATACGTATGACCTTTCAGGACAGTTGGTTCGCTATC